TAAAGCGCATATATACACTCTCCAGAAGCCGTGTGTGCTGGGTTGGAGCTTCAAGGGGAACATTTACCAATATTTCATGGAATGAACATCATTGACCTTCAAATATAGGGTATTACTTCGTAAGCCATTGGGGAAATGTTTATATTTCGTACAGTCAGTGTATGAAATAAGGCCCGTCCGACCGCCCGAGACGGGCTAAATTTCTGCCGGACGGTCTAATTTTACAGCTAACCAGCCCGAAGGACGGGTGACAAAAATATTCAGATAACGTGTCCACTGGCACTGTCTATATAGTATTTAAGAAGCACTGGTTAAATCTCTTCTGGGCTGGTAGGTTTTTGAAGTTACCAGCCCAGATGTCTGGCTGGGTCTTTGGCTTATTTCATACACTGGTAAAGTCCATTCGAACCTCCATATCTCATGATCTGCGGTCATGGGTTCGAATCCCGGTCCACCTAGTTCTAGGTTTGCCTGCGCCATAGTCGTGCTCGCGGGTTTCACAAACGTGAACGTCTGACACGCCGTCATTTGACTGGAATACTATTTAAAGCAGCGTAACATGCAGGGATTGAGTGATTGAATATAGTTGTATGCCGCCTTTAGCAATATTCCAGCAATATCACGGGGAGGGACACCTGCAATGGGCTTCATACATTGTACCCATGTGGGGAATCGAGCCAACGCTTTATCCGATTTTGATGACTGCCTTCTGGAAGAACTACTAACCGCAGTCAGTATTTCATGGTGAAATTTGGTTATGTACTTTCGACAACAAAAAGTAAAGAAGCTGTACCTGAGGTATTTTGATACTTATTGTATGGAGTTCAATTAGTTGATGTACACGCCTCAGGATTGAGACAGCACAAGATCACCGCTCTCTTAATTACCCTGTGTACATAGTTCTTATATTACCTTCCCTATCGAGATAATACTTCCAACTTTCAAGAGGCTTTGGTTCTTTTAACCCGTAATTCATCAACGTCGGAGTATCCATGGTTACCAGACTATAAGTAGCGTACAAACGAAAATATGTACAGGAATGTTTGATGATTCCAAATGAAACAAACAATGAGTGAGTTTAGTTTTACGCCGCACATACTCCAGCTATATGGCGGCGGTCTGTAAACAATCGAGTCTGGACCAGACAATCCAGTGATCAACAGCATGAGCATCGATCTACGCAATTGGGATACAATGACATGTGTCAACCAAGTCAGCGAGCCTGACCAACCAATCCCGTTAGTCACCACTTACGACAAGCATGGGTAACTGCAGATCAAATTCTAACCCGAATCTTCACGGGTTTGAAACAAACAAGAAGTTGATATTCAATGGTAATGCATTTGCTGCAAGCATCAGAGGTGATATCACTTGCAGTTATTAATGAGCATCGCACAACAAATGATGTCCACATGACGTTTCTACATACCCGGAGATCGCAATGTCAGATCTAATGTTAAATGGTATACTTTCTATTGCAAGGTTGCGTATCACTGATGCGAGCATTGTCATACCGTGTAACAGTGTTTGATTCTTTTCGTTCCCATACTTATTCGAGTAGCATTTCATTGCTGAACAAAAATATCCATTATTCATCTTAAATCTCACGATGAATAAAATAATGCATGGCATATTATTATGCTGTTGTAAAGACACCCCATTGCCTGTATCAGATTCTGCATGGCTCCCAGTCCCGTGAGCATAGAGCGGGATCAGAATTAATTATGAATGTTCTGAGGAACATATCCATTTGAGAGTTGTCTTCGTTGCGGGTGCTGCGAAAGGATCAATGGTTTATTGAAATTTGTTTTGTAAGAATATGAATATTGTAGCTATTTTGTATTGTCGCCGATTCTATTTACGATAGTAACCAGAGATAACACTTGTCATCGCATGTTTCTAATACCTTCAGGTGAATTCCAATATTATTAAACCTGAACCCAGCCCGTGGTAGCGCGTAGTCCAGTACAATGGGCATGAATCGCGTGAAACTAAGTGTGGCTCAGAGAGTCACTGGATGAGTAAACTTTAGGGCTGCGCAATATAACCGGTTTACCGGTATTTACCGGTTCACACATGAAAACGATACGTATTGCGATACGCTGGTTGAAAACCGGTATTTTGACTTGCATTCGGAAAACTTCGTATATTTCCTTGTTTCATTTGAGCCAAATATTCTTCACATTTTTATTTCATCATGATTAAAAGTTGTTATTAAAGCTTAATCAAGCATAGTGATTTTGCTGTGTTTCTGCTCTATAAATCAAGCATTAACTCGCTTATAAGCAGTTTTTTGTTTAAAAATACTTCAGGCAATATATTGCAATACATATCGCAATACATGCTTTCGCATCGCAATATATTGCAATATGAAAATTCCCTGCAATACCCACCCCTAGTAAACTTGATCGTCATTTTTATTCCTGGAGCTTTCTAGGGCTTGGGTCATGACCCTCAATGATTTGGTTGGTTTGTTGTTTAAAGCCACACTCTGCAATATTCCAGCTATATGGGGGCGGTCTGTAAATAATAGAGACTGGACCAAACAATCCAGTGATTAACATCATGAGCATCGATCTACGTTATTGGGATACGATGACATGTGTCAACTAAAGCAGCGAGCCTGACCACCCGATCCCGGACCCTAAATGAAGCACATGTATCACATGTGTTGTCTTGTTAGTCAAGCAGCTTTCTTTAAACTTTGCATCTGTGAATGGGTACCCGGTAGAATGAGATAGAATGAAACGTTAACCGTCCATCGACTCACAGGCTGTTCTGGCTGTATAGTCCTTATGCAGATAAAAGGAACATCATATGTACACTGATCTACTGATCATGACTGATGTATTAATAAGATACGTTATAAGTGCATTTCAGCAAGTATAAACTTGATTGTGCGCTATCAAAGCTAATAATATATCTTTAAAAACGTGTCTTTGTTCTTACTTTCACCCTTATTTAAAACAATTATGTAATGTGTTAACTGTTACTACTTCACGATTTCCATATCAGCGTAGAGTGTGAACCGCTCTTGATGCCCCGATATTTAAAAGATTAGAATAAAATATATAGCGAGGTTCGGGTGGCCCGGCATTCTCAGGCACCACAGTTGATTGTTTTATTTGCCCTATGTTTCTTGTTTACTAGTTCATATGAATAAACTCGTATTCCAGCCAAGGCCTACGTCGAGCAAACCTTGGTATAGTGCAAAATCGTCTAGTTATATGCTTGACTACTTGTTTACTTGACTGTGGGTTCCATAAAATTTCAACTTGTATTACTAAGGAATTTTCCTTTCATCAACTGTGATGTACTTTGAATACTGTTTCGATCGGAATTTAACTAAACATACTCATTCTATGATTACACAATGCTATTTTGAAAGTGGTCAAATGTAACATATGTTATATTTGGGGTTACACTTTCTTAATAAAGTACAGCTTCTAGTACCTTTTGAGTTGAGTCCCATCTGGGATTCGAACCCAAACCTAATCGCCAGCCGCCTAACCCGCTCAGCCAACGCTGTGTAATCATAGCTTTCGGCCGTGGATCCGTGCCAATTTACGCTTATCAGAGGCGTACACAAAGTCCGCAGTCTAGACTACCAGTTGTCCGACTTCCATTTTTGTGGAAGTCGCAGTGGCTGAGGGGGTAAGGCGGCTGAGTTTGTGTGCTGGCGATTAGGTGCCTGACTCTGAGGGTGTGGGTTCGAATTCCAGATGGGACTCAACCCAAAAAAGTACTAGAATCTGTATTTTATTAAGAAAGTGTAATCCATATATAGCATAATGTTACATTCTAATTCTATTTCATTACTGCAAACTTTACCAATTGTTATTAACTTCGTCTAATCTGATCTGATGGGGAGAGCGAACATGGACGGTTTGAATGGGAAGCCTGAATAACAGTCGGGAAATGTTTTTTTAATTACTTAAAATATTAGGTGATCTGTGTGTACTTCGGTATCAAGTACACTTTGTTGACAAATACCAGGTTGTATTGACTGGGTATGGCAACATCTTTCACGGTATTGATCAATACGTGCACGGTTAAAAACTCCTGAATAATTGCGCAATGTAACATGGATTTAATGTAGACAGGTTGCACAGTACGGATACTTTAAAAGAACTCTGGTATTCACAGACTGTGACTTTCGATCTGGCTCTTTTGCTTTCAAGATGTTTGAACTTATAAAGCAACGAGCCTCATTGTTTGAGTAAGAGAGAATACACACACACACACACACACACACACATACATACATATTTATATGAATATTCATAATGAAATATTGAAATGGTTGTTGCAATTCAAAACCGATAATAAACAAAAATAGACGTACTAATTACGGGAAACCGCACCTTTTTCCAACCAATCCTAACATTAATTATTTCGATGCCATCAATGCCACAGGGAATATTTTGACTGGATATGTGTAAACAATTCGAACAATAAGATAAAAATAACTATGTTCGTCCCAAATAATTGACAAACAAAAAAGTATCGAGGCAGATGTTTCATTACGTGTACACTAATTACATATACTGAGAGGGAGAGAGAGAGAGAGAGAGAGAGAGAGAGAGAGAGAGAGAGAGAGAGAGAGAGAGAGAGAGGAGAGAGAGAGAGAGAGAGAGAGGTGGGGAGAGATAGAGTGAGAGAAATGCATGCACACACATATATATACACATGTATGCATCTCTCACGCACTCTCCCCCTATGTATATGTATGTTAATTATATATACGCATTAGCATTTAAAATTTATTATCTCTGCGTACGTTGCTTAAGTCGACAATCTAATGTTTGTGATGGACACAGGGATTATTTAGCTTAGTATTTGTTTTGCATCATATTTACAAATTCTTGTGTGTTTCACCAAAATCGTAAACGTCTAAGACCTGCTTCACTTCGGCGTTTTCCTCCGATATTATACTGATGTGTACAAAGACTGGAATTGAATTCAATGCAGCATATAACTCAACCCACACACTGTTTCAGTTTGTCGCCCACCCTCAGTGTCAGGCGCAGATAGCAGAGCTATGGTACAGTGGTGTACCATTTCTTCGGTACCTGAACAGGTTCACCTACCTGATGCTAGCCATCCCCGTCGGCATCGTGATGGTTCCAATCCTGTCCATTATCTACCTCATAGCACCGTGGAGCAAGGTAAGTCGAGTTATTTTCATGTTGCGTTCATATGCTGCGCAAAATAGTCAGAATTCATGACAATTTGGGGAATATTCTCGTAGTGAAGAGCTCATAATTTTCATAGAAATATCCCGCAAAATATTTGTGATCCCTATCATTTTATATCCGTTTTGTTTGTTTATTTTTTAACGCCGCACTCAGCGATATCCAAGCTAAAAGACGGCAGTCAATAAATAATCGCGTCTGGACCAGACAATCCAGTGATGAGCATGAGCATCGATCTGCGCAATTGGGATACGGTGACGTGTGTCAACCAAGTCAGCGAGCCTGACCACCCGATCCCGTTATATTAGTCTTTTGTTCAGTAGAAATCAAAGCTGTTTTCGTAATATAGCTTTATCTGTTGACTTGTTGAACCAAAAATGAGAATATTCCAGAAAAGGTCCAGTAGATAATTTTTCAATAATTATTTAACCGTATTTGACGTAGATATACGCCCAGACACGATATCATAAATATTTTGACTTGATGTCCGATGCAATTCCCAAATGATTTGTACCATATGGCGAAGAATTGACTTGCGTTGCATTTGTTTGTGACTTGTGCCACCGATGGGGCAGCATACGCTCTCTTTTCAGCGAACAGCTGTTTTCGACACGACTTAATATTAAGTTGATAGTGACACAGTGTCGGCTGACAGTCTGCAACGGACTCTTTTAGCATACATATGTTCAGATTATTGAAGTGGGTTTTTTCAGTTTTACATATCAAGATATTATTATCATTATTATATTATTATCATTATTCAGGTGACAGTCATCCTGGACACTCCTTTGATGAGATTTCTCAGCTACACCTGCTCATACCTGTCCTTTTTGGTGTTTGTCATGGTAACGAAACTGAAGCTGACAGAGGCCTTCGACAGCTTTGCCTGTGACGAGCAGCATCCGTATGTGTTTGCTATCATCACCATCCTCCTTATGTGGATCTTTGGTAAATATAACTATCTCCATGCAAATACTAGCATCTACATCACACAATGGTTAATACTGTACACTACGGTTATGCCGAACTCGCTTATACCGAAGTTGACCGCCTCCGTGGTGTAGTGGTTAGAGCGTCCGCCCAGAGAGCGGGAGGTCACGGGTTCGATCCCCGACCGCGTCATACCAAAAGACGTTAATATATGGTACTTGTTGGTCCCTGCCTGGTGCTCGGCATTAATGGGTACAACAAGGACTGGTCGGCTCGGAGTCAGTATAATGTGTCTGAGTGGGGTATTCATGCGTCACTGCGGCATAGTATCTCAGTGAGCTAGCACTATAAAACCAGCTTCAGACTGGGCTAGTACAAGCAGCCGCACATACACATACACCCGCATGCACGTCGTCATATGAGCGAAATATTCTCAAGCACGACGTAAAATCCAATTTCACCTCACCTCACCTATAACGAAGTTACGGATATAGAGAACGAGAGTATTTCTTCTTGACTAGCCACTTGCTAAATATGTTCTTCAAAACGAACTACGGTCATAACGAAATGGAATGTGTGGACTTAATATATATTCCTCGTAGTTTATTGTATTGCTCAAAAGTAGACTTAAACACCAATTCTATGATAGCTACAGCTTTGATAAACGTCATTCATTGGTATGATTCTTAAGTTGTGCATTTATGATAATTGATGTAATTGTGTTGGGAACATTTTATAAAGTTTAGATTTAGTTCTTGTACTGTAGCATTACATAACCACGGTATATATATAAGTAAAATACCTCGCTGGGTTTGCATGGGCGATACTGCACTGTGGTTGCCCATTCAAAGATGTCATCATTTGTGCGCCTTTGTGTCCAAGGGCGGTACAGGTACATATAAAACTATAGCAATACTTATATACCTATGTCCAACTTAAAGAACAATGGTTTTAGTAATAACCAATGGGGAAAATTCGCTTGTTATTTGCGCAAAGATAAAGTCAGAAAGCATGTTTACGCTTTCAGCAGTATTCAAGCTATATACCGTCAGGGATCACGAGAAACTGGTCTCACACATTGTATTCATGTTCACAATTAAACCCGAGCAAACGCTTTTTGCTTTCTAGGCTACCCAGCTACACTTAAACACTAGGAAACTTGTGTCCAAGGGCGGTACAGGTACATAAAAAGCTATAGCAAGACTTATATACCTATTTCCAAATTAAAGAACAATGTTTTCAGTAATAACCAATGGGGAAAATTCGCTTAAGCCTTGTTATTTTGCGCAAAGATAAAGTCAGAAAGCATGTTTACGCTTTCAGCAGTATTCAAGCTATATTACGAGAAATTGGTCTCACACATTGTACTCATGTTCACAATTAAACCCGAGCAAACGCTTTCGCTTCTAGGCTACCCAGTTACACTTAAACACTAAGAAACTAGCGGAAAAGGTTGTTATGGACAAATGAAAATGCAAAGTTTTCTAACGTATCATAGATGTTTTGCCATCATGGCCCCAGAAGCAAATATCAAACATAATTTTATATTCAAACCAACACTTCGGACAGACAACCATCCTTGCTGAATGGACATTTCGTTCCCGATTATTATCTACACTTATGCGAACATGACAATTGATAAATACAAATCAATAATATATATAATATATACACAACATATAATCTCTACTGTCCTGATCATCTCAGCTGAAAGGTGTACACATTTAACTGCACCTCTCCATAAAATCTTTTCATGCAAGTAACACTCTGTGATCGATCATGCCACAGGTTGCAAGTCAGCCAGGGGTGTAGTGACAATAGATGTGAGATTGATACCGCAACACCTGTACTACATACAGCCGATCACTCATAGTAACACAACAATTATTCCCTTATTGATTATAGGTATAAATTTTACATGAGCAAGTGGCTTGACACCTCAATGGGAGAAGGTCGCTGGTCATGTTTGACTGCAGCGTTGAGTATGAACCTGTTGGGAGTTTGTGTTGATGTTGTATATTTCGCAAGCGCCGTCATCCCCCTTCAGAGAATCAGAGCCATGCTAAAGTGGACTTAATATAGACACGTCAATCGTATATACTTAAGTGCGAAAGACCAACTTTCTGAGTTTGAGAAATGTGATATTTTCAGTTCAGTGAAGAAGGCCAGAGTTTATGTGTGGTTGAAGCATCGAGAATGAACCTGTTGGGAGTTTGTGTTAATGTTGTATATTTTACAATCGGCGTCAGCCCCACTCACGGAATCACAGCCATGTTAAAGTGGACTTCATATATTATATTTTATATTTAAGTGCGAAAGATCAACTTTCTGAGTTTGGGAAATGTGATATTTTCAGTGCAGTGTCAGATTTGTCTTATGTTCATTGCAGTGAAAACATCACTTTGTCGGAACTATTTTATGGCTCAATAAACATAACTCTAAATGGCAATGTAATCATATGCATTTCATCACTTGTATTTGGTCTGGAAGCATGGGCGTAGCATAGCATGGGCAACCTCCAGCTGATAATACTCGCAAACGTCAGCTGATGGCCGACTCATTCTGCGCACCCGACTGAGCGGTAGCTATGCTAAAACAAACAATAACTTGTTTCTCTAAATGATGTATTTGATGCGGGTGTCCAAGATGTGGTTTGAACCTTAAATAGACATTGATTCAGCGAAACCTTCCTGCCTAGTTAGATATTCATTTGTAATGTTCGGGTTAATATCGAATTATTAAGTGTATACTTCAAAGCCGTTTATTCAAACTCGTTAGCGGGTTCACAGTAAGGTGAACTCAGAAGACATGACTGATACACAAGTATCTATCTGCAGTGATAGTAAGCTTCCAATAACTGTATAAAACAAATGATAACATAAAATATATGGTGAATTGGTTAAAAAGAGAAATTTGCGTGTAACCATGGCAATCATAACAGAACTGCTCCATTATTCCCGGGACATTACTTTACTTAACTGGACCTTTCAACTTTACTTACACCTAACTGATGTGTTTTTACCTATGCCATAATATTGATAATATTCTAGATAGCATACAATCATCTTGATTAAATAGAAACAAACCGTTTTTCTTTAAAATCACATTTCAGTTGCTTAACCATAATAATTAATGAAATTATAAAGCATAAAATTTTAAAACAGTTATGAAACATCGTATTTCGAAGGGTAAGCCTTGTGGTTAAGGCGAACCCCGAAAACCAGGGTCCGATTTCCCACAGTGGTACAATGTGTGAAGCCCATTTCTGGTGTCCCCCGCCGTGATTTTGCATGAATATTGCGTAAACTTCACTCACTCACTCACTCACTCACCCACTTACTCACTCACTCACACGCTGCGTCAGGGTCGCGCACTGTAACACCTACTTTTTTAACTGATATGAAAGAATCAGTGTTGATATTAGGAGACCGAGCGTATCGACAAGCAAACCAATATACTGAGTGCGTCCGTATTCTCCTCCGCTGCCCTTGTCTTCGTAAAACAAGCACTACACAAACATATTCTCCATTAAAACATGTTCTGTTGTTTGCATTATGTGTAAACGTATCAAATATTAACAAGTACTGGTTTTCAGTCAGGGAAATGACTGAGCCGCGAGAGATGGATCCCCAGGGTTTTAAATTGTTAAGTGTCATCAGTTATAGTGATGTGATTCAATGACTCTTCATCACACAGCAAGTCTCCAGACAGCTTTAAATGACACCCCGTATAAAGCTGGTTAGATTAATCGTATCGTTTATGCTCTTTATTGATAAAAGGGACGCATTTTCTGCAGCTAAACAACCATTTGTGAATTGTTTGTATTGGGTCCTTGCACTTTATGACTGCACTCAAGCTGAGCATCATCACAGGAAATCTGCTTCTGCCTGGAGAGCAAGTGCCGTTGGTCCGATCTCGCCAGCGTCATAACTAAAGAGAGGGAGCGGTGGGGTAGCCTAATGGTTAAAGCGTTGGCTCGTCACGCCGAAGACTCGGGTTCGAATCCCCACACAGGCACAATGCGTGAAGCCCATTTCTGGTGTCCCCCGCCGCGATGTTGCTGGAATATTGCTAAAAGCGGCGTAAAACCAAACTCAGTCAGTCAGTCAGTCAGTCATAACTAAAGAGGGGTACTGAGGTAGCTATAGCCTTTAGGGGTCTGCTCGTCACGCTGAAGCAGGGTATGAAACTCCCCAAAAAATTCAGCCAGACCACAGGGCTGGTTAGATGTAAACCTTGCCAGCTCTGACCAAAACTTCCTGCCCACAAAAAAATAATAATATACATGTCTAAATTTAACCTGACCGTCGGGCAGGTGAATTTGAAATCTGGCAGTCCGTGTTGAAAATACCCCGTCCCGGACGGTCGGGCAGGCAGGTCACTATATCGAACGCTGGCTGAGGAACCGGGTTCGATTCCCCACATGGGTACAACGTGTGAAGCCCATTTCTGGTGTCCCCCGCCGTGATATTACTGGAATATTGCTAAAAGCGGCGTAAACCTAAACTCACTCACTCACTCATAACTAAAGACGTGAAAGGATGGCACTTGTTACACTTCCTGCAGTACAACATTTGGGATGAAACAAGGACTGGAGTTTAGGAAGCTTAGTGGTTAAAGCGTTCTTCGTCCTACCGGAGGCCCGGGTTCGACACCCCTTGAACCACACGCACTCACCTATTTTTAAATGTGTACTTCTAATGTCATGAAGTTTATCATAACCGGAGATGACGTCCACAACTGCAAAGGTGCATATGCAAGTCGATTTATCTCACCCACAGCGCGTATGACCTCTGTACTAGATACAATAATAAATCGGTTAAGCTTCCTCCCATTCATCGTATTTTGTAATTGTTCAAATGTTTTGGGTCTCATGTGAAAGACGCTTGTTCTGTAATTAAATGCTTTCCTTTATATATGGCCGCCAACATGTTTGGAGTTGTTTGAGAAATTGTGGGGTCTCATTTGTCACTTCGCTTGTATTTTTAGTGGCCACTTACGGATTCGTTATAGGTGACGATGGTATGAGGTGTTTCTCGAGTCGTGTTCTAAGCAGATTAGGATAAACGATTTTACCACAATGTAATGATGATTCAAGTGACACGAATCTTGTTCTAACGCGAAACTAAACATTTCAGAAATATACTGAAGAAAATAAACGTTTACATTTCAAAAAGTAAACATTTGAAATCAATATGTTCTCGATATAGTTACCGGAATGGTTTTCTCAAACAGGTTTGATATGGGAGGAGTGCAAACAGATCTGGTCCGCAGGCGCAAAAGACTACTTCCGGTCTCTCTGGAACGTTGTCGATTCTCTGATGTTGAGCATGCTGTTAGCATCCTTTGTCTTGGAGATCGTCACACCGATCAGATTACACCAGGTGATCCAGGGAAGCAGTGAGAACGGCTCGACAGCCACGCCCCTGTGCACCCTCATCGCCGACGGCGACATGTCATTGGTTGAATTCTGCACCATTGGCAGGAAGGATAATGTATCAGGTAGAGTATTCGGTGTTGAATATATCTTATCGTTATGACAAGCTGGTTACAAAAAGCATATGATGGTGAGGCTTATGTTGTTGCACACCCTTGAAGATCCGGGTTAGAATTGGTCTTCAGCGACCCATGCTTGTCGTAAGCGGTGACTAACTGGATCGGGTTGTCACTGATCTGGTCGTACCCCAACTGCGCAGATCGATGCTCATGTTGTTTATAACTGGATTGTCTGATCCAGACTCGATTATTTAAAGACGTTGGCGTTGGTCTGTAAATAATCGAGTCTCGACCCGACAATCCAGTGATCCACAGCATGAGCACCGATCTAAGCAATTTGGGATACGATGGCATGTGTCAACCAAGTCAGCCAGCCTAACCACCCGATCCCGTTAGTCATCAATACACTATGAAGTATTTGTGTACAAGAAACCTATAATCGTGGGTTCGAATCCCAGATTCGCCCTGTTTCTATTTTAGGTCTGTCAGCACTATACGCGAGTTCGTGGGCTTCCTTATACAGTTAAACGTCTGATTTTCACACTGTCCATAGCTGCGTTCAATGACACTTGAATATAAGGTCATCATCTGCTTGTAAGAGATGACTAACGGGATCGGGTGATGAAGCTGGCTGCCTTGGTTGGTGTGTGGCATCGTATGCCATTTGGGTATATCAATGGTCATGATATCAGTCATCGGGCTCGCAGATCCAGACACACCCCCTCTCATATAGTTGAATATTTGGTACAATGTGAAGCCCCTTTCTGGTGTCCCACGCTGTGATGTTGCTGGAATATTGCTAAAAGCGGCGTTAAACCAATCTCACTCACTCACTCGATGAAATATTGCTGAGTGCGGAACAAACACATACAAATGAACCTTTCACAGCAGAGTCATCATTTACACAAACCCCCAGTCATGCTACATGATAGTCACATGGGAATCTAAAAACCCGAAGAAACAACAAAATAATCACATGAAAAATAGAAAAGAAACAAATAAACAACAACAAATATATCTTTCTCCTGTTGTTTTTTTCCAGTGATATGGGAGCCGGAGTGGATACCAGACCCGGAGCTACTGTCAGACATCCTTTTTACATTTGGCACCATCCTCAGCATTGGTCGGTTCTCCTTCATCATGCCAGCCAATGAGGCCCTTGGTACCATGCTGGTGTCCTTCCATCGGACAATCAACGACCTGCTGAAACTGTGTGGAATGTTCATCCTTGTTCTTATAGCATTTGCCTCGGGATTATCAGCATTGTACGCCCCGAGCAAGTGTAGGAATAGAAGCTTTGGCTCGTAAGTGTCATTTAATTAAGATAGATATTTTAATAATTTTAGTAAATATATGTAAATAATCATGGTTACATTTGCTGAATTTTGACGAATTCTTTAGGATAAAGCAGAAAGCAATATCCCTAAAGTTTGAAATCATAAACAATCACGTTGTATAGCATTATATTTGCACGAGTAGTCCCTTTACGAATGAATGTATAACGTCAACGCAATCACGCTCGTTTATCCGAGGGGCGGTGGGGTAGCCTAGTGGTTAAAGCGTTGGCTCGTCACGCTGAAGACTCGGGTTCGATTCCTCACAAGGGTACAATGTGTTAAGCCCATTTCTGGTGTCCCCAGCCGAGATATTGCTGGAATATTACTAAAAGTGGCGCAAACCCATATTCACTCACTCACTCGATTTGCCGACAAAACAAATTCCATTTGGTGCAAAATGTAAAATAGCCGTGACAATTACATGAAAAGACTAGTCAAGCCATCAACCTATTCTTGACTCAAGTGTCGAGAGAGAGAGAGAGAGAGGTCGAGAGAGAGACAGAGAGGTCGATAGAGAGAGAGAGAGAGAGAGAGAGAGAGAGAGAGAGAGAGAGAGAGAGAGAGAGAGAGAGAGAGAGAGAGAGAGAGAGAGAGAGAGAGAGAGAGAGAGAGAGAGAGAGAGAGAGAGATGGGAGGCCCCATCCACAGATGAGAGAGAGAGAGAGAGAGAGAGAGAGAGAGAGAGAGAGAGGAGGAGAGAGAGAGAGAGAGAGAGAGAGAGAGAGAGAGAGAGAGAGAGAGAGAGAGGAGAGAGAGAGAGAGAGAGGTCGAGAGAGAGAGAGGTCGAGAGGTCGAGAGAGAGGTCGAGGAGAGAGAGAGGTCGAGAGAGAGAGAGAGAGGTCGAGAGGTCGAGGTGAGAGAGGTCGAGGTCGAGAGAGGTCGAGAGAGAGAGGTCGAGGTCGAGGTCGAGAGAGAGATATAGAGAGAATGATAGAGAGAGAGATAGAGATAGAGAGAGAGATAGAGAGAGAGAGAGAGAGAGAGCAAAAAACATCTGACATGGGTCTACATGCTGTATCAAATGAGAATCACATGAAATTCACTTGAAATTGGTTGCGTTTGAACCAAGTTTTTCAGGTTATTCAAATACTTAGTTTAACTCTGTACTCTGTTTGACATACGTGTTTTAAATCTAGGTTTGAGGCCACTATATCCACCCTGACTTGGAGTATGTTCGGTATGGGAGATTCCTCGGCCCCAGCTACAGATGGTCAGGGGCCACTGGCCTCTCTCACCAATAACCCTCACAGGGACGCCGGCGTGACGACAATCGGCTACTACCTGTACGCCATCTATGTATTTGCGGCCATGATAGTACTGCTCAACCTCTTGATTGCTGTCATGTCCAACACCTTTGAAGAAGTTCAGGTAATGGTTGTTTAGTATGTGATGTACTGGGATTTAAAGAAAATATACTACTGTGTGTTCCATGTATCTTTGGGGCGGTGGGGTAGCTCATACTCACTCACTCACTCCATGTATCTTTTACAATTATTATACCATTATTATCCTTATAATCTTTATATTCTTCGGATGCTGTGAGATTTTAAATATTTTAAAACGTCCATGTGTCTATAGGATTTGAAGATGTAAAATGTTTGCAGGTTAAACATTCTAATTGAATATGGTGCAATACGACTCAAACATATTGTACGACCCACATGTGTGCGCATGGAAATAGCACAAAAAAGGATTGTATTCATCATCATCATCATCATCATCATCATCATCATCATCATCATCACCATCACCACCACCACCATCATCATCATTATCATCTTGGGCGGTGGGGTAGCCCAACGATTAAAGCGATCGCTCGTCACGCCGAAGACCCGGGTTCGATTCCCCACATGGGCACAATGTGTAAAGCGCATTTCTGGTGTCCCCCGCCGTGGTATTGCTGGAATAATGCTAAAAGCGGCGTAAAACTAAAGTCACTCACTCCTTATCATCTTACATTCTTACTAAGATAATGGATACATACATTTGTATAACACCACTACAGATAAAGCGCCAGAATCATTCCTATAATCATAATAATCTATTTAACTCCACTAAATCCAAGCATCTCGTTGCACCATTCCTACTATATCACACTCGTGTATTCACGAGTTACTATCAAACACATCACATTTCGTCAACCATGAACTAGTTTCATTGTTTGTGTCTTGAAGTGCTTTCACATTAAACTAATGACATATCATTACATTGATCGGTATGTGAACATACATGCACCGGACAGCCTCTAATCAAACCTTATTAGACCAAACGCAATCTAAAGCCAGAAAGGGAATTACCTACATCGTAATGGCTGGGCTTCTGGTGTGTGAAATCGCCATTCACATTTCTATGTATAGATCAAACGTATGACACAATATATGCCATGGTTTTCACTACTATTCCAGGGCGTGAGTGATGTGGAGTGGAAGTTTGCCCGTACTGAGTTGTGGTTGACCTTCATTGAACCCGGAAGTCCCGTCCCGCCGCCATTCAACGTCATCCCAAGCCCCAAGAGCATTGTCAACTGCTTCCGGTACTGCTTCTCCTCCTGTTCCTGCGCCAAGAAACCGGAGCCGGAACCCAAGACATTTAAATATGCTGCTGTTCAGGTGAGTACGGTGTTCCAGTGGGCGGGCCCCGGCCGGAAGTAGCCATGACGCATCACTTCCTCCATGTCAAAGTTGTTCGCAAAGGACTTCTGATCTACTCTATGGAACAGTTATAACGTGAATTGAACTGTAGTTTGTAATTTGCCGCATGGTCTGCAATTCCTGATTCTGGCTGTCTAAGGCCATTTATAATCTTCTCCTTATGTACTTTGTTTATTACAGACAATAGAATATTTATTATTATTATCAATATGGAGACAAAAGCACATATTGTAAATACTTGACTGTTTGGTGCAATCTACCCTCTCATAAACGTCTGCTTGCACAGACAAACCAAGCCCCTGTCGTAAATTTTAGCCTCACTGGTCAAATGTATCCTGTTCTATCCTTCAACTTGTCTTGAAAATCATATCATTTACCACAAAAGCCTTTTTGGTAAAATCTACGTCTTATAAACTTGTATAGAAAATCCCAAGTCAGATGATAGGCCACATGTATGCATATTTCATTCCCTTTTCAATTACCGTTACTTCTTTAGTTTGTGAAATATGTCTTCGTTTAATATAGAAATAGACACTGGCAATCAAGAACAATGATCAGTTCTAAGTGTCAAGTCAGTGCTGGTAAGAATGTATCAAGACAAAGTAAAGCAGGAGTATTGTCCTCATGTGTCACTTTTGATCTAGCTTAATGCACGCAATCCACAGAGCTTTGTGTGGCATCACCTACGCACATATCCACAAGCTCACTGCACTTGTACAGCCTGCATGTTGCTAGATGCGATTTGATTATGTGTGTGTTGTCGTGCACTAAATGTACAGCAATTTTTTTTATTATTATTTTATTTGATTTTTTTTATTTGTACAGCAATTGATCACAATGTATTATTTGCTCATCAAGACTAAATGCATATGTTGGTTACGCAACGTAATGTTTAGACTTAAAACCATCTGTGTAAAATTGTACTGCGAGGAAAGGTAGACCAACTGAGGGATGGAGAGAGAGAGAGAGAGAGAGAGAGAGAGAGAGAGAGAGAGAGAGAGAGAGAGAGAGAGAGAGAGAGAGAGAGAGAGAGAGAGAGAGAGAGAGAGAGAGAGAGAGAGAGAGAGAGAGAGAGGAGGGGGGAGAGCAAAAAACATCTGTCATGGGTCTACATGCTGTATCAAGTGATAATCACATGAAATTCACTTGAAATTGGTTGCGTTTGAACCAAGTTTTTCAGGTTATTCAAATACTTAGTTTAACTCTGTACTCTGTTTGACATACGTGTTTTTAATCTAGGTTTGAGGCCACTATATCCACCCTGACTTGGAGTATGTTCGGTATGGGAGATTCCTCGGCCCCAGCCACAGATGAGAGAGAGCAGGAGAGAGAGAGAGAGAGACAGAGAGTGAGAGAGCAGGAGAGAGAGAGAGAGAGAGAGAGCAGGAGAGAGAGAGAGCAGGAGAGAGAGAGCAGAGAGAGAGAGAGCAGAGAGAGAGAGAGCGAGAGAGAGAGCAGGAGAGAGAGAGAGAGAGAGAGAGAGAGAGAGAGAGAGAGAGGAGAGAAAAATAGGGAGAGTAAGGGCGAGAGAAAATGGAGAGAGAGCATCAAAGTGAGAGCGTTTGTTTGTTGTTGTTTAACGCCGCACTCAGCAATATTCCAGCTATATGGGCAGAGACAATCCTGTTGATCAGTGATCAACAGCTTGAGCATCGTTATACTCATTTTGGATACGATCACAAGTGCCAACCAAGTCAGCGAGCCTGACCACCCGATCCCGTTAGTCGCCTCTTACAACAAGCATGGATTGCTGAATACCAATTCTAACCCGGATCTTCACGTGACAGGAAGAGAAAGGGAGAGAGCGAGTGTGAGAGAGAGATAGAAACTGAGAGCGAGACTAAGAGAGAGTGTGTGTGAGAGAGAGAGCAACAGGGTGAATGAGAAACTGTGGGTTGACGAAGAACAGAAAGACATTGCGTGACGGTCTGTATGGAACAGAAGACAGGGAGGAAGATGGAGAAAGTTGCAGAGCTGAGCAGGGGTCAAAGTGGATACATGGAGAAATGACTGATAGAATGGTGGAGTATCTAGAGTGAAAACGAATGAGAAGAAACCTCCCTCTTCCGCATTGGCTCTCACATTCACCTTCTATCACTCTTGCAATCTTTACAATCTTCCTTTCTCTCACCCCAAATGCGTTGCTCCATCTCTCACCTGTCAGAGAGACGAGTCACAGTACCGACTCGAGACTGAATGTATTCATGTTGGAGAGGCAATGTCAGAGTGTGTCGTGCGTTCGTGATGTATATACTCAGCTGTGAAATAAACTAGTTCATTTTTTTCCCCACACTTCATGCGTTAATACACGTAATTAGGAGACCCAGTAACCTGCAGACTGTGATTAGTCTTGATGAGTGTTAAATGCTTCTGATACTGGTGATAGTTGACAGTGGGTATTATATATGGCGTATCATTCCAGGATTACCACTCATTTGACGAGGTACAGTACATTATGTTTTTGGTTACGGGAATCAATCTTACTTAAACCCAAACCCAACTACTTCCCAATTTTCGGGAGTAGGTTTACCCACAAGTCTTTGCTATGCATATACCATTAATCCATGAGTATTTGCCAGGCATATTGCTTAAAATATTCTTACATTACATTTTATATTTTGCACATGCTGGCCGTGAACAATTTTATGGGTGTTTGATTTATGAATATTTGCCCGCCAAGGAGATTGTTTTTGGTGTTTTTTTCAACTTCCCTCATAATATTGTTTCATTTGGTTTTTCCAAATAACCGTACTTTTGCCTCTTTGGTCTATATTGAATACATTTGTACCGTGTTCCTAAGATGTGGTAAATTATGTTAGAAAAGGGCATTTAAACGATATGATTCGTTAGTACGTTGTAGCTTAGATGATCTTTGAAAAGACTTGAAAAATGCATTTAGCAAGGGTAAAGAAGGCGAAAAATAACCACCCACTGAAAACGTTTGATGATGCCACGTCCAGTAATGGAACCGCTAAAACAGTGAGTGCAAAGATAATTGATGGTAATTTTGTAGAAATGCCAATTTTCTGGTAAATACCCACTTTTGCCACAGTTTTGTCCATACACATACATTAGGAATTTGATACAATACATCTCGAATGGGATTTGGTCGTTAGCTGCTATGTCACAGCCGTTTGGGCTTATCATGACATGCACTAATAGACATTAATTGGTGGAAATTATGCTATATGGTATAACAATGTACAATATGACCACTAATTATGTTTAATTCCTGCTGACTGTGATGGGAGTTAGCGCCATGCTATCAGTGTGTTAGTCACCCTGGAGGTGCTGAGCCGTGCCCAGGTCCACTGGTGACCGGGTTTGAATCCAAGATCGTTGTGATGATGATCCTTTATCTGTTTTCAACATAGTGACAAATTTCCACGCCTAATATCTCCTTAAGAAACGGTACACAAAACCACCAGTAGAATGCATGGACTCAAGAATTAGAAGCTGAATTTGAATAAACCCTTACTGTCCAAGCCCGCTGTTAGCTTTCCTAAAGTCTGTATATAGAAGGTTAGTAGCTGCTGCCACTGAAAATTCCTTATATTCTACATTCGTTGTATATAACTGTCATTACATGCTTATTCCATCAAAGAACGTTGTACATGTAACATAATGTCACAAATAAGGCCAGTATGTTCACTGGAAAAGGTCCAGTCAGTATCTACCTTTGACATGTCCATTTCTCATTTGCATTGGATTCCAAAGTTCCATTCCAATCCGCACGAAAGGATATATATTGCTGGGTCCAACAAATATACCACCAAATACCCGATTTGTTTGATTGGCATTCTAGAAGTTGGGTAGATGAATGATGAGGACTATTTTTATGGATATACAACTTCTTTATTCTGTATAGGCGACGTTTCGACATAGATTCTAATGTCGTTGTCAAGCAAGTGATGACAACGACAACTTGCTTGACAACGACATTAGAATCTATGTCGAAACGTCGCCTATACAGAATAAAGAAGTTGTATATCCATAAATATAGTCCTCATCCTTCAAATACCCGATTACCCATAATAATTAACACACAGTCTTTGAAGGACAATGGATATGATTAAATCAATTCAAATGTGACCGGACGTTTTTCAACTTTGCATGCAACTTTTGGCCACAAGCTGACGTCGATCCATTGTCACTTAACCCAGTGACTGAAGATACGCAAACCTCTTTCTAAATGAAAGTGAATATCATATCGCGTTAACCGATGAATCAAGCTAAATATATTACATCCCTATAAATAACATTTACACATATCCGAAATTTGGTAAGGAACATTTTGGACAACAGTTCTTCCGGAAGAATGTAGGAAAGAGGCATGAATTCAACTTTTCAAAAGTCAACTGTACCTACTGTTTGTTATGGAATATGACAAAGCTGGAACTGTTGGAATATTGCTCGACATTATGTTGAATATCGGAAGACTGAAGTCATCCCCCACTTCATCACTGCTGTGGAGAGATCTTTTCATTCTTAATGTTTATGTATATATCTGAACGTCCAACAGACAATGGGGCGGATCGTTCGTCAAATGGAAGACTCGGGTTCGATTCCCCACATTTCTGGTGTCCCCTGCCGTGATATTGCTATATATTGCTAAAAGTGGCTAAAGTCATTCACTCACTCACTCAACAGACAAGAATGTTCCTTTGTTTTGTTTGTAGTTCGAAAGGACTATTTTTCTATTTTTGAAGGATATCAGGTCATTCATAAAGTAGAGTTATACTACTTGGCCAATCTCCCTTGTTTTCAGTTTGCAAATCCAGTATTCTGAGCAAATATTCCGATTTCATGAAGAGAGACATTAGTAAAGAGTTAACACAAATTGTGAAATTACATATTCGTGATTCCACTTGATTCCTGTATCTTGTCAATCCTTTATTGTCTTAACGGTTATGCTTAATGTTGGGGACATTTGCTGGATCCAGGATTTTCGTATTTTATATGGCTGGAACTTTGGACTCCAGTACAAAAGTGGAATTGGCATGGCTTTAGGTTGATAGCACTGTTGTGGTTTAGTAGAATTTCCCTAAATTAACATTCTGACCTTATATTGATGCAGTGCTGGTGTTGTGGGAGGGACGATATAGATGCAGTGCTGTTATTGTGGGAGGGACGATATAGATGCACTGCTGGTATTGTCGGATGGGACATTTAGATACATTGCTGGGTACCGTTGTAGAAAACAACATTAGCGCTGAGACTAACTTTTGTCTGTTTTGTAGAATTCCTCAGAGTATTTTAAATAATGAGGTAATAGGTAAATTCTATTGTATATTTGTAGATTTCCAAAAAGCGTTTGATTCAGTAAACAGGAGCAAATTGCTCTACTTGTTGTTGCAAGGAGGTATTCATGGTAAAGTCCATAAACTTTTAACAAATATTTACAAGAACGTTAAGGCTTCATTTCGGTGTAGTAAAACAACTATGACTGGCATGTTCAATACATCATGTGGAGTGAGACAAGGTTGTATATTGTCACCAGTATTATTTATAATGTATATTGATGAACTTGTAAATGAAATAATGAAATCTGACGACAGTGGCATATTTTTTTATGAATCCCTAAAAACATTATCAATATTGCTTTTTGCTGATGATGTAGCTATATTTGCAGATTCTGTTATCAATCTCGAAAAAAAAAAGATATTTTGGTAAGATACTGTAAGAAATGGGGATTAAGTATTACTCCAGCAGAAACATGTTTTCAAAAGCATGTGAGACACTTTCCCAACAAGCAGAAAAGGCACTCTACCCAATTAAACGTTTTATCAACAAAATACAAAATCTGCCAAATGAGGCAGCATTCAAGCTGTTTGATGGCAAGATTAAGCCTATGCTTTTATATGGGGCTGAGCTTTGGGGATGGGAAAAACGTAAACAAGTTGAAAAGGTTCATTCAAGTTTTTGTAAATATGTATTACAGATTGGTTCTAGGGCATCAAGTAAAGCCGCACTGGCAGAATGCGGTCGTTATCCTATTGAAATATATGCCTATATTAGCCTTCTGTCGTTTTGGATGAGGATTTTACGGCAACCGCCATACAGATATACAAAGAAATGTTATGAAATGTTAAAAAGACTAGATGATAATGGGGATGAGAACTGGGTATCAAAAGTGAGAATGTTATTATTTAGATACGGTTTCGGTTATGTATGGATAGCACAAGATGTTGGTAACGAGAAATGTTTTCTGGAGAATTTTAAACAGCGTTGCAAAGATATTTATTATCAAGAGTGGCATCAATATATAGCTTTTTCCGAATCCTTGACGTTCTATTCAACCATAAAGACTGACTATTTTTTTTTGAAAAATATCTTGTAACTATTACTTCAAAAGATTTACGGAGATGTTTGACAAAACTTCGTTGTAATGTACATGATTTTAATGTTAATTCGTGTAGATACTCCAAAAACTATGAAACTGCGTTTTGTAGTTCCTGTGTGACTGAACTAGAAGATGAATTCCATATTACATTAGTATGTCCTCTTTACAATGAGTATCGTGCTAAATATTTACCTGAATACTGTCGTAATTACCCTCATGTCCAAATGTTTATTGAATTGATGAGAACAAGCGATAAGAATACACTATTAAGACTTTGTATCTTTCTTAACAAAGTGTTTGTACTTCGATCGAAACAAAAATCTCTGAACACATAATCGTATCTATTGTAATAAGATCTGCATGTCTTTACCTTACTGTTTTACACATGTTGTACTGTTGGCCTCATGGCCATATATACGTAATAAAGGAAATTATTTGTGCTACAGACTGAAGTTACAGTGTCTAGGCTTGAGTTGCGTCAACAACAGGATATTGAAATGCATGTGATACATATCCGGGCTGAAGGTTCTGCTAAAACTATCGTAATCGGATCGAATTTTGAACAATAGCTATGCTTTGATAGGCCGAATCAATAATTTAGATATATGGGGATAAAAGTGGTTTTGTGTTTGCCGTTGAAGTGAGATGAGAGTTAATCGATTTAGTTGGGAAGAAGACTTTGTCAGTTTGACGAAACTGATTGATTCCTGTTGATTGATGGTAGGCGACTGTGGTACTTGGCAACACATGTCGCCTGCAATAACGTACCTGAGAGATGTTGTAGTGTGGCGCGGTGTTGTTGTCGTATATGTTTAAGTAGAGGCGTGGGCAGGGATATGTTGGTAGAGTGCTCTAATTGAAGCATTGGCGGTGTAGATGTTCTGCTGCTTTTGTGGAACTGACGATGTAGAATTTGTGCGGGTATTGCGAGACGGGAATATAGATATAATGCTGGTTTTGTTGGAGGGGCGATGATCATACATTGCTGGTATTGTGGGGGGACAATATAGATGCAGTGCCCGTATTGTAGGATTAGAGCCATAGATGCAGTGCTGGTATTGTGGGAGGGAGGATATAGATGCAGTGCTGGTATTGTGGGAGGACGATATAGATGCAGTGCTGGTATTGTGGGAGGACGATATAGATGCAGTGCTGGTATTGTGGGAGGACGATATATATGCAGTGCGGGTATTGCGAGACGGGAACATAGATTTTATGCTGGTATTGTGGGAGGGGCGATGGTCATACATTGCTAGTATTGTTGGGGGACGATATAGATGCAGTGCCCGTATTGTGGCATAGACGATGGAGAATTAGTTCTGGTATTGATGGATGGGCGATATAGATACATTGCTGGTATTGTGGGATTAGCGCCATAGATGCAGAGCTGATATTGTGGGATGGACGATATAGATTTAGTGCTGGTATTGTAGGATTAGCGCCATAGATGCAGAGCTGATATTGTGGGAGGGACGATGTAGATGAAGTGCCCGTATTGAAGGAGGGGCGATGTTGATACATTGCAAGTTTTGAGGGAGGACGATATAGATGCAGTGCCCGTATTTTGGCATAGACGATGGAGAATTAGTTCTGGTATTGATGGATGGGCGATATAGATACATTGCTGGTATTGTGGGATTAGCGCCATAGATGCAGAGCTGATATTGTGGGAGGGACAATATAGATTTAATGCTGGTAATGTGCTACGGTCAATGGAGATACATTGTTGGTATTGTGGGATGGACGGTGTAGAGTTAATGCTGGTCTTGTGGGCGGGACAATGAAGATGCATTGCTTGTATTGTGGGAAGGGCGATATAGATTCAGTGATGTTATTGTGGGAAGGCGATGAACAATTACTGCTGGTACTGTGCGGAGGGCGATATAGATTTAGTGCTGGTATTGTGGGAGGACGATATAGATGCAGTGCTGGTATTGTGGGAGGGGGATATACATGCAGTGCTGGTATTGTGGGAAGGAAGATATAGATTTAGTGCTGGTATTGTGGGAGGACGATATAGATGCAGTGCTGGTATTGTGGGAGAGGGATATAGATGCAGTGCTGGTATTGTGGGAGGGATATAGATGCAGTGTTGGTATTGTGGGAGGACGATATAGATGCAGTGCTGGTATTGTTGGAGGGGGATATTGATACAGTGCTGGTATTGTGGGAGGGGGATATAGATGCAGTGCTGGTATTGTGGGAGGACGATATAGATGCAGTGCTGGTATTGTTGGAGGGGGATATTGATACAGTGCTGGTATTGTGGGAGGGACGATATAGATGCAGTGCTGGTATTGTGGGAGGACGATATAGATGCAGTGCTGGTATTGTGGGAGGACGATATAGATGCAGTGCTGGTATTTTGGGAGGACGATATACTTGCAGTGCAGGTATTGTGGGAGGACTATATACATGCAGTGCTGGTATTTTGGGAGAGGGGATATGATGCGGTGCCGGTGTTGTGATACCGATGCACTACTGATATTGTGGGAGGAACGGTGTTGATTCAGTGAAGTATGTGGCGTAGGCAATGACGATAAAGTGTTGGTATTTTGAGAGAAGTGATGTACATGGTGTTCAAATAAGCCGTACAGACAAACCCGTTTGTTCGTGATGCGAAACTCGTGTGTGAAAGACGCGTGTCATTTGAAGGAATTTGTCCTAATAATTATCACAGTGAAAACGCTCCATGGGAAAACGATGTGATCAAAAATAACATCATGCCGCTATTTGTAACACTTTTAGTTTCACACACGCAGTTTACCACAGTCTGTCAACTGGGTTCCTTGTCTATATTTCACTGGGATTCCATGCCGCCACAAAGGCGCCGCACGTTAAACAGATCAATTAGTCAGAAACTGTCCACCAAGCTGCTCCACGGATTCAGATTGCTCGACCGTCGGCGGTTATATAAGGGCAACACTGAGTTGATGAATGCAATGCCTGGATATATTCTGTTCACTCATTGGTAGGCCCATTGATTGTTCTTCATGATACTGCGTGATTGGGACTATAGTTGTGACATACTTTGGAATCAATTTGTGAATGACTGTTGTGACAGGAATATTATATGTACCGTTAATTCATTGGTGGACATTCTAAATCGGTGTACAGTTGAATCATTTAGAATAGAGGATGTACTATGTGCTAGCCTAGCTTTCAGTCATCGAGTATTGGTGTTTTGATTTGCTGGCCTAGATGTAGGTCGAAGATTGAGTGTTTGATTGTAGCCTAACTTCAATTCAAAGTGTACTATTGTAGCTTTTCTAGCATAGATCTTGGTTAAAGATTATGTTTTTTGTTTGTAGCCTAGCTTCAATTCAAAGTGTACGATTGTAGTTTTTCTAGCCAAGCTTCAGATCAAAGAGAACGGGTGTTTATTGAAGCCTAGCTTTAATTCAAAGTGTACGATTGTAGTTTTTTTAGTCAAGCTTCAGGTCAAAGAGAACGGGTGTTTATTGAAGCCTAGCTTTAATTCAAAGTGTACGATTGTAGCTTTTCTAGCCAAATTTCAGGTCAAAGAGAGCGGGTGTTTATTGAAGCCTAGCTTTAATTCAAAGTGTACGATTGTAGTTAATCTAGCCAAGCTTCAGGTCAAAGAGAACGGGTGTTTATTGAAGCCTGGCTTTAATTCAAGTGTACTTTTGTAGTTTTTCTAGCATAGATCTTGCTTAAAGATTATGTGTTTTGATTGTAGCCTAGCTTCAATTCAAAGTGTACTATTGTAGTTTTTCTAGCCAAACTTTAGGTCAAAGAGAACGGGTGTTTATTGAAGCCTAGCTTCAATTCAAAGTGTACGATTGTAGTTTTTCTAGCCAAACTTTAGGTCAAAGAGAACGGGTGTTTATTGAAACCTAGCTTTAATTCAAGGTGTACGATTGTGGTTTTTCTAGCTAAGCGTCAGGTCAAAGAGAACGCCTAACTTTAATTCAAAGTGTACGATTGTAGTTTAGCTAGCCTAGATTCAGGTCAAAGATTGCGTATTTTGATTGTAGCTTAGCTTCAATTCAAAGTGTACGATTGTAGTTTTCCTAGCCTAGATTCAGGTCAAAGATTACGTGTTTATTGTATTTCAGGCCTCCGGCCCATTAACATCGAAGTTACATGCATTATACAATCATATAGAGCTTGAATAGAGAGATGATTTTAACAGAATATCACGCTTAGACATGCATTGTAAATGTATTGTGATAGTTTTAAGTTGAAACAGTTGTCATAAGTAGACAGGAATTGTTTAAATGCTACAGTAGGTGACTTGGAGAGGTAACATTCAGGAATATATTGTTTACGTAAATCTATTTAAGATGGACAGACAATTAAAAAAGATTTCGTTTAAGATATGTAAGAACATGTTTCTGAGTATGTTTCGGTACAAAAATTAATATGGTTAAAGATATGAGGCACAACATTTTCTTAAAACTGTATTTGTAGACACAAATATGTCGACTATATGATCATGCATGTCTTGTACATTGTGAATTCTAATACAATTTGTGCATGTCATGAATTATAAACTGTTTACAGCACCATATGAATGTATGATAATACTGATATAAACTGTCGGGCAAATGAAAATATACAAATGAAAATAATATGTGTAAAAGCTTTACAAACGTTAACAAAACGTACTTCATTGAAGAAGAGTCGACAAAACATAACAAGCCTAAGATCGAAATCACAACTCTGTTACCCATTTGAAATGCATCACTATTGAATACCCGTTTCTTGTTTGTATCATTTAAGCCACCATCAGTCATCAATGTATATTTTCATTGACCGGCGGTATATTTTGCATATCTGAATGACCAAAATATTGTTGCTTATGTTGAATGGTTATTATATACTGGACAAGAAAAGTTAGGGATATTGGTATTTTTATGATTAATATTTTATCAGTGTGTCAATGAATAAATACATGTAGCTCATTATTCATTATTTCAAAATTTACATATATCCCTAACTATTTTCGTCCAGTATATATCATTGTTGCATATGGTGATTGATGTTCTATTATTGCATATGGTGAGTGATAGCTATATTATTGCACATGGTGATTGATAATGCCATTATTGCATACGGTGAATGATACTATTATTGCATATGGTGAATGATATATATTATTGCATACGGTGAATGATAATACTATTATTGCATATGGTGAATGATATATAATGTCATTGCATACGGTGAATGATAATAGTATCATTGCATATGGTGAATGATATTTTTGCATATGGTGAATGGTTCCTCCACTTTCGCCCCTGTTGCATGTCTTATAACCTTTCAGACAAGTGACCTTGAGTTATCCAATATCGACAAAAGTGATACAAAAAGCGAATGTTCGGTCAGCTCCATGAAGCAACATAACAGACAGGTAAGAATGGAAACAGGCATCGCCATGGTAACATGAGCCATTTGACGTCACACAGTACGTAGTTGTGAAATACAATCCAATATATGAGTGATGGAATAAAATGGCCATCAATATTACATTTCTGTATATTACATTAGTAAACGTGTTTTCTATAAGCATTTCATGACTGATTACTCATGTAATGACGATGGTGAATTGCAAAACATGAGTAAGGTTAACGATTTAATTATCTGCTTGAATAGTTTTTACCCTGTTTGTCAGGAATTGTTCGGAAACATATGGAGAGTTCTCGTTTGTACAGTAAATGCATTGACATATTGTGGTGAGGTGAGGTGAAATTGGGTTTTACGTCGTGCTTGAGAATATTTCGCTCATATGACGACGTGCATGCGTGCGTATGTGTATGTGCGGCTGCTTGTACCAGCCTAGACTTAAGCTGGTTTTATAGTGCTAGCCCACTGAGATACCATGCCGCAGTGAAGCATGAATACCCCACTCAGACACATTATACTGACTCCGAGCCGACCAGTCCTTGTTGTACCCATTGATGCCGAGCGCCAGGCAGGGACCACCAAGTACCATATTTTAACGTATTTTGGTATGACGGGGATCGAACCCGCGACCTTCCGCTCTCCGGGCGGACGCTCTAACCACTACACCACGGAGGCGGTCTGACATATTGTGGTATAGGTGTACAACTGAACATGTATTTCTGTTTTATCAACTTTTGAATAATAAAAAGTAAACTTTATCATAGTGACGTTAGTATTTCATTGCAAATTGCTTAAATGCTGGCCTTGAACATACGAACATATATTTGGCAAGAACATACAAAGTTTTTAACATGTCTAGCACGGCCCACCCACACGGTCTGCGTCTAAAGCTGTATTGGGGCGGTGAGGTAACCTAGTGGTTAAAGCGTTCGCTGGTCACGCCAAAGATCCGGGTTCGATTCCCCACATGGGTTCAATGTGTGAAGCCCATGTCTGATGTCCCTCGGCATGGTATTGCTGGAAAATTGCTAAAAGTGGCGTAAAACCAAACTCACTTACTTAGTCAGTAAAGTTGTACGACTTGTTTCATATATGATAAACTCAAAACTATATACCACCACTGAAATTTTCCATTTAATCTTATTATCTTTGGGAGCTTGTTTACGTTTAAAAGGGTGAAAACTAAAACCTCCCGTCTCTTTCAAACTGGATTTATCTTTAATAGATTATAAAAGTGATAATAATTTCATTACAATATGTGTAGTGTAACCACAGCAATAGCTTGGAAAAACAGAATTTGCAATTTTGGATGTTGTCAAATTTAAGAAAATACCTGTTACCTATTCTTCTATAATGCATAATGCGATACATGTAAACACGATGACACTAACTTTTAACATGTACGAGGAGTATCGAATGTATTTTCCTGGTAGTCACATGTACTGATGTTTGACATTAGACCATCCTCCTTATAAAATGTTGGAAAGAATTACAATTATAACAAATACAATTTGGTGCTGATTTCAGCTCAAAGTGACTATCATTTTTAAACAAAGGGATATTGTTAATATTGGAACCTTCATATATTAACACACATTGAATAGGAATACAAATGTAATGGGTGCAACCATCGTGAACCAGACTTAGGCCAGACCCTGATTATCCAGAAAAACATTGATCGGTACACTTCACTACTGATGGGGATGTCTGTATATCTAAAATGATTCGTGATCATTAATCTGTGTTATTCCACCTGCACAGACACCGTCTTGATAGACAAAAGCTTGAAAATTGTTGTAAACTGTGCGAAATGCAAGCTCAGCTTCTACATTTATGTAACGTTTAACTATCTGTAGAGAAGCGAACTATCAGAGACCGCATGGAAGTGAAATCGCAGTGAAGTGAGACCAATGAAAAAAGACTATTTGGGGGTTCGTTTGATCACTCGTTCTGGCCAACATTTTCGCTATCCATGTATTAAAAAGGATTAAGAAATACACGCCGTTCGGTTTTCTGTTAGCTGAATAATGGATGTTGTTTGAGCATGGTGTTTTGTGAGAAGTTTGTCACTATGTGGTCCGCAATGTTTCATGGACTGCTTATTCCACAGGACCTGTACTGTATCCTAATCAGACGCTACACAAGAGATGTTGAGAGACAGAGAAGTGAAGGGGATGACGGTGAGTCACAAACGAATACATCCACAACATCACATCAGAATCCAATACTTCCAAATAAGTTATAAATCCATACTCACCTTTTATGAACGAAAGGGATTATTATAGCTTTCTTAGATAGATTTATGACTTTCTCTCATTTTTCCATAGTAACCTTACAAAATCCTTTCTGTAGAAACATTTAGTTTTGTCAAATGAATGTTCTGATTATTATCAGTTGTAAGCATGCCCTGTGTTGTGTTCTGATTGTGAAATCCACCTTTGAAATTAAATTGTATAACAACAAGCTCTTGAAGACAAGTAAAACTTTCCAAAGGTCAGTTTGGCATTTGGCATTTTACCATAGACGCCGTCATCTTATTTGGCGTCTGAATATACGAAACACTGAATTGAACTTCTTGTTTGTTTATTGATGGACAACATGGCTGTTACATCAGAACAATCTACTATGATTTTTTAGACTTTTTAGAAAACAATAGATTAGCACAGCAATATTATACTGTGTCTAATTCTGGTTGCGGTTTTCTCGAATACATTTGTAAAGATTTCTTGGTCTACTTTTACAACATGCCATATTTTACATATATTATTTAATTTGCCTGATTATCAACGTTTCAATTATTTGACTTCCAGCACCACACGGTTAGTATATCGAAGAAGCAGTGAGGTAGACAGTAGTTATGGGAATAGCATCCGGACACAGTTTCACAAACATGAGAAAGATGCGATGCAGCACTGTTTTCGTGGCATCGAACGACAACAGTTTTATGGCGTTGACCGAATACAACAACTCGTCCATTAAACATTACATAAAACAAAGCACAACCCGAGTTCAGTCAACTAGTACGCATGTATGAGTTTTAAGCATCAGAAGGGGTCATGGTACCCGATGGGGTTCTACCAAAGTATACTTGCGCTAAGTCATCTTACGATGATCGATGATCATAGCTTTTAGGACCAAGAGCAGTGTATAGGGCTGCAATTACTCTGTTTAAGAAGCCGCTAAGGTAACTTCATCTCTTACCATTTATCAGTTAATACAGTTCGAGCTAACGATGTCTTATTGTACAAAAATTAACAAACAAGAATATAAAGAATCTGTTAACGTATCACAATGTCGTAAGAAAAGTACTCGTAATTCGTACTTTGTTACTGGTATGAACATGGAGTACTTTGTAAACATTTGATCACACATTCATTTTGGAAATGAACGCAAAGAAAATCACTCAATGATAGTCAATACCGGTATATGGAAATCGGTTCCCCACAATGATCTGGAAACACTGAAACTAAAGTCGTCGTTCCACGATAACAGGTTCTGCAAATTTTCATCAATGTCATGGGTGCTCAATATAACTCATGGAAAGTGTATCTTGATTTATCTTAATTTTCTGAGGACCAGATGTGAAATGTCAACGCAAAATAAAAACTAGTTTCTGTTTCGAGACAAAATAGTTTCCTTGTGACGTAAAAGGACAAAATAGCATTGATGATTACATGAACTGATTACTGAATATCGGGGACGAAACCATGTGTTCGCATCTTTCTCTCTTTGTGGAACCGTTACCTCAGGGGCATGTTAATGCACATTTATTCCAGGCCTGTGCATAGCTGCGGAGGACAATTTATGCACATCCATTTGGTATTTGGTATGTATTAGACATATACATGCACAGCTTCTTGCCCATTCAGAACCACTCGTGCCCTTCCGGAAGACTCTACGAGTTATTCTGAATGGCACGAATGGTTAATTGCTTGCCAAAACAGTGCCTAGCAAACGAGTAATCGTTCCATGTTCGCTTGATGCCCTTCCATGCACGATATGCCAGAAGAGTTACCTCCCTTTATATCGATTTCATTCGATCAGTGAATCGTTTTATGATGTCTTTTGGAACACAGGGGATTTTTTCTAACGTTTGATACGTAATATTTGAAGTTAACATTCAGTTTGGGTGGCCATAGAGGGATAAAACTTACTTGAAATTCGGTAAATTCGGTGATGTTAAGGGGAGATCACTCACCTGATTTAATGTTGTCAATAATGGCCGGAGTAGTTGCATAGAATCCCATAGAGTGACTGGTTATTAAGTGCATCCGGGTAAGTTACGGTGTATACATATATGTCATGTGTGAATTATGTTTTATTCAACCCTGTAAATCCGTATGTTTTCTATTTACAAGTATTCCAAAAAATATATAGATTCTGTTAATGACACTGTCTTACACAAATGTTTGATAGTAGTCATGAGTGAGTGAGCGAGTTTAGTTTAACGCCGCACTCAGCAATATTCCAGCTATATGGCGGCGGTCTGTAAATAATCGAGTCTGAACCAGACAATCCAGTGATCAACAGCATGATCATCACTCTACGCAGTTGGGATACGATGACATGTGTCAACCAAGTCAGTGAGCCTGAGCTCACAATCCCGTTAGTCGCCTCTTACAACAAGCATGGGTCACTGAAGATCAGTTCTAACCTGGATCTTCACGGGTAGTTAGAAAATGAGCAAACATTATCGAGGTAACAGCTCGTGGTACAAATGTGATTGACAAGATCACTTGAATAATGTCTCATAACAACTCATGTACCTACATTCATTACATAACAAAAGATGCAAAGAGATCACACACGGTTTGCAAATGACCTAAGGTTTTATTAAGGATTCAGAATTTAGTTCACTGAGCAGGCCGGAAACATATGATCGTGTTCGAATCCAGGTTAAACCCGATAATGTTTCTAGGTGTTTAAGCACCACACCAGTGCTCGTTCATACAAAGCACCATACTAATTCACCTACACTAAGGGCCTTCGTCCCTCGTAATGGTGACACACCCTGATTTAACTTGAATACTGTTCCAAGAGGACTGAAACGAAACTCAATTACCCAATATTAAGGATATTCACAAGCGTGTCTTAAAATACATGTATGTATTATACCATTCTAAAAAGTAGGGTGATATTGGATTTACAAGATTGATAAAATACAAATGATGACGCCAAGGCGGAAACAGATGATGAAGAGAAATTAAGGGAAAATGAGACAATTTATTCCATTCCTTTGGAAATGTTTCATCTGAATGGATATATATTACTTTTTCTTATATGCATTGGCATTGGCTAGTGGTATGCTCGCAAAATGGAATATCCCCAACTTATTTTAATGGTATATTTATGGACCTGTTGTTCCCTGTCATTATTAGGGACATCTAAAGGAGTGCCTTGCAATGCCCCTGTTATATTTATGGACCGTTTGTGTCCATCACTATAAAGGACATTCAGTGGAATGTCTTCAAATACACGTATGGTATATTAATGGACCGGTTGCTTCCTGTCACTAATAAGGACATCCAAAAGAGTGCCTTGCAATGCCCTTGTTATATCTATGGACCGTTTTTGTCCCTCTGTGTAAAGGACATTCAATGGAATTTTTTGAAATACGCGTATGGTTTATTTATGGACCCGATTGTTTCCTGTCACTAATAGGGACATCCAAAAGAATGCCTTGCAATGTCCCTTTTATATCTATGGACCGTTTTTGTCCATCACTATAAAGGACATTCAATCGAGTGTCTTGAAAAACGCGTATGTTTTATTTATGTCCCTTACTATTAAGGGCATCCAAAAGAGAGTCTTAAAATGCTCCTTTGTCTAATTTATGGACCGTCACGGTAAGTTTTTTACTAGATGTGCAGTTTTAGAAAATAACCAGCCTAATACGAATGGCACTGGGCGTATTGTGGATAATTCCTATGACAACTGGCGCATGTCAATAAACAGCACCAACACACACTGTAACGGAACACATTTGGGACTGAGGTCATTGGCATGCGCAATAATATCAAACATATATGCACTGTTATGCTGTGAGGAAAACGTCCAATCATGGACGGGATGCATGTCTATGTTAACGATGCACTTAAAGTCACTGTAGGCGGACATCCGCAAGTCATACACAGTCACAATCACATTTCATTCTATGGATTCTTTAAAGAAGGTTGTTTGCATACAAAAACACCATCACTGCCATATTAAATGACCTTGCCTTCAACACAGTTCTATTTTCCAGTAGCCTTTTGAATAGATGTCTTAGCTTTGAATGTACTAAGAGCACAGGTAGTCACAAGAAAAGGTCTGGGACAATTATATGCACCTGCATAGAACCACGCCATGTATGTTTAGCTCTAAAGAACATTGTTTCAATAAAACTTGAAATATGATATCATAACTGTAACTGATATTATTATGTTTAGCGCTGAAGGCAAATCTTGGTATTGATCGCTGCATAAATTGAACTTGCTTACTTGAGAAATTATGAGTGAGTGAGTATGGTTTTACGCGGATTTCAGCAGTATTACAGCTATTTATCGGCGGTGGTGGAAACACAGGAACTGGGTTTCAGGCATTGTAACCATGTGGGTTACTGAAGCTTTCGGCATGAACGCTTTCACGACAATGCAACCCCACTGCCCTCAGAAATTAAGAAGCATGGGAATGTGTTGGCAGGGGCGAAGCTACCATTACGAAAAAAAGCCCGGGCTTACACATGATTGTTGCTAAAAAGGTTGGACAAGCCCTCAATTCTATTTAAATATAAAGCTTTGCAATCTATAGGGTTTACACGAATAAAATTGGCTTGCTACGCGCCTAGTTGGTATGGGTTGTGTTATTGTCACCAGCTTTTGCTGAAACTGTTCTTTGTCAATGACCGAACGGATGACATGTGATCATATTAAACGTGGCCACACCCTGATATCTTTATTACTTTACCTTCATGTATTTTACAAACTTGAGAACAGGAGACAAAATCAAACTATATTTATTGGTACAGCCGAAAAAGTTATTGAATATAACCTGAAAATATTATTATTTTAATGATAAGTAAATATGTAGTGGATTAACTTGCATTAGTCTTTTATCAATATGCCAATTAAGAAACAAACAATTATTATATTCTAAATAAAGCAAAAGCCACAATACCCTTTCTAGACAAACCTTGGCTCAAAACAGAATCGATTGTACGATTGTAGATTGTAAATTCATTTCTATGTTTTTAACAAAATCTTTTCAAAATGCATGTGTATCAATATGAGTGTAAACTGCACCAACTGAGGGTACTATACTACCCATCAAAAGTTTATAGTCACCTAAAGCACTCACTATATGTTATGTATGTATATATGGTTACATCGAAGATGAATTTCTCCACTAACTTGGGGGAACCAAATGCAAACTTTATGCAGATGAATTGTACGAGGATCATGCATCAAATTGCTAAAAAAACATGTGTAAATATCATTCATGTGAACAGCTGCGTTTTGGTGGAAAGTTTTGTTAAGAATTCGCCAAATTTCACTGATTTTCATCATTTACTGAACACATGACAATAATCTTTTCAACGTTACGAATTTGTTTTACAATACATTACTTCACGTGTAAACAGTACCATTAAACTGAATGGAATATTCTGCAAAATCAACTTTAGAACAGTTGACTGAAGTAAGTGGCTACATTTACACTAGTGAGTCTAAACCTTTCATGGGTAGTATATGTTAGTATGATTGGCCTTTGATAACAGATTTTACCTGCATTGCCATTTAACTGTTTCTTTCAGATGCCTCTGACGATATGTTGCGGAAACTGATCGAAAGGGTGACCTCCAAGATCGAGAAGAAGATAGAGGAGCTCTATTCTCGTGTCACGAATGTTGAAAGCAACGTGAACAACGTCCAGGAAGGCGAAGGCGACATCGTGAAGCTCCAGGTGGAACACACAACCCTGATCAAGGACGAAGGCCGAAAGAGGGAACTGGAAGTTGATAGGTTTGTCCATATGCTGGATCAAGCCAAACTGGAGCTTCTGTCCCGCATGGAAGCAGAAAGAATCGAAGTTATACGAATCTGGGAAGAGCAACTACGGGAAGTGCTGCGTCGACTCGACGATAGCAGAAGACGGGTGGCTGATCGTGTGGCTGATTTAGAAGCACTACACGCAGCGGATGAAGCTGCTAGAAGAGCATCAGGGCAACAGAGACCCCGTAGAACTGGACACGATGAATAGATTATGTTGCTGTGGTTTACAGGACATAGAACAGCCGTAGACTGATGTTACAAAGTTATTTCGAGGAATCGGACTCTAGAGTGTTTTGGGACTGGATGTAATTTTCTTCCGATAAGGCGTTATTTGACAATTTATTATAGTAGTTCTCTTTCAGACAGTTCTTGCACAGTTTAGTTCTCCGCATGGGTAGACTCAATTTTATTTAAACTCATAGTAGTTCATAGATGTTAAGCTCACATTACTAAGATTATGTGGAAATCTTTAAGTATCCGTTGCTAAGTCTTCATGATCCTTCTGCGGACATTTAAATGCATTACATCCTTCGAGTGGTTTTTCGTCTGTAATAGACCATCAATTCAATTGCTCTGTTCTTGACCAAACAAAGAACAGGAGAGAGATACTAAATTATGGAAAACGTAAACACTTATGGAGTTAAGGCAACACAAATTAAAGACATAATCCCCAATACGTTTGCATTGTAATATGAAAATATGTGTAGCTATTTCTGTTAGAAGTGTTCACATATCCGATACTTTTGTAGCTCTCTGGTATTTCTAATGGTAAGCCAATGTGCGCCTACACCAGTGATGAGATGTTCAGTCAACATTGCACAACTAAAAGGTTTTACCACTTTAAGCGGATATATAGTATATGTTTTCAATTCCTTTTCTCAAGCATTATAACTTTCAATGTTTAACTAAGGCTGATTATATGATCAAAATAATTTTATTTTATGCACAAATACTGTACATTCTATATGTGTTGTGTTGTTTATGACAATATCATTGTTATACACGTTTTATGTACATTTTACCCCTTAACATAAGCGATAATGCCAGGTGATTTTCAATGAAGTAAAAATAGTAAAATGAAGTAAGAGTAGCCAAATTGCAGAGTTTTAAGTAACTGGATACATAGCAAAAACTAGAATGAATTGTTTAAATAGAAGAAATTTCAAGTCAAATAATAATATATTTTTCACGTTGTGTCACACAAATTAGGATTTTTTGTTCTGATTGTATTCTGATACGTCTGATGTATTTCACACTTACTAACCCAAGAAAAAGAAGTACAAAGGTTTCGGGCTCTAACGGCACCAAACCTGGAAACCGGAAGCCAGTAAGGCCACATAAAAAATATTCTTGTTTCTCATGACGTTTTTAAAAAAAATATATTTTTAGATTTTATTTTATTTTAGGTCCAAAACCCACTGATTTGTGTGGAAATTTAATTTCTCTTGTGTTAAAAAGTAAAAAAAATCTTAGGGTCGGGTCGAATTTTTGGATCTGGCGGTAGTGAGAAACAGGAATATTTTTATATGGCCTAACATATTACAAGACGCAGTATAAAATTGACAGAGATGGTATTTTTGATATTATTAAATGATGTGAGGACGGGGAAGTGACAGAATGTTTGTGTGATAAGGGAAGGTCCTGTGTTGATGTCGGAACATTCGATTGTCTATCGGTTACTCACCGAATTGAATTCCACTAAGCGTAAAAGGCAAACTTATGAATAAGACAGAAAATACTAGCAATACAAGTAAAGGGAGACTCAAAATTTATCATTAAGAAAGAATCCTCTACATTACGACACATACATTGCTACTTTTCAAGTTTCACTTTTAAACCCCAAAACAAATAACAGAAAATACAGAGTATTTGCTTATGTTTGTGACATAGAATGTGATCTTCATAGTCTTATTTTATAAAATATCGTGGTATTTAAAGTGAAGGGAGGTAATTTCTAAAAGCGTTGTGTCTCTCGATATTGAGTCTATATTTGAAAACAAAAACAACTATGTTATTTCAAAATTAAAAAAGCATTTGCTTTCGATATGAAGTCTATATTCTAAAAATCCTACGTTATTTCATCATTAAAATAACATATGCTTCCACGTCAACCTCTTGGTTCCATTGTAACATTTTGGTGCCGTTACTGCCATCGTCCGTGTACCCAGATTCCTGGAAATCCACAGGGGAAATCGGCAAATGGTGCCATTATACCACACATTTCAATACTCCGTGCCTTAACATTAGATACAGCCCTCCGGGCTTTGATGGCTGCTTGTTTGCTTCTGACATTTCACCTCCAGAGAACGTGTCAAGATAGAAATTGATATTACACACAAATATACGATTTCTTTGTTATTTTATTGTGACATTCAAACTTAAAGGTTTCTTTTAATTTAAAAGATAAAGTTAAACGTGTTGATTTCATGTTCACAAATTTATAAAGGTCAGTATTTCTATTGTCAGATATATTGTTGATACACTTTGCCGTGATTTTGTCAATATCAATGTCATACATGTACTCGTTTTGAAGCGTGTTTATTAATATATCCTCTGGTCTTGTTTACCACTACACTGCTAAAATTGCATCTATTCGTGTATCGATTTTATGTGATTCTGCTCAAGGATATGTTATCAGTTATGGACTATGCAACTGTCAAGCTTTATTGTTCATAGTTTAACCATTAACCCCGTGTGTGTGTTACTCTGGAAAATGTTTGGTCTATTTCCGTTGGGATATTGTACATATATACAAGTGAACATTACTTCGAACTTATTATTCATGATTCTATTATATACTCTAGAAAACCAAATCTGCTGATCAGTACACGACTGCATAGATCATATTTGGCCATTATTTTAAGTTTGGTTTGATTGTTTTTTAACGCCGCACTCAGCAATATTCCAGCTACATATATATGTATATGGCGCGGTTTGTAAATAATCGATTCTGGACCAGACAATCAGTGATCAAGGCAATGACCATCGATCTACACAACTGGGATACGAAGACATTTGTCAACCAAGTCAGCCAGCATGACCTCCTGAGCTTACCACAAGCATAGGTTGCTGAAGGTCAATTCTAACCCGGATCTTTAAGAGTCCATTACTTTAAAAGGCTTGTTATTCAAGATAAATAGCAAATATAAGCATGTCAGTAATGTCCAATATCTGCCTTGGACCTTGGTTAAATACCTTATACATCACAGTACAATTTTTCAATTCTAAAAATATATCTTGGAACTGGAATATGTTTTAATAGGGGATCTAACTCAATACCCAGTGTCTGGAATGAACATATTTCAAGGATCGTAAAGAAAATGTCAGATAGAATTTCCACAATATTTAACCAATTACGGGGCAGGGGACACATTGTAACCAGGTACAGAATAGAAACCAGTCATTTCATGCGATGGACAATAGCTTTATCCATACGGCTACCCTGGACTAAACACAGCATGTACACGTGAACGCTGTAACAATGCGTGTAGGTTTAAGCAGATTGGTTTTCGAGAGCATGGCATCATCCTGTCGTCTGTACATAATATCTGGACCATCTATCAGACGCTGAACTACCTTCAGGTGATATGTTTCTGAACATGAAAGCCATTTAATCTATCGGTTTTGTAGATCGCGGTTGATCATGTGTATTTTACCATATATGTTATTAGTTATCATGCAGCTGGTAGATTGAACTGTCTTGTAGCTGGCTATGGTACTCCAGTATACTAGGTCACATACTGCATCGGCAATAAAAGGTCTTTTCAAATCTAGTTGTTGTGATTCTGTTCTGTAAAACAAAGATTTATGTCCTAGTGTCATAGTTTCTAGAGTGAGTGAGTTAGTAAGTGAGCTTAGTTTTAAGCCGTTTTTAGCAATATTCCAGCAATTCGGCGAGGGACACCAGAAATGGTCTTCACACATTGTACCCATGTGGGGAATCGAACCCGGGACTTCGGCGTGACCAGAAAACGCTTTAACCACTAGGCTACCCCACCACCCCTTTAGTTTCTAGAAGTAACATTTGTATTGCAACAAAACGCAAAATATATGTGTCAATGCATGGCCAAAGCGCCTCATTGTTACTCCGTCTATGGGTCCAGATCACTGTGCAGTCAATTGTCATTCTCATCTCCTTGAGACCGCCTCCGTGGTGTAGTGGTTAGAGCCTCCGCCCGGAGACGTTAAAATATGGTACTTGTTGGTCCCTGCCTGGCGCTCGGCATTAATGGGTACAACAAGGACTGGTCGGCTCGGAGTCAGTATAATGTGTCTGAGTGGGGTATTCACGCTTCACTGCGGCATGGTATCTCAGTGGGCTAGCACTATAAAACTAGCTTAAGTCTGGGCTAGTACAAGCAGCCGCACATTCACATACACACGCATGCACGTCGTCATATGAGCGAAATATTCTCAAGCACGACGTTAAAACCCAATTTCACTTCACCTCACCTCATCTCCTTGAAGAAGGTATACAATCCATGCTGCATTATTGGGCGTTACAAGGTTAACAGTCGCTTTGCACAATTACGATCTCATCCCACCGGGTACTCATTACATGCTGGGTAAACAGAGGCGTTTCGAGCAAATTTACTTGCCAGGGGAGACACCATTATGTGCTTCTGTCTTGGCCTGGACGGGGGCCCAAGGAACTCTCAGGGGTCAAGTTCCCCTGGTTTATTAACCATGCATGCTATCTTGGTTTTTGTTCGCTCTAACCTTACATACGCTGTTTTTATTTATTTCTTTCTTTATTTCATTTATTTATTTATTTAATAGAGAATGAATGTGCCACAGCAAGCAATGCCCCATCTTCACCAGGCAAAATGTATTCGACTCTGGGCCATTGAATCCAGTTTGTTAAACATGAGCAAAGATACACAATACAGGAGCAAGTGAGTGAGTGAGTGAGTTTAGTTTTACGCCGCACTCAGCAATATTCCAACTGTATGGCGGCAGTCTGTAAATAATCGGGTCTGGACCAGACAATCCAGTGATCAACAGCATGAGAATCGATCTGCGCAATTGGGAACCGATGGATGTGAGTAAGTGAGTCAGCGAGTGAGTGAGTGAGTTAGTAGCCTTTACGACAAGACTATAAATAGCAATGTTCAAACGAAACCTTGTAGAGGAATGTTTGATGATTCCAAATGAAACAAACAATGAGTGAGTTTAGTTTTACGCCGCACATACTCCAGCTATATGGCGGCAGTCTGTAAATAATCGCGCCTGGACCAGACAATCCAGTGATCAACAGCATGAGAATCGATCTGCGCAATTGGGAACCGATGACATGTGTTAACCAAGTTAGCGAGCCTGACCACCCGATCCCGTTAATCGCCTCTTACGACAAGCATGGGTTGCTGAAGACCAATACTAACCCGGATCTTGACGGGTATATATATCATCTAAATAATATTATATATAAGAAAAGAACTGCACTTAGTAGCACTCAAAGAATACCTCAGTATCATATTTGTACTTAGTAGTTTCACTAATAACTGGGGCGGTGGAGTAGCCTAACAGTTAAAGCGTTGGCTCGTCACGCCGAAGACCCGGGTTCGAATCCCCACATGGGTACTATGTGTGAAGCCCATTTCTTGTGTCCCCCGCCGTGATGTTGCTGGAATATTGCTAAAAGCGGCGTAAAACCAAACTCAGTCAGTCAGTCATTAATAACTTTAAAAATTATATATAATACATAAATCGTAGACAGCTTTTGTTTGGAAAATCAATGAATATGTATTCGCACAAATTTACATTAATTTTATTGTTAGATGTCATGTTGTTCCAAACGTGTGTGTTTTCCAATTCAGCTCGGTGTGCATGTATATTCGAACCCGGAGGGGCAAGATGACTCACGGTTAAGTTAGTTAGGAAGTGATCAAATGCAGGCTTTCTCTTAGGACAATCGTCGCTATATAGCTGATATAATGCTGATGCAGCGAGTGGCCTTGACTCTTACGACAGGTACCGGGGATCTATTGTATTCAGGGTCCACATGACGCTAGGAGAAAGTACGATCCATTGGCTTCCGTAAATGAGTTGATATGAACAGCGATTTAACGCAGGACAAAGGACTTGACCACTGGGCAAACTACTGACAAGACCATAACCAAGGCGAATCTGGGTTCGAACCCGGAAATGAAGTAAGGGTGTCTCATTGCAAGGCTCATCGTGTCAAATTAACTGGCGGCGGTCTGTAAATAATCGAGTCTGGACCAGGCAATCCAGTGATCAACAGCATGAGAATCGATCTGCGTAATTGGGACCCGATGACATGTGTCAACCAAGCCAGCGAGCCTGACCACCCGATCCCGTTAGTCGCCTCTTACGACAAGCATAGGTTACTGAAGGTTAATTCTAGCTCGGACCTTCACGGGTGGTCTGATATAAAAGTATTGGGTTATCCACCACATGGAGAGTCCTCAAATCTTCACACACTGGGTACGGCATCGGAGTAAATAGTGATATGTTAATGAGACTGTACATCGTAGAATAACACAAAGGCCTATGAGAAGCAGGAGGTGACAGAGAGGTTGGGCTCAAACTCGAGTGTAGGTTGACCACCTTATTCCAGCAAACGTTATTCCGACAAAGTGGTGAGTGAGTATGGTTTTACGCCGCGTTTTGCAATATTGCTGCAATATCATGCCGGGGGACACCAGAAATGGGCTTCACACATTGTACCCATGTATGGGATTCGAACCTGGGTGTTCGGCGTGACGAGCGAACTCATTAACCACTAGGCTACCCCGCCGCCCCTCCGACAATTTGAGTTGGTGAGATAGTGCGAGACTATGGTAACACACCACTTTAAGTAATATTCTTGCACTATCACGGTGGAGAACACCAGAAATGTACCTTTGTAGGGGATCGAACTGAGGTTTCCGGCGTTACTTTACCCATAAGGCCAACCTACCACCCTCTTCCCAACAAGATAGTGAATTGAGCCAACCGGTGTCAATACTGATCATGTTATGCAATCAAATGACATGATATTTATCGCGGCCCAAACAAATATAATGAATACATAATATTGCGTAGATGACAAAATATTTGTTTAATGAATCTCTCATAGACAATAGTGTATAAAACATATCACAGATTACAGGGGTGACCAAACCGAACCTCCTCTCAACTACGGCTTGCGGTCAGAAGTCGCTCCATGATAGCGTGGCCAAGTGGAGCAAGGTCTGCTGGCCCTCACGTCACCTCCATGAAGTAGACAGAACGATCCTCTCGATCGCCGTCAGCTAGACGTCATAATACCTTATCCTCATGAACCATTTATGGTAGCGTCTAGTTGAAGTTGACAAAACAAACGACGTATCAACAGTGGCCTGTCAGACATCACAACCCTCCCGATGATAGAGTTCTTGACGAGGCAAGCTGGACAAAACGAACGTCTTCTCGATGGCCGAGCCGAGCCAGTCACGAAATACACACACGATCGAGTCCGGGACGATTTAGACAAGACAAACTTCACATTAATCTCGACTGAGCAGCACTAGACAAAACAAATGTCCCAAAACTCGCAGCCGAGACGCAATTGGCAACACAATTTTGAGTCTGACCTCCCACCAAACACACTCACTTTCCCCTACACCCGAGGACGTTTGGTTTGATCAGCTGTCCATTTGAGAAAATTTGTAATAGTCCGAGGCAGAGGAATGTTTTACTGTCAAGTTGTTAAATATTCGGTGGACATATTTTTTAACATAAAACATATATGTCTATTTTAATCTTTTCTCTGCCAACTTGTCTTTTTTCTTCCACCATTCCACAATCGGGTCGTCTCTTCCCAAGGGTTTTACCACGTCTTCGGCCATTGGATAATATATGGTGTCTCTTATATGGTATTCTCTCCCAGAATTCCTGAATCCAACCCGAATCTTGTCTCGCACGGTTACGGGACATTCCCATTCAGTTGAAGGGGTGTCGGGTGGCAAGTCGTGTTGAGCGAATGAAATCTCTGGCTGGAGGGCGATATAACAGTTATCACACTCGAATCCGTATCGGGAATTATCGGCCGGGTAGCAAGGTGCGAATGTGGTGATGAAGAAAGTTATTTTATTGAATTCAAAGACCCATCCCTTTCGTCCGATGTAGGACTTGTCCATACACCGCCACCCTGTTGGGTCGTGGTCGGATATCTGTTTGAGCACACGCCTCACGGCGTCTCCAAATATCTGAAATAGACAAGGCAAATGTAGAATCACTGAAAACTGATACTCAAATATACTACCCACACTTTAAGGATCACAAAAATTCACAACTTTACTTAAATGTAGATTTATAATTTGAAATTGTATCCATTTAAAACTGGATAAATAATGATATGGTAACCCCTCTTTAGGCAAACAGCCACTTTAATCTAACCTTATGCACTTGATACATGAGTAACCATAAAAATGGTTTTCATGGCACCAATCAACCATTTTGCAAATCATGGAACGAGTCATTGACAAATAAACAACACCTGTCAATAGCAGCTATGGGATCCACAAGATGCAATGACATACTGAAACCTAGGATCCGTGCTGACAATAAGCTTAGATATTTAAACCAAATTTGACCGCACATAATAGTTTTCTGTTGAATCCATGAATTGATCCTTAGCAAAGTGTGAATAGTATAGATATCTGGGCTTCAACAAAATTGTTACACAAGTGCATATCAATGTCCTCCGTGGTTTGTTTACTCCAGCAAAAGCAGATTCGAGGAACGAATGTATTTTAGATATGCAACATAAGTTATATTTAGGAGATAGAGTGAGTTAGTGAGTGGTGAAGTAGCCCAGTGATTAAAGCGTTCGTTCGTCACGCTGAAGACCCGGGTTCGATTCCCCACATTGGTAAAATGTGTGAAGATCATTTCTGGTGTACCCCGGCATGATCAACGTCGGGAATCGTTTGACCTTTTCAGGTGAGCTAAATACCTGATTCCACGCCTCCTGAATAATGGCACCTCAATATTAGATACACCAATAACGCCTATATGTGTCAGAGATCAGTATCAGCTGAATCCAGTCTTGTTTACGCCGCTTTTAGCAATATTCCAGCAATATCACGGCGGGAACACAAGAAATGGGCTTCACACATTGTTCCATGAAGGGAATCGAACCCGGGCCATCGGCGTGACGAGCGAACGCTTTAACCACGAGGCTACCGAACCGCCCGACAATATTAATAGAACTGAAACGGGAGAATCGACATTTTTAAAAAGAATTTTCTTGTTTTCCAGTTCATTACTATTCAAATTAAATGGGTTTCAGAACACTTCTGTGGCAACTCAAATAGATATAAGTAACTTATTAAATATTCGTTGTCGAAACATTGAAACCTCATTTGCAATAAAAGGACATCGGTTTTTTAAAAATATAGCACAATCAAACATTTCGCTTTTTCAACTGCACATTGTGTTGCATTGCTTGCGCTTCGGTGGGCGACTGATACGCATCATACAGTGAGTGAGTGAGTGAGTATGGTTTTACGCCGCTTTTAGCAATATTCCTTCAATATCAGGGCAGGGGACACAGAAGTGGGCTTCACACAATGCACCCATGTGGCGAATCGAACCCGGGACTTCAGCGTGACGAGCGGAAGTTTTTAACCATCAGGCCACATAAATATATTACTTGTTTCTCATCACGTTTATTTTTTTTTTAAATGGGTAGGTTAGGCGGGTTTTATTTTTATTTTTTCATATTTTTTCTGATTTTCTATACAATGTTAGTCGAAACCTTGGATTGCCGGAAGCTGAGACGGATTGAGGAAGTCTGTCGGCTTGATACAAGCAAATTTACCAGTGCAAAAGTGTGTGCTTTTAAAATTAGGGTCCGGCCAAATTGTAGGGTCGGGCGTTAATGAGAAAAAAGAAATTATTTTGATGTGGCCTCAGGCCACGACAAACATGGGTTACTGAAAACATCAGACAACATGATGACACGCAGTCAAAGCACGTTCCATGATTGTCGGCCTGATATAAAGTCTGCACCATGTTCCAAAATTGCAGTTATTGTAAACTAAAATTGCAGAGAGTGACACAGGTGAATAGTCTATAGTCATTCCATAAACGTTTAATCTCACATCAACTGTGCAGTAGAAAACCATAAGAACTTGCGTCGTTGTGTCATTGGCTTCAAGAAGGGCCCAGAAACAGTTCAAAGCCATGATCTGTATTGCTGCAAACATTTGTGCAATGGCGCATTGTCCTCGTGTAAAGTACACCGTTTCTTGGGATTCCAGGCTAAATTTCATTAAGTAATTGCCTCAGAAGTGTAGCAAAATCTGCTCCGTTTAGCAGCTGGCCTTTCGGAAAATAATTTTACATGGTGATGCACTCGCCTTCCAAAACCACGGCCAGCCTTCCCTTGTGTCAAATTCATGTGTTCACAGATGGAGTCCGTTTCCTGCCGGTTTTTGACAACTCACGTTCTTCAAATTTGCATGTTATCCACAAGCCGCAGGCCCGATTATATAAAACAGACTTGTCAAATCGGAACAATTAGCTCAGTAAACCCATGGCTATGAGGCTGCATCTCGACATCACATGATATTAATAACAAAATATCTGTCTGTTCGATCTGAGGCTCAGGATTTATCAGTCGATTAAAGTAGTCGAAGACATTTCAACATGTACTCATACTGAGACCACCACTTCCTCTTTCATAAGAGTTAGTCTAGTGGTTAAAGCGTTCGCTCGTCACGCCGAAGACCCGGGTTCGATTCCCCACATGCTTACAATGTTTGAAGCCCATTTCTGGTGACCTCCGCAGTGATATAACTTGCATATTGCTAAAACCGGCGTAAATCTAAACTCACTCCACTTTCAAGGAGACATTTGTTGACAATAAATCTATATCATATTTTAAAATTGACCTAAGTATAACAGGCATGTGATCACGTAGCTCCATTCATTGACATTCACCACCACTGACATTAACCATTACAGACACTTACGCATCTCGGAAATAAGGTCAGATGACGATGATTCTGTTTTAAGTCGGTTATCATAATAGGATTAATAAATTGTGTTAATCATACACTTAAGGTTCCGATGCAATTTGGGCTATTAGCGTTGTCCAAAGACCGAAGATTTGTTGACCCTATCCAGTTGCACTGGTTCTCTCCGCCTAATAGCGATAATGCTGCATGACCAACTGATACGTAATAAAAAAATCTCTCGTAGTAATAACAAAATAATTTCAACTCATTAATAACGACTTAAAAATGGTTTTGCTTACAGCTAAATGCAATAGACATGTGAGCTCTGGCACTTTGGTACGTAACAACATAGATCAACAGTCATAAACAATATTAACCATAAATGAGATATATGTAATGTTGACGGGAAAAACTGTTCCGTGGACTGTAATTGATGAGAAATTATCCACTGGCATTACACTGGGTTGGCTGGTCACCCAGACGCACCCCCTCGGCGCTGATTACTGTTAACTGCGTTGATTAGAGTAATTGGTTGCGTGTCAAACTAAACAGAGCGACTCTGTCTCGCGAACCACTCACGTCAATCTATGTATTCCCATCGTAGCAATTTCGAGTGGAATGTGACAAAGAATAGATGTAAAAAGTCATATGAAATGTTAAATCACCCCTTTCCGGTGTATCATTTAGTTGGGGTTTTTTGGGGTTTTTTGTGTGTGTGTGTGTGTTTGTGTGTTTGTTTGGGTTTCTGGTTTTGTTTTGTTTTTTTGTTTGGTTTTTTGTGTGTGTGTGTGTTTGGTTTGGTTATGTGTTTTGTTGGGGTGTTGTGTGTTTGGGTGTGTGTGTGTGTGTGTTGTGTGTGTGTGTGTGTGTGTGTGTGTGTGTCTGCTGATGTTTAACACCGCACTCAGCAATAATCCAGTTGAATGGCAGCGGTCTGTAAATAATCCAGTCTGGATCAGACAATCCAATGACCAACATCATGCCCATTTAAAGTTATTAATATCTGAGCCCATTCACCACAGTATATATATTTTCTATTCAGAAGAGGTGTCACCGCCTCCATTACATTTATCAAGGGGCGGTGGGGTAGTCTAATGGTTAAGGCGTTCGCTCGTCACGCTGAAGACCCCGGTTCGATTCCCCACGTGGGCACAATGTGTGAAGCTCATTTCTGGTGTCCCCCGCCGTGATATTGCTGGAATATTGCTAAAAGCGGCGTAAAAGTAAACTCAGTCAGTCAGTCAGTTTATCAAAGTGGTCGAGGACAGAGTAGATCTCTCTCATGGGTGAGTGAGTGAGCTGGGTTTAACGCTATTTGGAACAGTAACTGAATTTAAGTTGAGTCACAGCGTGCCGGCTTAATATTACTTGGGAGGAAAGCCCTGAGTTAATGAAGGGCTCAGTCGTTTACCACATTTGTGAAACCTACGGATATGGTATTTTGCTGACATTCAGATACATAATCAAAATCGGGCTAATCGGGATTCGACCTGATCGAAGCTTTCTGGTGTGTTGAAGGGAAAAACCTCTTCACAGCTGGTTGCGTCACCATAAATACTAGGGCTGCGCAATATAACCGGTTTACCGGTATTTACCGGTTCACACATGAAAACGATACGTATTGCGATACGCTGATCGAAAACCGGTATTTTGACATGCATTCGGAAAACTTCGTAACACTCGGTAATCTTGATGATTGTGGAAACTGTGGTGGTGGGGAATGATCGTGGTGAAAATTACATTTAACTGGATTGTTAAGTTCTTTTCCTTGTTTCATTTGTGCCAAATATTATTTACATTTGTACTTTGTCATAATTAAAAGTTTTTAGTAAGGTGAATCAAGCATAGTGATTTTGTAGTGGTTTTGCTTTATAAATCAAACATAACTCGATTATAAGTAGTTTTTTGTTAATAAAAACATCTTGCAATATATTGCAATACACATCGCAATACATGCTTTTGCATCGCAATATATCCCAATATGAAAATTCTCTGCAATACCCACCCCTAATAAATACTGGGGGCCCCCGGGTTATGGTGGCCCTACTCTCGTTCATGGGATCAGACTGACTGGATCGGGATACAAAACGAAGTAATGACGGCAAATGTGTCCAGACTATTTTTGACGTAACAGAAAAGTACTTATTCTAACGCTTGGCAAGCCTCCGCTTCATTTGCCTCGTGGCTCATTTGTAATATTATACGTCCGCTTCATTCATATCAACGTGTAATGGTAAAGATATGTGTCAGAAACCACTAACTTTTGTTTCGGTGTTTAACGCTGCACTCAGCAATACTCCAGCTTCACAACGGCTGCTGTAAATAAACGACTCTGGACTAGACAACCCAGTGACTGACAACATGAACACCTATCTGCGCAATTGTACGATGACATGTCAACCAAGTCAGGATGTCTGACAACCTCACTCCTCATTCGCCTCTTCGCAAGAAGACAAATTCTAATCCGGATCACCACTGGTACACGGAAGACTGACTGACTGACTGAGTATGGTTTTACGCCGTTTTTAGCAATATTCCAGCAATATCACGGCTGGGGACACCAGAAATGGGCTTCACAAATTGTACCCATGTGGGGAATCGAACCCGGGCCTTCGGCGTGACGAGCGAACGCTTTAACCACTAGGCTACCTCACCGCCCGGTACGAAGAAGGATAAAGAGTTGGTTAGTGTAGTAATTAAGTCATGCTTTAAACTTGTTGAAACACTTCAGAACGTGTAACATGAAATCAATGTTTGTGTTGTTGCTTAAAAAATACTGATTTATTAAAATTCTTAGAATACGTGTGAACAAGAGTACACTTCCTTGTTTCACGATGTTATGTATATATGAGTGAGTGAATGAGTGAGTTTAGCCTTACGCCGCTTTTAGCAATATTCCAACATTATCACATCGGGGGACACCAGAAATGGGCTTCAGACATTGTACCCATGTGAGGAATCGAACGGAAAGTCATCATCATCTTGATACCCCATAGGCGGATCCAGACGAGGGGGTGCAGGGGTGCGCACCCCTCCTTTGGTGCTGAAAGTTTGTTAAATGACCATTGAAACTCGGGTGAAAATGAACTGTGCACCCCTCCTTTCTAAATAGAGTGCACCCCCCCTTTCTCAAAAAGCTGTATCCGCCCCTGTACCCCATATTTGCGAAGACAGTGCGGGCCACTGCTGTCATCGACAGATGTGCAAACACACCCCTTTCTCAAAAAGGTGTATCTGCCCCTGCATTAACAGAGATATTCACCAATGATTCCGCCAACAACCAGACGCAGTGAGCTCTTGAAACGCATGCGTTTCTCCGGATGCAGTTATCCCCGATTATCACCTACTGATGCCTCGTGCGCCTCATGGCAGGAAGCGCACATAAAATCTCAGACAGCCATTTCTCCCTGATTTTATTTCATACAAAAAAAATTATTTATTTTTTTTATTAGCATAGGGAAATATGTTACATATCCGATGCATAAGTACATATATATATCAAGATGTTACACTGCTACTATGTGAATACAAATATATCCATTTCACATAGCGATGAAGATCTTATCCACCGATGTGAAAGTAACATCCTCCAAAATGTACAGCATTTGCTTTACATGCTATATTGAAAAATTAGGGCCATACAATGTAAATGGCATTAACAGTAACTGTCATTGAATCACTGTCTGTGTTGTCATCTTCTCCAAGCCATTTCCTGAACAGCAAAGTATTAACATGCACTGGGTGCAGGTTGGTATCAGTATAAGGTTGAATTTTGCAGTTTCGCGGTCTGCACCACTGCAAGCTCTAAATGCTCCAATCAAGCCCAACTCCATATAACCGAAAAGGAAACAGCATAAAACACAACTCAGTCATTGTTCATTATATAATCCATTTAACCGCCATAAAAAATACATATACAAGAGCAAGTGGTGTATGAACAGCTCACGCCCAGAAATATATTATTGCAGTAAATGACTTACATTCACATCCTTGCCATACTCCTCTCCTGGAAGTTCTATCAGAAACATGTCCAACCCAAGGTCTTCACAGACCATGCTGAACTTCAGTAGTGTGGGAAGTGATCTGAAATGAGGTCGAAAGTTCATGGTTATACCTTTTGATTGTGTTTTTGGCTGAAGCTTGGTAATAATCCCCAATTGTGCAAGTTTCAATATCAAATAACACTTGATGTAGTAAACACACATGACAACTACCATTATTGCTCTTGTCCTTCCAGATATCCATCCATCCATAAATCTTTCAGTCCATCCATCCATTTTTCCACTTACCCATTCACAAACCCTACACACTAAGATTTCATGGACTCATGGAATAAGGAGATTGGTTGGTTTGTTGTTTAATGCCGGTGTCAGCGATATTCCAGCTATATGGCAGTGGACTGTAAATAATCAAATCTGGACCAGACCATCCAGTGATCAACAGCATGATCATCAATCTATGCAAATGGGATACAATGACATGTGTCAACTAGTGTGTTCCGATTACTTGAAATAATCGAAGATTGATCACAGTGACCAAACGACCAAGCAATCGATCACATTTTCTCATAATCGAACATAAACGATTTTGGAACAACTGTTTTAGTCTTTGAAATACTTGACAGTGGAACATATCGTTGAAGTTGTCAGGGCATGAAACCGTGTTTAATTCTTAGAAAACCCACTTCACTAGCTGAAAATCCATGACTGAATATTTCTTGAAGACTCCGGGAAGTTTATGTTCATGATATATTAGTCATCACTTTAAAGTAGCAAGTTGCATCATGTTATACATATCTGCAATAACAATCTGGATAGGAAAATCTGAAAAAATGACGCTAACCAATTTTTTTCGATGATTGTTCGTTGGTAATGAAACAATCATCAATTGTGAGATTTCAATTAATTCCTAACACTAGTGTCAACCAAGTCAGCAAGCCTGACCACCCATCTCCTTAGTCGCCTCTTACTACAAGTATGGGTTGCTGAAGACCAATTCTAACCCAGACCTTCACAGGTGGAATAACGATCTACTACAAGGTAAGATGCTATCAGACAAACCAGCAATATTAAATCAGTCACCTGGTAAAACAACAAAGGATTAACTTAGAAACCGCTTCGGTCATGCTTAAACTGATGAACAGTTTCTGTGAAAGTACAGAGTTATGTCCCTTTCACTTACAAGTCATAATGTTTCCAGTGTATATTTTACAAATAATTACTCATGACTCGATCTTTGAGCAAAAGCAAGGAACCAACCCCTAGGGTAGTCCATCAGCACTGAGGCTTCAATCATACCTACCTCAGTACCAGCCAGACCCAACTACCCAAATGACCTGTCCCAGCCCCTGCTTAAGAAACAGATACTGTGAGGTGAGGTGAGGTGAGGTGAAATTGGGTTTAACGTCGTACTTGAGAATTTTACGCTCATATGACGACGTGCATGCATGTGTATGTGTATATGCGGCTGCTTGTACTAGCCCAGACTGAAGCTGGTTTTATAGTGCTAGCCCACTGACATACCATGCCGCAGTGAAGCATGAATACCCTACTCAGACACATTATACCGACTCCCGAGCCGACCAGTTCTTGTTGTACCCATTAATGCCGAGTACCAGGAAGGGACCATCAAGTACCATATTTTGAGGCCTTTTGGTATGACGCGGTCAGGGATTGAATCCGCGACCTTCCGCTCTCCGGGCGGACGCTCTAACTACTACACCACAGAGGCGGTCCAGATACTGTCTCAAAACAATACTAAACACAAACTTACCTGTAAACATTCTCCTCTGTTCCATGGTTTCGTTTTGGGTAAAAGAAAAACAATAACATTATAATGTTCATTTTGTGCAATGGAGTAATCTTTTAAAGCTTGACACAAAATAAGAATGGTTAAGACATGTTAGCAACTCAGCTAAGTACACTTATACTAAAGCATAAAAAAGGCTATAGACATCATCTAATGTTTTCCTTTGTTCTTTGAGTATGTTTCAGTTTTCTTTATATAAACCTGAAGGGTGCTTCTCACTATATATTAAGCATCTCTTGTTTTCCCGGAATAACCGCATTTGAGGTTTTTGTTTGCTCTCAGGTTTTACTTTTTGTAAATAAGACCTCTTCCCAGGTTTTACTTTTTGTAAGTAAGACCTCTTCTAGGTTTTATTTTTTCCTAACTCTATATGAACATCAACATTCAAATGATATATGAGTGTTTGAAATCAACTAAAAAATATCGTCCAAGATCAATTTCAAAGTGCAAATGTTTTCCCAAGCAGGATTAGAACCGCATCTATCAGGTTAATAACCAGATGCTTAGTCTCTCGTACAGACCCTGAAGCAAATATATCCAAGAAAGCCCACGCAAGTCCAGAAAATGTGGCAAGTCTAGATTTCCACAGCTTCAGGGAAGAAAGTCTCAGGGCTCCTTTTCATTATATATTTCTTTTTTACTATGAACGTTTTTTTCAGTAAAATATGTTCATTTCAGAGACTAGTTGTTAGTCTACCAGATGCTCTACCTCACAGCCACCAAGCCAACAAGGTTGCTGGGGTTGAATTATCTATTTATAGTTACTGTCATTAAATTGATTTTACTTGTGCTTCAGTTATTGTTATGTAGCTTCATTAAATGATCATCTACATTATAATTATCCATCACTGACGGTTTATATGTTAGGGAAAACACTTCCTCTCGGTTTTGGTAGAGAATGGAAAGCCCCTCGGGATTTCCCTCCTACCTCGGTTCTACATTCTCTACCAAAACCTCAGGGGCGTGTTTTCTCCTGAGAGAGTGGGTGAGTGAGTGAGTGAGTGGGTGGGTGGGTGGGTGAGTGGGTGAGTGAGTGTGGTTTTATGCCACTTTCAGCAATATTCCAGCAATATCATGGTAGGTGGCCTCAGAAATCTGCTTCACACATTATACCCAAGAGGGGGATCAAACCTGGGTCTTCAGCAGGATGAGCAAACCCTCTAACCACAAGGCTACCCCATCACTCTCCATACCCTCCTTAACAAAAAACCTTGGTAACTTAATTTTAGCGTCTCAAAACTTATTTTGACAATGAGGTGATATATAAGTTTCTCAAAGTTTCTAAGAATATGCAAATTAGAACTGACCATTTATGCCAACACTGCTAGTCTTAGACTAATGATAACTATATATTAATAACTTAATATTCACCAGAATGTCCCAAGAACTTTGAGTTGACATGATTTACTGAATATGGGGTTAACACAGCCATGTCTATGATGTTTGACTGGGAGTCCTTAGCATGAAAATTGGTAAAAAATAATGACATGACCAAAAATTTGAATAATTTCATGTCCATTAATTCTGATGATTTGGGAAATTTTCATTTCAATTGGGGATTATTTGCTGTCATTTTCTGAAAACTGTCCAAAATGAACAGGTCAAGATCAAGATCAAAAACTGTAATATAAGGGTAATGCTATTTTGAGGGCATTATCATTTGCAGAAGCCTGAGGTCTTCCATTAAAAAGACCGAGGGCTTCTGCAAATCATAATGCCCTCAAAATTAGCATTACCGTTATTATTGCTAAAATACATGGAATTTGTGTTGAAAAGAAAAAGGAAACAATGAAGGAATTTGACTGTAACTTTACCCAAATCAACTTCTGATGGGGTTGACTGCCCGAATGCAATTACGTCATCGAACAATTCAAGTGACGTCACAACAGAAAGTGACAATATTCGACCTTGGCCTTTGACAAGACCATAGCCTGCAACATGTCAAACTATGTCAGTGTTCGGTTTTGGTCCATCAACAGCCTTAATAGTGCAATTGTTGGTTAGCACCAACAAGAAAGCCAATATTACCGCTATTTAAAGCGGGAATTCGGGTTGCTTTGACTTGTTTGACCCAGAATATCTGCCAGTCGAAAGCCAATTAATGTCGAATGAACCGTAAGCCCACGCACCCACTATGACTTCACTTGACAACAGAACTGATAGTGGCCCGTCGTTAAGGTTGAGCGGTCCAATATCATTTGCAGCGGCCCGCACATTTCTGATAATGGGAGGGCCGTTTCATGATAATTCCATGTATTTTAGCTATAATGACTGTTAAACGGGTACCTATACTGAGAGCAGTGTTCCAGCTTGTAGAACCCCACACTCTCGCTTTCTTGGCAAATATGCACTCGGTGTTCTGCTTGATTGGGTTAAAGTTGACCACGCTGTCAGCATTCTCAGCATCATAAGTTACAAAACTGCACACTGCTTGTTCCACCTCCCTCTTCTTCTTATCAGACAAGACTGGACATCTTGGCTTGCCCTTGAGGGGGTTGTCCTTCAAGTCAATCCCTCGTACAGTCAATTCCACAACTGGCCGGATAAGGAATGATGCTATGGAAATGAAGGATGACATGCGTTAAATATTCATGATGTCTGAGAAAACAACATGATATATCACACTGGCTTGCCACACAAAGGTGGGAGGATCTACACTGCTTCGACATTATGATAAAGAAGTTGTAATCCATTAATTGTGTCTACTTTGTAATTTGTCAGCTTTAAGGAAATGCCAATCAAACAATTTTCAAAGAGAAAGGATCACTTTTCTCCAAACTTTTACCCATGAATATGTTGAGTGAGTGACTTTAGTTTTACACCACATTCAGCAACATTCCAGCTATCCATATATATAGATAACAGAGTCTTGATGAGACAATCCAGTGATCAACAGCATGAGCATCTTTCTACACAACTGGGATACAATGACATGTGTCAACCAAGTCTTATACCCGATCCCATTAGTCTACCCGATCCCATTAGTCTACCCGATCTCATTAGTCTACCCGATCCCATTAGTCTACCCGATCCCATTAGTCTACCCGATCCCATTAGTCTACCCGATCCCATTAGTCTACCCGATCCCATTAGTCTACCCGATCTCATTAGTCTACCCGATCCCATTAGTCTACCCGATCCCATTAGTCTACCGATCGATCCGATCCCCGATCCCATTAGTCTACCCGATCCCATTAGTCTACCCGATCCCATTAGTCTACCTGATCCCATTAGTCTACCCGATCCCATTAGTCTACCCGATCCCATTAGTCTACCCGATACCATTAGTCTACCCGATCCCGATCCCATTAGTCTACCCGATCCCATTAGTCTACCCGATCCCATTAGTCTACCCGATCCCATTAGTCTACCCGATACCATTAGTCTCCTCCGATCCGATCCCATTAGTCTACCCGATCCCATTAGTCTACCCGATCCCATTAGTCTACCCGATGCATTAGTCCATTAGTCCACCCGATCCCATTAGTCTACCCGATCCCATTAGTCCACCCGATCCCATTAGTCCACCCGATCCCATTAGTCTACCCGATCCCATTAGTCTACCCGATCCCATTAGTCCACCCGATCCCATTAGTCTACCCGATCCCATTAGTCTACCCGATCCCATTAGTCCACCCGATCCCATTAGTCTACCCGATCTCATTAGTCTACCCGATCCCATTAGTCTACCCTACCCGATCCCATTAGTCTACCCGATCTCATTAGTCTACCTGATCTCATTAGTCTACCCGATCCCATTAGTCTACCCGATCCCATTAGTCTACCCGATCCCATTAGTCTACCCGATCCCATTAGTCTACCCGATCCCATTAGTCCACCCGATCCCATTAGTCTACCTGATCTCATTAGTTGCCTCTTATGACAAGCATGAGTTACTGAGACCCATGAATACATAACTGAAAGATGTCTTGTATTACTTGGGTGTTGTGACATATTGTGTGCTGACACTGTTTTCATTAAATCATTTAATTGTGAAAAAAAATCCTGGATTCAGGAAAGTAGACAAAAAATCATTTCTTCAATTAAAATAATATTATGAATTCTAAAATGGTTGGATCTAAAACAGCTGTTGCCTATCTGACATTATACCAGATATTTAATATCAGTAAGAAACAACTGAATTATGCACCTAAGTGAGAAGAAATAATTAATGCATATATGAATATAGGGATTTAGACGACGCGAATTCTGCGACCTATACACATTAAAATTGACAAAGGACACAATAAAATTTATTAGCACATCCAAAAGTCTAAATACTTTTGTAAAAAGTCCAATCAAGTAACAATAAGTTATCACTGAGTTTGCTACTGGCTGAGTTATGGTATCATTTGCAATTTGATTACTGTAACAATTAAAGTGTTGATCATGATACACAATACAATAACAGTATAAGTAGTAATATTTAAGTGTCTGGTCCCCCCCATTTTGTTGTCCAGGACCCCTGAAAATTATAAGCATGAGTCCCAGGGACCCTCAAATACAGGACTTAAGGTAAATCCCTGTGAATATCAACTGGAATCATTTGTTTGTTTAACACAAGGCCTGAAGCTGATCAGTTATGTAACTGAAACACACTATGTAAATAGACTATATACTTACATCACTATATGCTGCATTCAGGTGACTGTGGTTCAGCTTTATACCACTAAACATTCAGGGAAAAGAAATTTAAGTCCTAAAAGGGTGTGACCTTGTCCCTGGATCATGCACTTAATTTAATTTTAAAAGCAACCTCGAGATCAGCGCTATGTCACACTCGTAAGTCTATGCTAAGGTATGTGAGTTACGATCACCTGAGCACTAAGATAGCTGTGTACAATGGTACCCAAGTCTGTGAGTCCAAGAAAGACGCATGAAACTGACTTTTTCCCATTCATCTACTCAGGGAGACTCTATAAGGGGGAGTGGTCACTCCTCGGAAAACCCCCTAAGCTATGCCTCAGCTCGTCACGTGACCAGTGTAGCCAATATGGCGGCAGCGTAGTTTTTAAGATTGAGCCCGGTTTATTTTCAACAGCTGATTACATACGCTGAGTGTTGTGACAATTGAAAACCTACATGTAGAAGATAAGTTACCTATTCTGTCACTTCATTTTAAGTCAAATAATTGTTATTAGTGTCAGTATTAGTACAGTAGATTTGTAGTAAAGTTTCAAGTCGGCATGTTGTAGCTCACTGGCTTCAATTCTCAGTACACAGCGAAGAAAGACTAAATTCGATCGCTAAAGACTTCTTTCACATATTCGTTTAATTTTTATGAGGGGAATATACCTTTAGTTCAAAGGTGTTTGCAAGTAATAGTGATAGTTTTATAACTAAATTTTTTTGTTAGGGTGTATTTGAGGTGTGTGAAATATATGACATATGGCCGATCTACCATTGAAATACTACAGGGCGTTGTTTGAGTGTTTCTAGTTATTGTTCTAAAACATCTTTCACATATACTTTTAATTTTTATGAGGGGAATATACCATCAGGTGAAAGGTTTTTGCAAGTAATAGTGATAGTTTTATAATTTAAATTTTTTTTGTTAGGGTGTATTTGAGGTGTGTGAAAAATATGACATATCGCCGATCTGCCATTGAAATACTACAGGGCGTTGTTTGAGTGTTTCTAGTTATATGTTCTAAAACATCTTTCACATACACCTTTAATTTTTATGAGGGGAATATACCATCAGGTGAAAGGTTTTTGCAAGTAATAGTGATAGTTTTATAATTTAATTTTTTTTTGTTAGGGTGTATTTGAGGTGTGTGAAAAATATTACATACGCCATTGATGCTTGTGATGCTTGAGTGTTATAGTTCTATTTAAAACTTCTTTCTTTCTTGTTGATCAGAGTATTTGACAAAACTGGAAAGGTGTTTACAACGCTTTGAGATAGTTCTAAACTTTCTGTTTTTGAGGGGTCTGTGACAGTGTCAGTTAACATATCAATGCCCATGTCATTCCACACATGCAATAAGATATCTGAAATAGTTACTAATGTAAAAAAATGTCTCAAAGTAGATTTTTTTTAAAAAGGACAGCTGATGTTAGCACATGTGTTCTACCGATAGTTTTGCGTTCTTTAACATGTTTGGGGAAGGATGGCCGTGGTGTATCATTTATTCTTTCATTCATTCACATATGTTCTTTTTATTTTGTTCTTTTTCTTTATTTCTTTCATTCATTCACATATAATTCTTGCTCTTAATTAATTCAATCATTCATTGTAAAATTCCGACTGATACCATACACTGGCTGAAGTACTGTTAAACGCAGCTGAAGTTGCGCTGGGAACGAACCAAGTCACTGTGTGCGCTGGAGCATGACGAGGCACACCCTAATTAGTACAAATGGTAAAGAAAGCCAGCGAGTGACCTATCCCTGTTGTAGAGTATCCCTGATCTACTGAATGATCAATGAATGAATGAATGATCAGTCAATCAATTAATGAATGGTGAAACATATAATACATATACATAGATACATAACATGAATAAATAATACATGAATTGAAAGTTGTACAACTTTTAGAAATAGCGTCTTGATTAAATTGAATATTTAGAAATCTATGTATATGCAGTTCGTCCAGTTTACTCACCAATAAATGAAAATACTGAATGAAAATACGATGTTATTATGCTGAAAAATGTTCTCTCTTTCTGGTTCTTTCCGTCCATTCTGTGTTGACGACTGTCCAAACACCGTTTCAGGTCTGATAGTTACGACATTAGTCTACGACAACGCACAGCACGTTTACTGTTAAGCCACGCCCACACAACAGGAAGTTCCATGCTGTTCAGTTTGACGATGTCAACATGGGCCCTCTGGCCTTATGCCTTCACACGTCACATGCCAAATTTAGGACATGTATTAAAATGCGATATATATGAATTTTCATGAAATTCAGAACCGGAATGAAGTCGGCATTCTGTCAAAAAACAAACTACAACAACGACATCTTCGATCTTCTTTCGACTTCGATCACCACGTCCGCGTGTCAAAAGCAGATCTTTAAAAACATAGAAGTCGTGATTTGTATTTACGTTATAAGAAGGAATATTCATAGGCAATAAACATTTTGATAAGATAACTTTGGCGATAACTTTGCGGTTTATGACACACACTTATATCTTTAACCTACAAATCTGACACACACGACTGTATTCAACGACAATCGGAAAGCGGTATCAACGAAATGGCGGGAAATGCATTCATTACAAATCGAGATTTAATGCTCGTTTTTCAAGCATGTAAGTGGGTATATGAATGCAGTACGATTGAAACCACACGACAAATGTATAAAATTACGTTTTAATTCGTAATACACAGAAATAATCACTTTGAATTGAAATGGTGTTTCTTGTGACGTAATCTTACTTATATATGACGTCACGTGAGTGTCATAGCAACGACCGCGGACAAAATGGTGCTCATGTAGTGGATTTGAACGTTATTACAGAAATGGCCTTCTGCTGCCTATCGCAGAGTAGATAGGATGCACAAGATGAAAATTTCGACTCTTCCACGACACCACACTTTATTCATAGTCTCCATTGTCGTTTTGTTTGTCGTTCCATCGTTTGTAAGCTCAGGAGTTTCTGAAAATGATCGTGAAATTGAAATCACAGAATCAAAACGTAAGTCTATCTCACGCAGATTATGCCCAGCTCGGATGCACATTAGTTTAAAACGTAACAGCGTAAGAACAATCAGTTGAATCAGAGACCATATTTTATTATATGATCACAGTTTGAATAAGATTAGATAGTAATCTGGGACCTATTGTTATGGATAGAAGCAGAGCTGTTTGGTAAATATTCTCTTGTTGGAAGCTTGTGAAGCTTGTAAACTTACCGAAAATATTGGGGACGGGTGGTACAGAACAAATTTGGGGACCGGTGGTTGGGTACAGAATACCGGATACCTACCAGCCATATTGTTTAGTGTCAGGTCGCCCTAATCCGAAACCTTACCCTAAACCTATACCTTACCCTAACCCTATGTAAACTCGGTGCTTTCAAAGATGGCGGAATGTATCTGGTATTCTGTAGCCTTCCCAGTGGTTGGATTGGGGATGGGTAGTTCAGATGTTGGTACACCTACAGAATACCCTAACCCTAACGCTCACCCTTACCCTTACCCTGACCCTGACCCTGACCCTTACCCTTACACTATAAACCCTAACCAAAAGTAGACTTGTGTGCTTTAAAAGATTGTGGAAAATATCCAGTATTCTGTAGTCTTACCCCCTTCCAATGCTTTGCATCTTTTTGACTGACCCTCCCCACGTCCCTTTAATTTTTTCATGATCCTCCCTGAAAAAACACACTTCAATACAATGTTTTGTTTTGTTTTGACCAATCATATCATGTCCCTTTTCCATGACCATTGCCAAATATTTGTTTTAAGTTATTTTATGACCCACTCATGAGACTGTCATGTACTTTGGCAGTCTTAATTACCAGAGCATGGTCCAGTTAGACAAGTTAGACAAGTTCAACATGTTTGATATAAACCTAGTTAGACCTAGTTAGACCCAAACGATTAATTTCAAATCAAACAGTGAGAATGTAAGTGTCCAATAAAGTAATGAAATGGTGTAGAGTACTGACTGTGTACTGCAAGAACTTTAATTGCAGGAATTTTTGTCAAGATTATTTTACAAGGAGGGAATGTTATTGTTGTCATGTCTGTGCTGTGTAAAACCAATGGTAGTTGTCAAGGGCCCAGTAAAATGTTACTCAAATTCCTGTTAAAGTTGGTATATCAGAGTAGGGGTTTCCTGTGAGGCACAAAACTCCTGTCTGACTGGACAACCAATAATTACTCTCATAGGTGCTTACATTAAATGTGAGTATCATCATACCCAAGCCTCGATTTAGTGCTTTGTTACTTGCACTGGTGCAACCCAATATTACAAAGTGCAACCTAGTTATTAGTCTAACATGCACCAGGTGCAAGTAATTTTTTGAGACTTCAGCTGGAAAACAGAATGATGAGGAACTGACTTGGAAGAGTGACTCTGATGACTGTATGAGCAGTGACTGAAGGACTTACTGTTCATGAAATTTTAGGAAGTATGATAACTTATCTTATCAGTCCCAGATTTCTTTTGTTATAATGTTCTAAACTATCATTACCACCAAAACTCAAGCATCATATTTTATACAAGATTTTATATTGAGCAGCAGGTGCAACCTTTTTTTGTCTGATGCATCAAGGTTTCTACCTAAGGTTGCACTGGGTGCAAGTAGGTTTCATTTCTTTTAATCGAGCCCTGATACACTAAGAAAATAGGGTGGTGCACTGTACTGTAACATGAAAATTACTTTATTTGCTTGACATTAATATTTCTTGTCAAGAATTTGATTCAGCGGACAGGGTAATGATTACTGTGCATCTCTGGCTTCTCATATCTTTTGTTATCACCACCATCATCATCACTGATATTAAGTTTCAATTGAGAATTTAATAAGTAATTGTGGTTTAACAGAGCTTGTTTTAGCAGAATGGATTCACACAATGTTAGTTAGAGACATGGAAATTGAAGTAATATATTTGCCTTGACTGCCACCTATTTCCAGTATAGAGTGTAGTAGGGCCTGGAGATTGTGCACCTTTCCTTGCAAGCAATTATTATTTTTTGTATAGAAATGGGATGCATTTGGGTCCAGGGTTTTATTTAGCCACTGGTCTGTTGGCCAATGGCCAGTTAAAACATGAAAGTGCCAGTACAATATAGCAAAGTAACAGGCCTGTGTAAAATCAAACTTTTAGCCCTCATAAACAGAACTGATAATCATTTTTTGTTCCTTCTGAAATCACCTCCCATCAGTGTTTGTCTGTTGGTGACTTAAAACTTCTATTTGAATGAAGAGGCCAGTTTAGAGAAATTTGTCAGTACACATTATAGAGATTGATAATCAGCTATGTATAAATATTGGAGAAACTTGGAGCAAAAATATATATTAAAGTACAAACAAAAATTCTATGTGTTTCATGTCAACAGTGAGTGATGACACGTTTCTGCAGGAATTACAAACAAAAAGGCATTCTGAAAATATTTTAGAAGTGGCCCATGTATAAAGATGTAGCTTTGTGTAATACATTATTGATGATACAGATTTCCCATCAACACTATTTCCAATAATAGTTTTTTTAGTCAGCCCAGATAATTGTATAATAATGTACATGTTCGGGATCGGCATTTATGTTAGTTCACTGAGCTTGTTTGCCAATCCCTTTTCTTTACAACATAACTGTATAACCTGTTCTTGTCAGTTTTAGGGCAGTGTAAAAGCGTTCACTTGTCACGCCGAAGACCTGGGTTCGATTCCCCACATGGGTACAATGTGTGAAGCCCGCTTCGAATGAGCTGGGGTGGTGGGGTAGCCTAGTGGTTAAAGTGTTCACTCATCACGCCAAAGACTCGCGTTCTATTCCCCATATGGGTACAATGTGTGAAGGTCATTTCTGGTGTCCCCTCCCGTGATTTTGCTGAAATATTCCCCTCCGATTTTGCTGAAATATTGCAAAAAGCGGCATAAAACTTAAAAGTGGTGTAAAACTCACTCACTCGCTCACTCAGTCTCTCACTTGAATGAACTCTGGACTAGAATAATATGACCAATGGTGTCTACCACTGAAGTCACTTGCTAATAAGACTAAAGACCCTACCCAAATGTGGACATTTGTATCAGATAAGCAAATTGGTTATAATTATGTTTCAAGATCAGGCCCAAAAAATATTAAAACCATCCATTTTGGGCACAATAATTGCTATATGCCAAGTAGTATTTTCACATCTGTTGCCGATTGCAAGTTTGGCTCCTATTTTGAAGACCAAGTCTAGTCATATTCTGTTTGGTCTGGTATAATCAGCAAATATAATCCATATCATAACAGGTGGAAATAACCCATTGCCCGACGCCCGAGTCCAGTGTTTTTTTCTGTCGGGCAAGCAAATTTGTATATCACACTGTACCGGTGTCCAGTTGATAATCCAATGTTAATTATGTTGTTTATTTAAAAAGTCAACAAGAAAATGGCCAGTATAGTGGAAAAATTGTCAGGGCAAGTGATTTTACATGTGCCACTGTACCAGAGTACACTAGCAATTTTAAAGTTATTTCCACCCCTGCATAACAATATATTTGATAATTTCACCAAAAGTTATGCCAAAAAGCGCCAAGATAGTGCAGGTATACTCAAGTGTTTCAGGCACTGACTTTATATGAGCTATTCTGGTATTTTGAATCAAATCATTTCAGTTTTCACTTTGTATTCTGTGTGCCATAAAATCGCTTGTTTATGCATTTTACTTTTATAATTAATTTTATGTTTTCAAAATGACAGAATCCAGAAATGAAGGTGAAACAGATGGTATTAGTGATACAGGACCTTCCCGTCAATTCGTGAAAGACGAAGAACACGATAACTACCAAAGACAAGGCGTGACAAGAGACAATGTGTCTAAATCTAAAGAAGATCCTGCCCAAGTATTCTTAACAAAGAATAAAACAAATGTCCAAAACAAAGACCAGGACAACCAAAGACCTGTGAATGATTCAGATCAGAAGGACTTAGACACTGAAGATGAAATACCTGACACCCAGGGCTCTGACACTGGCATCGATGACGAAGGTAAGGAATTAGATCCTGTCCTTGTAATCTTGAAGCACGAAAAGCACCACATCACAAACATTGTATGTTTTAGGGTTTCCCCTAAAGTATTATTACCATCCATTTCATAGACCATATTTATTATCCATATGGTGAAACATAACCAGTGTCATTAATATCATATGTGCACATGCGCACGTATTACTTTTTTGCAACCATTGTTTCTGTGTTTCGTCGTCTGTGACGTCATTAAACAATTGAACGTGACGTCAATGAACTAGGCAGTCACACTTGCTTACCTTGTTTTACTGCACAAATGCACATGAATAAAATGGATAATAAATTAATTATTACACTTGCAAGTGTACCACACGACTTATACGAAACTCGTGCAAAAGTTTGTTTTATTCGTATGACACACTTGTTCGTGTAATAATCTCTATTTACTTTATCCGAAGTACTATTTTCATAATGCTTGGTGTCTGCAAGTTTAGCTTCTAGTTCGAAGCCCAAATCTAGTCATATTCTGTTTGGTCTTGTATACTCAGCGAATATTATCCAGATAATATCATTTGTTGAAAATGATGCCAAGAGCCTAGATAGTGCTTGTAAACTCAAATGTTTTAGGCACTGTCTGTTATTGAGTCATATGTTACCTGAATCAAATACTTATATACATACATACACAGGTGCCGGTAACAATAAATCCTCCAACATCTTGTAGCTCTCATCATGTTTTATTTGGGTAGGAAGTGACTGGAAGTAATGCGTTACTCTCCTTGTTACAGCATAGACATTTGTGTACTCATGAATCTGCTACATAGCAGTAATCATATCATTAAGATTTAGATATATAGGTAATGCAAAATTGAATCATTCATCATTTATCATTCTGTTGAATGTATTTTATACTGAATACTTGTTATGAAAATATGCTAGAAAAATATTTATGTTACTTTTTAGAATCAGTGACATTATTTTATGGTGCAACCAAAATTTTGATGGTAGAGCCAAACCTATAAGCCAGGTTGCACTCGTTACAGGAACTGCAAAAAACCCCAGATATTGCATACTTGCATTATGTACAGTTGTCCCCCGTTTATCTGGACACTTGTGTTTTTCTAAATTGTCCGGATAAACAAATTTCCGGATATCTGAACCACAGAAGATATGTAAAACGACATACAAAGAAACGAACATAATAGATCTCAGACGTAATCTTTATTGAAAAGACATCAACAAATAACGATGCATACATAAATATCATCTTGTCAAATAGAGTAGTCAAGTCAATAACACGTGCGAATATACCTGTACATGCATCTGTCTGTCAAATGCTAGCAACCAATCACGAAACAGTTCGGATGTCATCCACGCATTCGCATTGTTGCTGTACCTAACATAAACTTCCGGATTAAAGTCACTACCAAAACAACAGGGAAGTCTTGCCTTGCCAATCACAACTCAAAATTAACTCAGTATCACCATGCTAATTACAGGTAGTTAATCGGATTTAATAAGGAAGTACTCGCTGTTACGACTAAACACTACTGATTGCGGATGATAGTTTCGAATCAAAACATACTGAGAAGCGTTTTTTTTTTTCATAGTGATATGTGATGATATGCCCTGGTCGGATGTCTCGAAGTTCGGATAACTCGATATTTTTTCTTGGTCCCATGAATATCGAGACAACGGTGCTCGACTGTATTCCTACACAATTGGGGTAACGCTGTTTTTCAGGGCATTGTCATTTGCAGAAGCCCTTGGCCAATTAACTCCCCTATCCAGCTAAAATGGGTGGAATGTGTGTTAAAAAAAAGACAAAACAGTATCATAAGTTTAATTTTAGGTTTAAACAACTTAATCGCGACGGACTGTTGACCCAACACTGTTAGATCATGAAACAAGATTTATGACGTCATTATGGAGCGTGACGTCATTTCACAACAGAACTGATAATGGCCCGTAGTTGAGGTATCGGCGGGCCACTCATTTCTGAAAACTAGAGAATGGTTTCATCATAATTCCGTCCGTTTTATCTGTAACACTATCATTTATTCATCATTGTCAGATTTAGACAGTGCACGTAATAAACATGTTGAAGTTTGAATAGGGAACTACTTTTTCTGGCAATGGTGTAAGTTCAAGGAGTGATATGATTAACCTTTGACCTAGAGGAACTTTGACCTGGTTTAAATAATAAATTTCTTTCTCGAAAAAAACAGCGTAAAACGAGTTGAATTAGAATGGGGATAACTGTACTGTGTTTGACGAATTGGGGACGTATGCCGGTGGTTATATAGCCGCTTACGCGTTGTTGTTATGACTAAATTTGTGTCTATATAACCACCGGTATATGTCCCCAATTCGTCAAACACAGTACAGTTATCCCCTAAATCTACTGAAAATGGTACCAAGAGCCAAGATTAGGGAAGAAAACACAAACGGTTTTGACAGATTGTCATTGGGACCTTCTGAGTCTGTATTATTCTACTGACACAGCTGCCATATCGCAATCGGGCAGAGAACCAGATGCTTTCACCAGTTCATGTGTTATGAGGAAACAAATATGTCATTTCAGTTTGTAGTTTATTTTGTATCCAACTTCCTATTATGATCAATGTTTTGTGATTGCAAAATTACAGATTCCAAACCTGAAAGTGAAACAGACAGCAAAGATGAGGACAACCAAATACCTACGAATGATGCAGAGGATTATTCCGAGAACCCTGAACCTGAGGATGAAACACAGGAGTCCCCAGGCTCTGACAGTGGCATCAATGAAAAAGGTAAAGAAACAAATCTGTCCAGGTTTTTTAGGGGAAATATGTATAAAGATATTTGCATTTATTTATTGTTGTCTAAAACTTTGACTGTTAATGAGTCATTCTGAAGCTATATTTAGACAGTTGTCATAGCAGAAAACCAGTTACTTCCACCAGTTCATGTATTACGAGGAAACAAATATGTCATTTCAGTTTGTAGTGTATTGGCAGTGTATGAAATAAGCCAAAACCCAGCCAGACATCAGGGCTGGTAACCTCAAAATGTTACCAGCCCAAAATGGATTTTAACCAGACCAGACACCAAGATATGGTGAATTTACTCAGATGTATGGAACACCTAAACTTTTTACCAGACCATCGGACTGGCTAGCTGTAAATGTACACTGTCCGTCAGAATCTTAGCCCGTCTTGGGCGGTCGGACGGGCCTTATTTCATACACTGCTATTGGGCATAAAGAAAATTTTGTATCCAACTCACTGTTATAATTATGATCCATATTTTGTGATTCCAATATTACAGATTCCAAACCTGAAAGTGAAACAGAGAGCAAAGATGAGGACAACCAAATACCTACGAACAATGCAGAGGATTATTCCGAGAACCCTGAACCTGAGGATGAAACACAGGAGTCCCCAGTCTCTGACAGTGGCATCAATGAAGAAGGTAAAGAAACGAATATATCATGGGTTTTTTCTTACATATATATTTTATTGTTGTCTAAGACTTTGACTGTTTAGTCATTCTAAAGCTATATTTAGACAGCTGCCATATCAGAAAATCAGGCAGAGAACCAGTTTCTTCCACCAGTTCATGTATTACGAGGAAACAAATATGTCATTTCAGTTTGTAGTGTATTGGCAGTGTATAATAAGCCAAAACCCAGCCAGACACCAGGGCTGGTAACCTCAAAATGTTACCAGCCCAAAATGGATTTTAACCAGACCAGACACCAAGATATGGTGAATTTACTCAGATGTATGGAACACCTAAACTTTTTACCAAACCATCGGACTGGCTAGCTGTAAATCTAGACCGTCCGTCAGAATCTTAGCCCGTCTCGGGCGGACGGACGGGCCTTATTTCATACACTGCTATTGGGCATAAAGAAAATTTTGTATCCAACTCACTGTTATAATTATGATCCATTTTTTGTGATTCCAATATTACAGATTCCAAACCTGAAAGTGAAACAGAGAGCAAAGATGAGGACAACCAAATACCTACGAACAATGCAGAGGATTATTCCGAGAGCCCTGAACCTGAGGATGAAACACAGGAGTCCCCAGTCTCTGACAGTGGCATCAATGAAGAAGGTAAAGAAACGAATATGTCATGGGTTTTTTCTTACATATATATTTTATTGTTGTCTAAGACTTTGACTGTTTAGTCATTCTAAAGCTATATTTAGACAGCTGCCATATCAGAAAATCAGGCAGAGAACCAGTTTCTTCCACCATTTCATGTATTACGAGGAAACAAATATGTCATTTCAGTTTGTGTATTGGCAGTGTATAATAAGCCAAAACCCATTAGACACCAGGGCTGGTAACCTCAAAATGTTACCAGCCCAAAATGGATTTTAACCAGACCAGACACCAAGATATGGTGAATTTACCCAGATGTATGGAACACCAATTTTGTATCCAACTCACTGTTATAATTATTATCCATTTTTTGTGATTCCAATATTACAGATTCCAAACCTGAAAGTGAAACAGAGAGCAAAGATGAGGACAACCAAATACCTACGAACAATGCAGAGGATTATTCCGAGAGCCCTGAACCTGAGGATGAAACACAGGAGTCCCCAGTCTCTGACAGTGGCATCAATGAAGAAGGTAAAGAAACGAATATGTCATGGGTTTTTTCTTACATATATATTTTATTGTTGTCTAAGACTTTGACTGTTTAGTCATTCTAAAGCTATATTTAGACAGCTGCCATATCAGAAAATCAGGCAGAGAACCAGTTTCTTCCACCTGTTCATGTATTACGAGGAAACAAATATGTCATTTCAGTTTGTAGTGTATTGGGTATGAAATCTTTTTTGTATCCAACTTACCATTAAGATCCAAATTTTGTGATTCCATCACTAAAGATTCCAAACCTGAAAGTAAAACAGCCAGCAAAGATGAGGACAACCAAGGACCCATGAATGATGAAGGAGATTTTTCCGAGAACCCTGAACCTGAGGATGAAACACAGGAGTCCGCAGGCTCTGACAGTGGCATCAATGAAAAGGTAAAGAAACAAATCTGTCCAGGTTTTTTAGGGGAAATATGTATAAAGATATTTGCATTTATTTATTGTTGTCTAAAACTTTGACTGTTAATGAGTCATTCTGAAGCTATATTTAGACAGCTGTCATAGCAGAAAAACAGTTTCTTCCTCCAGTTCATGTATTACGAGGAAACAAATATGTCATTTCAGTTTGTAGTGTATTGGGTATGAAATCTTTTTTGTATCCATCTTACCATTAAGATCCATCTTTTGTGATTCCATCACTAAAGATTCCAAACCTGAAAGTAAAACAGCCAGCAAAGATGAGGACAACCAAGGACCCATGAATGATGAAGGAGATTTTTCCGAGAACCCTGAACCTGAGGATGAAACACAGGAGTCCGCAGGCTCTGACAGTGGCATCAATGAAGAAGGTAAAGAAACAAATCTGTCCAGGTTTTTTTGGGGAAAACAAGACAAATCTTTTTCATATATTCCAAAAAGGAAGAAAACATGAAGACCAAACACATCTAAGTAAATGTCATTGCAGAAATTCAGTCTTGCATGATGCTCCATCGGTTTCTGAGGCCATATTTTCCATAAGCTGAGCATCATTTGCATCAATGCATTTTGCACTTAGCTGGTAGTCCAAAGCCAAGTGTAGTCATATTCTGTTTGGTCTAGTACACTGCTTATGATATCTATAATATAACAATAAAATCTATTGCATATGATGCCAAAAATATGTTTGGTAAAGTGAAGTTGGATGTATTTGGCACTGTTATTATTGCTATTGCTGCTGTTCTGAGAATCAGTCTGAGATCCAGTTCTTGCACAAGTATTGGCACAGGTTCATTTGTTATGATCAAACAATAATGTTGGATTTATTAGTTTGTAGTGTATAGGCATAAAAACCTATTTTTGTCCATTTTACTTTTATGATCCATTTTATGATTGCAACATTACAGATTCCAGAATGGAAAGTCAAACACATGATATTGATCAGACACAGTCTACAAAGGAATTCTTGAAGGACAAAGAGCGTGATAGCCACCAAAGACAGGGTGTGACGAGAGACAACTTCAAATCTAAAGAAGATCCTGATGACCAAAGCAAAGAACAGGACAACCAAGGACCTATGAATGATTCAGATTATGATTCCGAGAACCAAGGACCTGAGGATGAAATGCATGACTCCCCAAGCTCTGACAGTGGCATCCGTGATAAAAGTATGGAAACGTATCCAAACCATGTCTTGAAGAACAATACACATCACACACAAAATGGCAGAGATGAGAACTTTGACAAAACAAATCCAGTTCATGTATTCTTGAAGGGCAAAAAGCATCACAGACATAATGGCATGCACGAAAAGGTTGACAAAACAAATCCAGTTCATGTATTCTTGAAGGGCAAAAAGCATCACAGACATAATGGCATGCACGAAAAGGTTAACAAAATAAATCCTGTTCATGTGTTTCCAAAAGACAAAGAACATGAGGACCAAACAGATTCACAAAATGGTTATGGAGGAAATAAACATTCCAGTCATGAATCTCGGGCCCAATGAAAAACAAAATACATCGACATGATTTCCATGGCTCAAATAGCCATAAGGGTCATAAAAAGGACAGATATCTTGTTAAAGAATTCTTAAGAGCCAGAGGTCACCAGAAACATTTACATAAGTCTCATGGTTTTGAAGGAATCAAAGGGTCTTCAGGTCTTGACCATGGTGGTCACCACTTACGTAAAACAGATCCTGGAAAGCACACCGATGAACATGATAGGCCAAGGGAAATGAAGTCACCGGAGTCAGTACTTATTCCTCAGGAATCTGTCAAAGTTGCGGATCTACTACACATATCCACTGAAGTGAAACATTTGGACACTGTTGTCAACAGGATATCAGGTTTTGTAAGAAAAACCCTTGCTGACATTCAGAATAACATGCATAAAATGGCAAGTATGGTATCAGCTGTGCATCCTATTGCTCCTTCTACTATGAGCCATATGATAGATGTAACAATGACCAAAACGGAGAAAGCAGTACGGAAACTGTGCCTGGAACCCATAAAGAAGAGTCTCAGCATTCCACCCTGGTCAGCATGGACCTCCTGGGGGAAGTGCTCCCTGACTTGTGGGAGCTGAGGGTACAAGCTGCGACATCGTCAGTGTCAGTCGAAGTCTCATCGTCAGTGTCTTGGCAATAATTTTGATCTCTCCCATTGTGTGCTTACTCCCTGCCCAGGTAAGAATATAATTTGTCAGATTGCTAATTTGTTAGAGGACTCTATTTAATCCTGTACTTCGGACAAGTGGCTATGGTCACAGACTTGTGTGGTTAACTGATTTTAAGAAATTATTGGTTTGTTGAAAAATTGGGATGTCAGGCCAGGGTCTAATTAGGTCACTCTCGCATGTGGTTGATTGGGATTCATTGTGAAATTACAGCATGGATCTTTGCTGGGTAGCTTTTCCCACCCTAAGTAATAATCAGACAGTGGAACAACAACACTGACTTGTAGTATGACCGTTGCCACCAGATAGATGGCAATTTCGTAGCAGATTGTTTTTGCAGAAACTAGTGAAGATACCTCAGGTACAATTCTGTAGTGCTTGTGCCGACAACAATCCCCTCAGCAAGATTTGCACAAGTAATGCGATGGTTACAAAAGCCATAGTGCAAGTTTAATGAAAAGAGACTGAATGGTTACTGGAACCATATTTTCCCCAATTGTTGGTGACCTGGATGCACATCTAGTTGTTACTGTTCTTTCAGCAACATGGCAATCCTGGAGCCAGTGGACTCCCTGCACAGCAACATGTGATAATGGCCACCAAATGAGAACCAGGATGTGTCTGACTTCATCTGTGAGAGTCCACTGTAAAGGAACAACATCTGAAATAAAACTTTGTTTTTCACCTAAATGCGAGAACTCAAGTCGAAAGAGCACCCTCTTGGGCCATCTACTTTTCCACCGAAAGTCTGGAAACAAGGTCAAATTACATACGAAGTTTGCCATGCAAGGGTCATCCAACTCCACGCACACATCATCAGGATACGCGTGGTCAGCATGGAGTGGCTGGACATCATGTAAAGAGTGTCGGAAGGGACACAGGGAAAGGAGTAGAATATGTGTGAATTCTCTGAAGCAACCGTTGGACAACAAGACTCTGTGTCCTGGAGCTGATGTAGAGTTTGGACCATGTATTGGCGTAGTATGCAACCTGGGTATGTTGTCTGCATGATAGACAGCTGCACAAGCTTTACTATCGTTTACAATGTTTCATCCTATTTTCATGTTCTCTTCATCTCAGTAAACACCACATTCATGCCTCAAAATTTAAGGAGGGGGTCCTAGGTTTGCTCCTATTATATTCAGATGTAAGTGCCTCTACCCCACAAACCACACCCACCCCACAACACACATACCCCACCACCACACACACACCACAACACACACACCTCACCACACACCCACCCCCACTACACCCACCACACCACACACACACCACAACACATACACACCTCATCACACACCCATCCCAAGACAAACCGACCCCACCGCACACCTACTTCACCACACACCCATCCCCAGACAAACCGACCCCACCACAGACCCACCTCACCACACACCCACCCCACCATAAACTGACCCCACCGTACCATCCACAACACACTCACTACCTCTAAATCTTTACCATTAGGCCCATGACAAAAAACCCTTTACTTTCGTGCTTTATTTTAAGCACCCATAAAGATCTGGGTCTGAACTGGTCTTCCGCAACCAAAGCTTGTTCTAAGAGGCGGCTAACGGGATCGGGTGGTCAAGCTCGCTGACTTGCTTGACACGTCATCATTCCCTTAACTGTGTTAATATACTGATGCTCATGCTGTTGAATACCAGATTGACTCGTCCAGAGTTGGGAGGCCATATTTAAGATATTGTATTATTTCAGACACAGTAATATATGTTTAAAGGTAACAAAATACCCTAGGACATATATTGTTGTGTCTGAAAACAGCTGTATTTGTCTTAGAAGATCATGGGAAAATCATGGAATGGTTTTTTTCACAAAAATGTGGGAACCCTGCTAGTGTGTTTTGTTTTATTTAGATAATGCTGTGTATGTGTCGGAAGGCAAGTCTGTGGAAGTAAAGTGTGCAGTGCCACCAGGCCTGGTCCCCTACAGGATTTACTGGATCACGCCCAGGAACCAGCGCATCTCTCACCTCAGGAGCAGCAAAAGGTTGGCCTTGTCAAGGGGTGGTTTGGTTGAGGCAGGGGGAGGGTGGGAAGATTTTTATTTTTAGTTCTTGTTCAGTTGTCTTCTACTTGTAAACTTTTCACAATAACCAGTTCTTATTTTCGGATGTTTGAAGGGGGATAACTCTCATATTGACTGACTGACTGACTGAGTTTGGTTTTACGCCGCTTTTAGCAATATTCCAGCAATATCACGGCGGGGGACACCAGATATGGCTCTCATATTGAACATGCATGACAGAATAATACAGATTGTAGGAGCTTTGTGGGCCATAACTTTGTCTCAGGTAAGTAAATTCTGCAGGGTTGCCATTGTCTTCTAATTTGTGACAAATGTTCAAACAGCATGTTTAGTCTGGTCTCAGTGAGAATACATGAGGCCAGTTCTCATTTGATTTTGATCAAGAGTGACTAGTGTGGTTTTTTTCTATGATACTGATTTCTGTTAACATCGGTAATGGATAGATGACAAAATAATTGCACATGTCCCGATCATCAATTCCCACTGAAGTGAGCGATGTAAAAGGCTGCTTGATATCTACTTGCAATTCTGAGGTGTGGAAATCAGATAAACTGAGACTTTATTAACAATAGAGATGACAAAACTCTATGGATGATCAACTTCTATATTTTCACATTATCATTTTCAAGCATGATCATCCATAAAGTTTTGTCATCTCTAAACCACCAACTTATAGAATGCCACTCAAACAAACTATTAACAATGGGATAAAGTTGCCTGATCTTAAGCACAACCAATAGATGCTGGGAACTCAACAAAACAGCAAAATTGCATAACTGTATTGTGTCTGCAGCAAAATACTATGGGGCATCTTTACTACTTCTTGTACTTTTGTTGGGGTGAGTCCCAACCAGGAATCAAACCCACACTCTCAGGGTCAGGCACCTAATCGCCAGCACATAAAGTCAGCCATCTTACCCACTCAGCCATAAATATGATCCATAAACCATTTAATTGAAGATACAAGGGATGTACAGAGAGATGTGTTTTCTTGCAGGATGCGTATGTCTGGATCATCTCTCCGTGTTGCTGATGCGAGATACGCTGACCAGGGAGTGTATCGTTGTGTTCTACTACTTAACAACAACACTCACCATATAATACAAGACACTCTCAGTAAGTCTTCTCAAGGTCATTCATAACTCAGTGGACAGTGGTATTCAAGGATAGAATAGATCCTCGCTACGTCTTTGTGGTCTAGACATTTTTTCAAACTATATTTTATTCCTCCACCTCCTTCCCTCCCTCCCCCCCCATTGAAATGTGCAAAAGTATCAGAATAGAAAACAAAGTTTTTATGTGTTTTGTGAACCAGAATGTGTTAATAGAAACTATTTTTAGCTGTCTATATAATATAGTAAATTATTACAATTGCAAAGTCATTACCTTTTAAAAAGCTCCTGCCTCTACTATATTTCTTTTAAATGTTCTTTTTCCAACCTTATGTTTTGAGAACGGATGCCACAATACATTGATGCATCAATACTTTTTCTAAGACCATACAATTATCGATACATTCAAAACTGTATCGATATTTAGTTTTGAAAGTATCAGTTTAAATATGTTTATGTATCGTTTATATTTTGCAATTTTATCATGTTTTTTGATGTTATGAGAGTTTTAAATGATTTTTTTTCATGCACAAAGATGGGAAATTAGAACTTTTTAATTTCATGGACAATTATAAAATATGAAATGTTAATGTTCAAAATGTAACTAAATTTATGCAATAATGCCGTAATAATATCGAATCGTGACATGGGTATCATGATACGTATCAATTCATGAAACTTATGTATCGTGACATCCCTAATTATGAGGAAATCACTATTTTTGCAAAAAAGAAAATTGGGTGCCAAACATCTGTGACACACCCACCCGAAAACAGTGTGTCATAGCTGACTGTCATGTACCCCATTGATGTGAATTGTTGCGATTGTTATGTCAGGTCCAGGCTCAAATATTTAAGCTGCTTTGGCAAAGATGAAATATTGCTGTCTGTATGAAACAAAACAGGACAAAGATCTATGATTGTTCTAGTGGTGGACACCTGTAAAACCCATCACTGCCAAAGCGGAGGAATCTGCCAGACTACGCAAGACCCTGAGTTTGACGGCATCATGAACTACAAGTGCAGATGTATCGGAAAGTACAGAGGCCCTTTCTGCGAGATTGGTACGTATTCTGTTCTCAAGTAAATATTGGCAATTTTTATAATGAGCATATGTTGTTTGTGACTGGTGGAGGAGGGAGGTGGATTGAAAATCAGTAATGTCGATCCTCATCCTATGGATTCAGAATATGTTACCTGTTAAGCATCCAATGGAGTCGACCCATGAAGATCCGTTTTAGAATATTGGCCTTCAGTAACCTATGCTTGTCGTAAGAGGCGACTAACAGGATCGGGTGGTCAGGCTTGCTGACTTGGTTGACACATGTCATCGGTTCCCAATTGTGTAGATTGATGCTCAGGTTGTTGATCACTGGATTGTCCAGTCCAGATTCGATTATTTACAGACCGCCGCCATATACCTAGAATATTGCTGAGTGCGGCGTAAAACTAAACTCACTCACTCACTCACTCACTCCAATGGAGTCGTATCCTGTACTCACTCCTATCCCATTCTGACTGAAAAGAAGACCTGTTGTAAATATGGTGACAGCTGATTTCTTGAAATCCTTTCTTCATACTATCAACTAATGGTGTCTCGTAGGATTTGATCACATACATATTGTTAACTGAAAATCAACAATTGATCACGCTTTGTACAACATCTAGCATGCATGAATTTGCCAGTTGTGTTTGTAGGCCAAATCTATCTGCTTATCCACGTAGACAACCCAAACCTCAAAATTCATTGCCGGCATCGACTATTTGCTCCAAAACTGCCAACACAGAACAAATACTCAACAATACCAACACAATACCACAAACACACAGCATCCACAATCATACACGCACACACCCACACACAATGCCACACAAACACTCAATGCCACACCCACAGCAACACACAACATCCACATTCACACACACATAAGGACACAACCTGCAAACTCACAACCACATCAACTCCCAACGCTACACCCACACCAACACTGAACACCCACTACAACCACAACACTCACAACCTAGACCAACACCCAAACCGTGAACCGACCACCACCACCGATAACACACACCAAACATGACACCCACACCCAATACAGAACATAAACACACACACACAGCCCTCACCAAACATACACACCACCAAACACCCTCAGCCAGTACATTTACCTCACCCATCAACCTCACCCTCATGCTTGCCCTCACCCTCACCCTTACCCACACCTTTACGCTTACCCTCACCTCACCTCACCCTTACCCTCACCTTAACCATCACCTTCATCCTCTCCTCACCTATACCCTTACCCTCATCTTTACCATCACCCCCACCTTTACCATCACCCCCACCTTTACCCTCACCATCACCCTCATCTCACCTTTTTACCCTCACCATCACCTCACCTTTACCATCACCCCCACCTTCACCCTTACTCCCTCACCATCACCATCATCCTCACCTTTTACTTTTTACCCTCACCCTCACCTCTCATTTTACACTCACCATCACCCCCATCCCCGCCACCACCTTTACCATCACCCTCACCTCACCTTTACCCTCACCATCACCCCTCACACCTCACCTTTTACCATCACCTCACCTCACCTTTTACCATCACCATCACCTCACCTTTACCATCACCATCACCTCACCTTTACCCACACCATCACCCTCACCTCATCATGTTTACCCTCACCATCACCTCAACTTTACCATCACCATAATCCTCACCTCACCATTACCACAACCCTCACCTTTACTTTTTCCTTTACCTTTACCTTTATCCTCACCTTTACCCATCTGCCTTATGCTTACCATGACGCTCAGCGATCACCCTTACCTAACACCATCACCCCCACCCATCACCCTTACCTAACACCCTCACCCTCATGCTTACCATCACCCCCACCCATCACTCTTACCTAACACCATCACCCATCACCCCCACCCATCACTCTTACCTAACACCCCACCCTCATGCTTACCATCACAATTCCCCCACCCATCACTCTTACCTAACACCATCACCCTCACCCCCACCCATCATTCTTACCTTAACACCCTCACCCTCATGCTTACCATCACCCCCACCCATCACCCTTACCTAACAACCCATTCCTCATGCTTACCATCACCCCCACCTATCACCCTTACCTAACACCCTCACCCTCATGCTTACCATCACCCCCACCCATCACTCTTACCTAACACCATCACCCATCACCCCTACCCATCACTCTTACCTAACCCCCTCACCCTCATGCTTACCATCACCCCCACCCATCACTCTTACCTAACACCATCACCCATCACCCCCACCCATCACCCTTACCTAACACCCTCACCCTCATGCTTACCATCACCCCCACCCATCACTCTTACCTAACACCTCACCACCTCATCACACCATCACCCATCACCCCACCCATCACTTCTTACCTAACACCCCTCACCCTCATGCTTACCATCACCCCCACCCATCACTTTTTACCTAACACTCATCACCATCACCCCCACCCATCATCATTTACCTAACACCCTCACCCCTCATGCTTACCATCATCACCCTTTATGCCCCATCACCCCCTTACTCAACCCCCTTTACCTATCACCATCACCCCTAATTACCATCACTCCCACCCATCACACCCTCACCCTCATGCTTTACCATCACCCCCACCCATCACTCTTTACCTAACACCATCACCCATCACCCCTACCCATCACCCTTACCTAACACCCTCACCCTCTATGCTTACCATCACCCCTACCCAATCACCCCATCACTCTACCTACACCCTCACCCTCATGCACCCATCATCCCCACCCATCAATTCTTACCTAACACCCCCACCCTCATGCTTACCATCACCCCCCTAAATCCATCACTCTTACTCTAACACACCATCATGCTACCATGATCACCCCCACCCATCACCCTTACCTAACACCTTCACCCTCATGCTTACCATCACCCCCACCCATCACCCTTACCTAACACCCCCCCACCCTCATGCTTACCATCACCCCCACCCATCACCCATCTAACACCATCACAGTCATGCTTACCATCACCCCCACCCATCACCCCTTTTACCTCAACACCCTCACCCATCACCCCTTGCTCACCCCCACCATCACCCATGCTTACCATCACCCCATCACCCATCACCCCTTACCTAACACCCTCACCCTCATGCTTACCATCACCCCCACCCATCACCCTTACCTAACACCCTCACCCCTCATGCTTACCATCACCCCCACCCATCACCTCTTACCTAACACCTCACCCTCATGCTTACCATCACTCACCCCCCCCACCCATCACCCTTACCTAACACCCTCACCCCTCATGCTTACCATCACCCCACCCATCACCCTTACCTAACACCCTCACCCCTCATGCTTACCATCACCCCCACCCATCACCCTTACCTAACACCCTCACCCTCATGCTTACCATCACCCCCACCCATCACATCACCCCCACCTTTACTTACCTAACACCTCACCCTCATGCTTACCATCACCCCCACCCATCACCCTTACCTAACACCCTCACCCTCATGCTTACCATCACCCCCACCCATCACCCTTACCTAACACCCTCACCCTCATGCTTACCATCACCCCCACCCATCACCCTTACCTAACACCCTCACCCTCATGCTTACCATCACCCCCACCCATCACCCTTACCTAACACCCTCACCCTCATGCTTACATGATACTTCCCCACCCTCATGCTTACCATCACCCCCACCCATCACCCTTACCTAACACCCTCAACCTCATGCTTACCATCACCCCTACCCATCACCCTTACCTAACACCCTCACCCTCATGCTTACCATGATCCCCACCCATCACCCTTACCTAACACCCTCACCCTCATGCTTACCATGGGCACAATGTGTTAAGCCCATTTCTGGTGTCCCCCGCCGTGATATTGCTGGAATATTGCTAAAAGCGGCATAAAACTAAACTCAGTCAGTCAGTCATGCTTACCATGATCCCCACCCATCACCCTTACCTAACACCTCACCCCCATGCTTACCATCACCCCCACCCATCACCCATACCTAACAACCTTTACCCTCATGCTTACCATCACCCCCACCCATCACCCTTACCTAACCATCACCCTCATGCTTACCATCACCCCCACCCATCACCCCCACCCATCACCCTTACCTAACACCCTCACCCTCATGCTTACCATGCATAAAATCCCCACCATGATCCCCACCCATCACCCTTACCTAACACCCCTCATGCTTACCATCACCCCCACCCATCACCCTTACCTCACCCCTCATGCTTACCATCACCCCCACCCACCCTCACCCTCATGCTTACCATCATCCCCACCCATCACCTTACCTAACACCCTCACCCTCATGCTTACCATCACCCCCACCCATCACCCTTACCTAACACCCTCACCCTCATGCTTACCATCACCCCCACCCATCACCCTTACCTAACACCCTCACCCTCATGCTTACCATCACCCCCACCCATCACCCCCTTACCTAACACCCTCACCCTCATGCTTACCATCACACCCCACCCATCACCCTTACCTAACACCCCTCACCCTCATGCTTACCATCACCCCCACCCATCACCCTTACCTAACACCCTCACCCTCATGCTTACCATGATCCCCACCCATCACCCTTACCTAACACCCTCACCCTCATGCTTACCATGATACTCACCCTCATGCTTACCATGATCCCCACCCATCACCCTTACCTAACACCCTCACCCTCATGCTTACCATCACCCCCACCCATCACCCTTACCTAACACCCTCACCCTCATGCTTATCATCACCTTTTCCCCCACCATCGCCCCTTACCCATCACCCTACACAAATACCAAAACATCCAGGCCCTGCACAACCCCAAAGTCAGGGGCCTATTCCTCAAAGCAACCTAAGCGCTATGATAGTCGTAAGTCAATCTTAAAGAATTGGAATTACAGTCAACTTTGTGCTAAGATTGTTTAGTTGAAACCTTGGTACTAGTCAGATGTTCTTAGATAGTAGATTTTCAGGCTTTTTAGCTGTTGTATGTTGTAGCTGTCTTTGTCAGTAAACAGGTTATTTGCATTGCATCTTCATGCAACCTACACTCAAATGTATATGACATAACATGTGCTAATTAGCGAATCTTTTCAGCTTTAGCAATGACTGATGTTGGCCTTGATAACCTTTTTCTGATACAATGTACCACTGTCTTTTGGTTTCAGGTCCACTAAATTCACACAAATTTATCGGGGCCGTCATCGCATTAATCATTGCCTTGGTGGTCGTCTTGGCGCTTGCCTTGTGCCTCCTGAGAAGGTAGGTGTATAGTGTTGGAAATCAACACAACTAAACAGGCAATATTGGATCATATGTCATGGAATGGGTGCTAGTCCTATGTACTAGTGTGTTGTAATTTTCATTTGCCCATAAACTGAAACACAAAAAACAAATGTCTTAATATTGTAGTGTTTGACCATTTTTCATCTCTAGCCCACCAAATATTTGTGTTTCCTGGCTTGTCTCACTGTCTAAGACATGGGTTATGAGAAGAATGAATGTTATGTGATTCACAGATTTTCCAATACAATTCACAAAGCTTAAGGGTTATTCAATTGTTGTTTTACATGCTTATGTGACCTTTCTCGTTTCCAGGTCCCTGCATAAAGCTAAGATTGATTCCCCAAAAGAAATCCAGTGTAAAAAGAAAGGTAATCCTTGCAGAAGACAATATCCCAAGTCTCATAATAACTGGCTGTACAAAAGATGGCATTGACTTGAAATTTACTGTTGATTTGTGAAGAATGTGGTCAGTATTTTCTCAGAAATAGTGAATGTTCACAAACATAATTTTCTGTCTGGATGAAGACAGTGTCCATATTTTAAGTCATTACATTTATAAGAGTTTGGTTTTACGCTGCTTGTAGCAATATTCCAGCAATATCACAGCGGGATACCCCAGAAATGGGTTTCACACACTGTACCCATGTGGGGAATCAAACCCGGTCTTTGGCATGACGGCCGAACGCTTTAACCCCTTGGCTACCCCACAGCCCCTTAATTCCAAGAAATTATAGGCGTTCCTGGTACCCTCATTTGTTTTCTTCTATGGGACCGTTCATAATCTATAGGTAGGGGGACGAGGGTGATTTTAAGGAGGGGTCACCCATATTGTTTTGGGGAGGTAAGGGGGTCAGCTATTTTGTACTCATGTACTGGGGGTGGGGTGGGTGTCAGCAATTTTATACATGAAAATACTTTTAAATTATGCTTAAAAATTATGGGAGGGGAAGGGGTCATTGATTTTGTACATGACATGCAGGGGGGGTCATTCACATTGTACATGCTTCATCATAAAAATCATCATCTTTCCCCCACCCCCAACACACACACACACACACACACACACACACGGACATATATTATGAACACTCCCTTATTGACTTCTGTTGGTTCTGCAGAATGATTTTTTTTATGATTTTGTACAGTGTCTTTCATACAGTAAAAACCATTCCAGGTTGTTGATAATGGTGCTTAAAACTGCATATCCCTTTATTCTTGGAAGTTCATTTGGCATTTTTTTCCTTAAAGGAGAAGTATACAGAAAAAAAATCTTCTTTTTTTTCTTTTGTGAAACAACATGGAATTTTAGAATTAGTTAATATCAATGTTTGAAAATATACACTCATTTTAATTTTTTTGATACCAGTAAATATCTCTCAGAAGTTGTAAATGTGGTGTTGAAAAGACAGGTTGTATTAATTTCAAGCTTTTAGTATTTCTGAATCTTCTCAGAAACCAGGCAGGAAGAGCTCAAACAATGCAAAGATGGGTAGGTCTGTAATTTGACCTTTAAATAAAAAATACTGACTTAAAATCTTAATTTCAGCTTACCCACCTACTGATGACTAAATTAACTGCAATTTTAAAAAGTTGACATCCACAAAGGGTTTCTTTTGTAAATCAAATTTTGTGTTGCAGTAAATTATGAAGCATGTGGTTAGGGAGAACTTTTGTATGTATCAATGGTTTTCTGACTCAACTCAATCTAATATGGCTAAGAGGTGACTAACGAGATCGGAAGGTCAGGCTCACTGACTTGGTTGACACATATCATTGTATCCCATTTGCTCATGCTGTTGATCACTGGATTGTTTAGTCTAGACTCGTCTATTTACACACTGCCACCATATAGCTGGAATATTGAGTACGGTGTTATACAACAAACAAACAAGACATTCTTATACTGATGGGGTTTATTCATAGTAAAATTGTGGTGATAGAGCTGGTACTATTGATTTTAAGTCCTGGTAGGAATAGACGAAAATAATTTTTAAAAAGTTTCATTTTCATTTCGATTTCTTGTGTGATGTTAAAGTTTTTTCGGTTTAGCAATTATTATTATTGATGATGACAGGTATTGCTTTATAGGTATAAATCTATGACTGTTTATCACCTGTCACTTTCAGACAGAGAAATGATAGTGATTGTAATTATTTTTGTTTGTTAACTAGTCTCAATAGTAACTGAAAAACCTTCAAACATCAAGTTATGATATAGCTGTATTCCCATATTTGTGATATTTAAGAATGATAGATTCCCAAACCAAGCAACAGAAAATATTGTCTAAAGTTTATCCAGAAGCATCTTAGAGTATGTCCTATTAATTATGTTATTCACTAAATGGCCATGTTCCTTGTTTCATTGTACTGCAGCCATCAGCTATTGATTATACTGGCCAAGACTGATGTAGATTTCCTGGGTCCTCTCATCCCTTGTATGTGAGACTGGTGCAGTCATCAGCACCCAGTGAAGTGCAATTCAATCTCCATGACAGACCTACACAAGTGTGACCCTAGCAGTTGATTGGTTTGTTTGTTGTCTAACACCGCACTCAGCAATATTCCAGCTATATGGCGGCGGTCTGTAAATAATCGAGTCTGAACCAGACAGTCCAATGATCATCAGCATAAGCATCTATCTACACAATTGGGATGCGATGACATGTGTCAACCAAGTCAGCAAGCCTGACCACAGGCCCTGGTTAGTCGCCTCTTACAACAAGCATGGGTTACTGAAGACCAATTCTGACCCAGATCTTCATTGAGCATGACCCTAGCGAGTGTCCAGTAAAATCCCCACAGTTATTATCCCCAATCATGAAATACCCAGAGAATAAAACTAAAATACTACTCTGGCAAAACTGCATTTAATTTATATGTATTTTCTTGAAGGGAAATCACAGACAAAGAAAAAACCGAAGTATGCCAAAACAGATAATAAACCTAAACCAGCGGACAGGCCAGAAGACAAAGGCGACATCTCCAACGCAAGCATTGTCAGTAATGATGGATCTTTTGTTGAGATAACTGAACATGATTATGTTGACTTTGATGGTTTTAACCTCTCCCAGGAAGAGAAGAACCCTAGAGGAGGCTATGAAAGTGGTCATGCTTCAGGTGGATATGAAGGCAAATTCTTGAAATATCCAAGTCCCCCGCACAAACATATGAGTCAAAATTATCAACAGAATGAGTCTGATTACATGACCATGGACACACTTCCAAAAAATTTCATCATCCATCAGCATAATCCTGCAGGATCCTACGATGAAGAATCAGGCTACCAGGACATGGTCAGTGGGAAGGTTGAAAACATCTATGAGAATCTACCCTCAGGAGAAAGAAGGGAGCCAGTCTACACTCCCACATCAAAAAGTGAACAAGAATATATCGAGACACTGAAATACAAAGCTAGTTTAAAACAGCGAAGAGCTTCTGTTGAAAAGGAGGCACTTGCCCAAGAGGCTCTAGACATAGTTGCGGAGAATCTCACAAAGCAGTGTATGGTTGAGATCGAAAATGAGTCACAGATTTCAAACAAAGTTGTGTCCACAGGTTTGAATTCATCTCAGATGAGATCTGATGCTGCAAGGCTTAAATCAAATCTTCCTGTTGCCAAGGATACCAACATGACGGACATATCATCAGCACAAACAGAATCACCAAACGGGAATGTGGAGATTGCAAAATCCCCCAGAAGGAAAACTAAATCCATCAAACAGACTAAATCCCCCCTAAAACAGGAAACTGCAAAGTTGACCAAATCTCCAAATACCGGAATGTCTGCTGGTCATCAGTCAGTTTCTGGTAAGAAAGCACCTGGTGAAACTTCTGATCCTAAAGGGAACAGACCTGTTGTTAAGACTGGAAGAGTATCTCCAACAGGATCCCAGGGTTTTAAACAACAGCTCGTTACACAGACAGATATGAGAAGTCCACATGTTTCAAAGGACAGGAAGCCTGTACCCAAACCAAGGAGAGCTGAAGACACTAGCAGGCAGCTTAAGATCAGACCTCCAGTCAGCCCAACTCATAGACAGTATGCATTTCCAAAGACACTGACAATCAAAGACGGGAATCAACAGGCAGCACTTCACGAGCACTTTGATACGGCATTTGTCACCCAGCAAGTAAACCCTAGTACCAGTACACCGAAGAAAGTTGATAAGATAGCACGTATGAATATAATCATGCCTTCGGATATTATGCAGGCAGATGAGGATGAATCCTCCCTGACTTTTGGCAGGAAGAAGCACTCTAGTGAGCTGATGGTGGTCACGTCTAGTAAAGTCCTTGGCAAAACTGAAGAGGGACCTGTGAATCTGGGAAGAGGCAACGTCAGCAGTAACAACAGACAAACCTCTGCATCAGAGTTGTCTTCTGGGAGTGAAGTGTTCTCAGACTCCTACTACCAATCCCTGTCTCAAGTTACCGAGCCAACAGATGGGAGTAGAGGAACCAGCTTCCGGTCACTGGACACATCAACATCATTACAGACAATGCCGGATCTTGACAACACAGTCAGCTTTCCTAAACTGACCATAAGTTATCAGGAGGAGGGGATTGATCATTCAGCTGGACCTGCCACACCATCTGAAACTGAACATTGCTATCCTGGGCGAAACGACAGCCTTTTCCAAGGGGAGATAACTGAGTCGAGTTTGTATTTGAGTGACTGTAACTACACGCAAGGAACGCCTGAAAGCAGTGAGCTTTCGGAGAGTGAGTGTAGTTCTGACCGGACATCTGATGTGGAGGAGTCCTGAGACTTAAATATGGCACTCCGATGTGTGTCTGAAGTAGACAGGGTCACACTGTAATGTAATGGTAGTGTGATAATGATGATATTTTGAAGAGGTATCCAACGTGAATCGTTCATGAAGAGTGTGATTATAAATAGGAGGATGGTTTCTGTTGACAGTTTGGGTGTCATTTCTGAGGCACGGTACTTTATGATTTATCAACAGACCTGTCTGACCTTGTTTTTTTCTTCAGAATGTGACTAGTGAGAATTATAACCTCGACATTTCCAGCATTCACTTGAAGTTCCTGAAAACAGCTCTTGAATCTAAAATAATATCGAAGATAGAACCAAGATAAATCTTATTTTAAGTGTGACACTGAACTTTTGTCAGACTGTCTTAAGAAGCCTTGAACATTGCCGTCTTTTACATGACAGAAAGGGACGAATTTGTCCGCTAAAGAATGTTACAACATGCACATCATTCAACCGTAAGTAATATAAACTACAGAGGGGCATTACTTGTCCCTTTAGGAATTAAAACATGCGTTTCATTCATTGTATGTCATGTGGTCCATCTGCCATTGTTAATTTGTGACAGACAGCATATGACTTGGGGCCAAAAGAAAGAAAACACTTTATTTTTTATGTAGTTGCAAACTGAAGCAACTCTTTTTCGAATTTATATGTCTTTTTAATCATCAATTTTTAAAGCTACCTTTTAGAAAGTGGAATTTGTGGCTGGGTATTGTGTGAAAATAAATTGTTTCAATGAAGATTGGGATAACAACTGAATTTGCAACAAGACCCTTACCATGTTTTTGAAATGTTGCAATATGTTGCCCCAAAGACAATTTATTGATTTGAAAGATAAGGTGTGTAGGACACCCATTCACTGTCAATATTTAAAAGTTTTAAATAAAACCATATAGAAGTATTCTTTGTTGGTAGGTACAGCTCATTGTATGTAAGTTAAGAAATTTTCAATTATTATGTGAACGACTGATAAAATCAACTGAGTAGCTTGGTTTCTTTCGCTCCTCATTTCAGCTGTATTTATGGTGTTTGTTTGAATGTGCATGTGTAATGTTCTTTTTTAGAAATATGTAGATACAATTTTGTTTTCCTGTTGAATCTGCTATTTTTTGACTGCTTACAATACAAAGTGCCAATTGTTATTGAGAAGAGGTAACTTCAATGGTTAAAACAGTGTGAGATGGTTAAAGTGAAAGAGAAACAATGGCCATCACTTAAGGTTGTTGTTTGTTGGTCCAAATGTTTCTGTTAGAAGATGTGTGACAATGGCTAGAGTAAAAGATATTCATTCAGGGTGTTCATGGAGATTGGAGTTTGAAAACTAAGAATATTTATGTAGTCTTTGTAACTGAATACATTGTAGTAGGTGTACTGTACATTTGTAGATCATAGAAATAATGTTATGAATATGTTTGACAAATTGTTATGTTTGAGTCACAAGTTGTTTACAAAATAAAATGTTGATCTTTTCTGAAAACCTTTACATTTGGAGTTGAGTGCACAGTGTAGAGGAAAGACGGGCATTGAGTTGATGAAGAACCACAATTGACTAAAGACGGGCATTGAGTTGCCCAAGAATCACAATTGACTAAAGACGGGCATTGAGTTGACGAAGAACCACAATTGACTAAAGACGGGCATTGAGTTGCCCAAGAATCACAATTGACTAAAGACGGGCATTGAGTTGACGAAGAACCACAATTGACTAAAGACGGGCATTGAGTTGAGGAAGAACGACAATGGACTGAAGACAGGCATTGAGTTGACGAAGAACCACAATTGACAATGTGTCCAGTACGGGGTCCCTTTGACAGAGTGATATTTAGCAGTGCTGGGAGAGGTCATGCCTTTCAGAAACCACTTGTAGATGGATTCTGAACTCATCACTGGTTCATGAATGAATATAGTTTTATGCCGCATTTAGCAATATTCCAGCAATGTCATGGTGGGGGCTGCAGATATCGGCTTCAAATTGAATCTGCGGGGATTCGAACCTGTCTCCGGCAGGATGAATGAACACACAAACCACTCGGCTACCCCACAGCTTCCTCCTCATTGGAAGGGGGTTGGATTTATTCACTTCGTTTGCTTGAACCCATGACCAAGTTGTGTAAAGTAAGACAATTCCATGTGGAGACTTGATGAAAGTGGTGGAAGTCTGAGACATGATTAGAATCTTAATGTTTCACCTGGTCAATCTGACATTGTGATAAAAGTGAAGTACGGTTCAAAACCGTTTAAGAATTCTGCCATGTTTAAGAAGCGGCAGTAAAAGTAACGACTTCATACTCGCTTACATACTGAGCACATAGACGTTTTGGGCTAATAAAGAATATATAATTACATGGCAGTTCGAATTGTCGTCGGTGCTGAAGAATAAGTAGATGTGTACGAATGCTGAGGTAGATTTGTAATATTAATCGGTTTGCTCCTAATATTTATCGGATTGCTAACACTGCACCACAGCGAAAACCTACTTCAGCGGAGAAAAAAAGGACACCTTATTTCTTATACCGAAGCATCGAACCACCCACCCACAACCCTCCCCATTGATGACTAAACATTGCATTACTGCCACATGCAATTTACATATCACGTGACCGGATTTCCCCTCGTTTGTAAACAGCAACATCGAGCATGGCGATCTTTATACAATCCAGTTATAAAACGTTCGCTTCGCCAGCTGTCCATAGTGCAACATGAAGTCCAAAGGTTAGGATGAAATGCTCCTCTGGGAATTTTTTATGGGGAGGGAGGCACCCACCACATACAGCTCAGGACCACACACCACCATATTGTAACATTGTATGTGTATACAATGACAGGCATTGCTACGAGGTAAAGTTATGAGAGAGTACGTTGAATTATTTCTCGATGTGTCAGCATGGTGGAGGAAACCCAGTGAATCTGTGAACATCGCGTACAACGTATCGTATCGTGAACAAGATATTGCGATGTCGTGTCTTATTATATAGGTAGTATTTTTCCTGTACCACCTATATAATAATAATTGTATAATATAGTGACATTCATAGATTATCTACATCTGTATCAGGATCAATAAATCGCTAGTTTGTTGAGAAAATGTTATGCAAAAATTGAAAACATGCATCGTATTTATTCCGATAAGATTAAGTTTTGTTTTACGTCGGTTGTAGCAATATCCAGAAATATCACGGCGGGGGACACCAGATATGGGCTTGTACCCATAGTATGGGGAACAGAACCCGGGTCTTCGGCATGACAGGCAAACGCTTTAACCACTAGGCTACCCCACCGCCCTATTCCGATATGAACACTGGAGTAAATGTTTATTAATGGGTTTGTCTTTATTTTGTTTCCCACGTGCATTTTCCGAAATTCTGTGGTTATTTTCGCCTGGTATATTGTTTATCAAACTACTACGCATTGTATCTGTGTTCGTCAAAAAGATCGTTATTCATAAAAATGTTATAGGAGTGGAAGTTGTGATCTTATCGATAATTCAGCGAAGCTGAAAAACATGTTTTCTGAACCTATTTTAGCTGCATAAAAATTAAAAGTCTAAAACGAGATACAAAACATTTCATTAAGGAAACCCACACCCTTTCCATGATGCCTCCAAACAGCGAAAGCATCAACTTCGAAAATGCCTGAAAGGAAGTTTTAAAAATATTATTAAAAGATCCCCACAACGGAAAACAGGTCAAAGACTGAGCGACTTCATATATACTACCACAGAACATTGAAAGATCAAAACCAAAGTCATTTCTGAAAAGATATCAAAGCGCCTCTGTTTATCTGAAGAACACATTAGCAGATGTTGTAGGTAATCCCTTAATTCCTGATGCAGAGGCTGGCGAGATGGTTTCAGTCCGTCTCATTACCGTGGATGTAGGTTTGCCTTGTAGACAGGGCATGTTATTGTTGTCTATAAACTGAAATCTGTATGGACCTCAATGTGAGTACTTAACTTGTCAGTCCAGATTAAGGGAAAATCCATTAACAGGTACGCGTCGGATTAGAGCGCTATGTTTATCACACGAGGAACTGGAGTACTGGTGTAAATATCAAACACTAATACACAAAGATCTTCGTGGATCAAAAGAAAATGTTCGACTTGTTAAGACCATTTAATATGCCGAATCTTGCTACGGGTGGTGTACGTGATCTATCTGCGAATGAGAAAGTAGAATTCGGTTGAACACTGCCAATTAGCACAAAACTGAAACTCACACATTTCAACCTGAACTGGGGCGGTGGTGAAGCCTAGTGGTTCAAGCGTGCGCTCGTCACGCCGAAGAACCGGGTTCGATTCCACACATGGGTACAATATGTGAAGCTCATTTCTGGTGTCCGCCGCCGTGATATTGCTGGAACTTTGCTAAAACCGCCGTAAAACCATACTCACTCAACGTGAACTGGTCTTGGGCTAAGATCATTTAAGAACTAGTCGGCTAATAAGTCGATACTTCGAGGTCAATATCAGTTCCGTAGGTCCCAATAATGATTATGTTGCCCGCATTGTTGTCAATAATTGTTTATTACATTCATACATAATTTAAAATGAAACAAAAACAAGAATATTTCAAATTAAAACCAATATTTGAATCAGAAGTCACAGGAGATGGTGCACATATAATTCGCTTTCTCTGATTTTACTGAAAATATTTCTCTTCTTTGGCCTTTGGCTGCTTAATCGCGGAGGACAATACCACTTTTGATAAATAAGGGGAATAGTTTTATGAACATACAACGTCTTTACTACAATATATGCAACGTTTCACTGTAGATAATAACACATTATCATACAACTGATTTCCAGTATTGTATGTAAAGCATTTATATACATGGGTAAAGTTATGTTTATATAGTTAATGTACATGGTGATATTATTAATTGATGATAACACAGCAGATGATGCTGATGTACAAAGTGCGGTGGATATATAAACATTAAACATTAATGTTTACACAATGCAGAATTAACAAGGGGAGGTATCAGACAATGAGAATAATAATGAAAGATGGGGTTCAATTGCCTTGTGTTGAGTTGATGGTGGACAGTGGGAATGTAATGACCTTTGTATTTGTTGATGGCTGGTTGTAGTCTCAAAAGAAGTTGAGCTAGAACTCGCTCGCTTGTTCATCCCACCAACTTCTAAATGCCACTCAAAGAAGCCACTATTGATCGCTCACGGCAGGACCAGTGCAATATCCTGTGTTTAGTCAGATCTTGTGACGTTTCCTCAATAAAAGACTGACTGAAGTTAGTTTTACGCCGCTTTTAGCAATATTCCAGCAATATCAGGGCGGGGGACACCAGAAATGGGCTTCACACATTGTGCCCATGTGGCCTCAACAAAAGAAAAATACAATCACGATTTGTAACTGTAACAGTATAACAGATAATCCGAACTTGCTCTCACAAGATATATCGCATGGTAAGAGCGAACCATATCGGACACAATAAAATCACGATGTTTTACAGATCCAAGTGACGCTATCGGTTGCCATCGACGTGACGTCATATGGTTTGGTTTTTAACGCTGCACTGGGCAATATTCCAGCCATATGGCGTCTGTCTGTGAACAATCGAGTCTGGACCAGACTATCGTCAAATTATATCACTCCTACCCTATCACGATATTACTTTTTACACCCGAAACACTGGTCACTCCTGTTGACTAGCTTTAAACGTTAAAATATTAATTTGGACGATGCACAGAAGTTAACCCTTGTGTTGTTTGATATCCCCTCCCACCGACCAGACCCGTGATGATCCGGGTTAGAATTGGTCTTCAGTAACCCATCATTGTCGTAAGAGGCGACTAACCAGGTCAGGTGGTCAGGCTTGCTGACTCGGTTGACACATGTCATCGTATCCCAATTGCGTAGATAGATGCTCATGATGATGACCATTGGACTGTCTGGTCTAGACGCGATTATTTACAGACTGCCGCCATATAGCTGGAATATTGCTGAGTGTGGTGTTAGACAACAAACAAATCAATCAACTCGGGTGGTCAGGCTTGCTGACTTGGTTGACACACGTAATCAGTTCCCACTTGCGTAGATCGATGCTCATGATGTTGATCACTGGACTGTCTGGTCTAGACGCGATTATTTACAGACCGCCGCCATATAGCTGGAATATTGCTGAGCGCGGCGTAAAACTCACTCACCCACTGATATCAAACTAGACGGACGTGATGTTTTATACCCGATTCTAGTCATTTACACAAGCACTTGTGGGATGAGGTGAAGGCTGGTTGCTTTTCTGACCACTGATGTCAATCACTGGATTAGCTGGTCCAGACTCGATTATTTACAGATCACCGTCACAACCCCGCACTGTTGCTAAGTGCTGCGTTAAACATCAAACAAAGATTCATATGCTCTCTGGGGATCAGTTTAATCCGGATTCCCCGTGCGGCTTGTCGATGTGTACAAGATGTGACATCTCCTAATGACAGGTATCTTTGTTAATACCTTGTCAGCGTCTTGACATTAAAGGACGACGTATGGTCAGTTCGTCATGACCACTTTTCATTCTGGTACAAAAGAAAATGTGTCAGACTTTGTCGTCACTGTTTATCGGTCACATCTAAATGTGAAGCGAGCCATTTGCTGATTGCTAATATGTATTTGAGTGCGTGGGTTATGAAAACCGTCAGCAGTTCAGTTATATCAAGGAGTGAGTGAGTGGGTGGGTGGGTGAGTGTGTTAAGTGATATTAAGGACAAGGTATTGAAGGATTACAAATAATTATTAAAAGTAATAGATTTAAACGGGAAGTAGACTTTGTCCACGATGAACGTTTCATGATAAACTTTTCATGTTTAAGATTTAAAACAACACAAAATGCATACCAGGCAACTCTAAGCTTTGTCAGACAGCTGACTCAGATAGCCAGAATGAACTGTAGGCACATTGGTTCCAACCAGTGTTTGCCCTTAATCAGGAAAATCTGCTGGCCCTAAGGACCCAGAACCATAAAAAGTTGCGGGGTCTGATCAGAATGTGTAGGCCCTATATTTTGATATGGAAATAATACTCTTAGTTATAGGGGATGAGAAAGCTGTCGGTCATAATGACCTGCAGAAAAACAAAACCTTTGAGTCCGAGTGGTTTTCAGTCGGCCTTAGGATCGACGTTATTTTCGAACGATGTCTAGATATATAAAGAGACGTATGACCAATAGTTTCTATCTGGTACCCTGGCTTGTCTGATGATGTTCATCCCAATAGCAATGTATATTTTCACATTTCTGCAGTAGGCTAAAAGTAATACATGACAAACAACACATATTTTTGTTATAGATACACGTATAGTGGGGTAGTTGTGTGGTTAACGCGCTCTCTTGTCACGCCTCACCAGGGTTTGATTCCGCGGTAGAGCCTTGCTGATGTTTTACGATGTCTCTGATCTTTCTGACTGACTGACTGACTGAGTGGTTTTACGCCGCTTTTAGCAATATTCCAGCAACATCACGGCGGGGAACACCAGAAATTGGCTTCACACATTGTACACATGTGGGGATTCGAACCCAGGTCTTCGGCGTGACGAGCCAACGCTTTAACCACTAGGCTACCCCACCGCCCCTGATCTTGCTGAAAAGACAATACAATACCGAAATCGTTCAACTGCACAGAATAATATTCTCTTTCAAAATATTTCCGATGAATCAAGTTAAGCCATGTTTTGATATCATGAACTTCATTTGTCTACTTCCAGAAAGATGCCGGCGAACTGGTGAATAACAGTTGTATGATCCCCAGGGAGTTGAGATTGATCATATGTTGTGCCGTTTCAGATTGACATCAGATGATCGAGGAGGGAAACACAGCGCCTGTGAGCAGCTGAGATGGATATTGGCGCTAAACAAATACTAGCATAATAATAATAGCAGTTTGGTTGTTGATGGTATATTACTGGAGGAAGGATAACACTAGCCAAAAGTCTACGATCGTCATATCTTTAAAAGGGGCGGTGGGGTAGCCTAATGGTTAAAGCGTTGGCTCGTCACGCCGAAGACCCGGGTTCGAATCCCCACATGGGCACAATGTGTGAAGCCCGTTTCTGGTGTCCCCCGCCGTGATGTTGCTGAAATATTGCTAAAAGCGGCGTAAAACCAAACTCAGTCAGTCAGTCAGTCAGTCATATCTTTAAAATTTAGGAAATGAAGCACCAATTGTAAATATTTGCATATAATATGTAAGTGGGCCTGAGGCCTTATTACTGAAATAAATGAATGAATCAAAATCACTCATACAAGGTCTGTGACGGAGACAAACGAGGTTAGCGAATACTGTCCCAGATTGTCACAACTCCGCTCGTCGGAGCCAATCACTTCCGGTTTGCTCTCAGTTAATACTTCCTGTCACCAGAGCGAAGCCGTACACTTCCACTGGGTGAACTTCATTTGCTCCACAGCCATACATTTGTTACAAAACTGTGTCATTCGGTCGTGTTGTTTTACATAACAAAATGAATTTTCAACTCGGGAAAATCTGTCCAACAATAAAATCCATTCCCGGCAGAAGAGCACTTGATAGCATGTTCAGGGTCACATAAAATATAAAGTCTAAACAGCAAAATCAATAATTAAATTTGTTTTTATATTTTGCCTCTTTTGTCATTTTCTAACTATCATAATAGACAATAGACTGACATGTAGTCAAGAAAATACTTATATATCTAATGAAAATATATACATGCTTGACAACGGTACAAGAATCTGTATCGAAACGTCGCACTCGCGAATAAAAAGAAGTTGTTATCCATAAAGTTTGTTCTATATTGAAAATATATACAATCCGAAATGAGCCCCGACCAATTCTATATTTCAGGAGGTAGTGGCATTGTGGACGTGTCAAATTTCTAGACTTAAGTTGGACTCCATTTTTCACATTTTTCTCTGGGGTTTGGTTGACAGACTAAATTGATAATAATGCGATTGATTAGCCACAAAAGTTTTAGAAGGATTAAGTCGAATACAAACGAAAGCATTACTAACCAACTAAAATTTGAGGACTTAATAAAATGTATTTTATAGCAGCAGCCTTGAAACCACTGACTATATGTACAACAAAATGAACAAGCGGTCTCTTATCGCTGTAGTTGTTTACCTGGCGTATAGACCAAAGACGACGGAGCCAGTTTTGTTCAGAAATCAAATATTTGAGTGATTTGCTTTATTCAGGAAACCATTTAAGTTCTGTTGATCAGACACTTGGATTCAAGCACAGACACACCCGGGTATCTCTAACATAATAGAAATAACAATGTTTTTATCACATTTCGTTAGCTTCTATTTTGTAACCTTCTAACCAACAGATTATAAGCTGATAATGATCTGTGTCATTCGAAAAGACATGGCCGTTCGCAGTTCGAACAAAAATCACGATGTTGGTGAAGAATATTCAGTAATCGATATGACACTTGATGTTTGTTAAGTATGAACCATATCTGAGATACAATTGCGTTAGTTACAATTATCATGTCTTAGATTCTTGTTTCCAGTGATATTCCTACTTTATTGTCACTGTCGCAACAAAGTCCAGCACCTATAATTGGCTTTTCCAAGCGCCTCCCTATCACCACAACGTTGACCGGCGTCAAGGTTTCTGTGAGATATCCAATCCTCACGAAGAGAGTCACAGATAGCACAATTATCTATGTCCACCAAACATGTATAAAAGAGGGTGTTGATGAGCTGCTGAGAGAATAAAAGTGGACATCACAAGCACGCTTACCATCAACATCGCAGCCTACCAGTTCCCGCCATGAAGTTTTTCACCCAAGTGCTGTCGTTTCTTCTGTCAGTTTTGCTCGCAGCTCAAGCGAACAACCTAAACACGGTGAGTTGCTAACTTTTCATTTAAAAAATCAGAAATTAAAACCTTCAGAATTAAGGGTTTCCCAGTGGTCAAAGAACTCGTAATCCAACGTGAGTTGCGTCCCTTTGCTCCTAGGATCCGTTGGTCCAGGGTTCGAATCCTAAATTGTCTCAGATATGTTAGCGCGAAAACCGTCTTCATGATTTCATAAAAAGGAGCATGATTACTATTGGTTGTCTATTATGTCTTTGAACGGCATTTAGAAGTGATACACATAAAATGTGAGAATTCATTAATGTCAGTTTCTTTGATGAGGAACAGGACGCTTTTGAGCATAGTCTTACTCCTTCATCAGGTGAATGAAAAACTAGGGTGCAGATAAGTATATAAGTACATGTTTAACAACAACAGTGATAAGATAATAATAACGGACACTTAACAAGGGAAGTAGGTTGGTAACTGGTGCTGATTGGTAGGGGTGGGTATTGCAGAGAATTTTCATATTGCGATATATTGCGATGCGAAAGCATGTATTGCAATATATTGCAAGAAGTTTTTTAAACAAAAACACTACTTATACTCGAGTTAATGCTTGATTTATAAAGCAAAAACAAAACAAAATCATCATGTTTGATTAAGCTTTAATAAAAACTTTTAATCCTGACAAAATAAAAATGTAAATAATATCTGGAACAAATCAAACAAGGCAATATCCGAAGATTTCCGAGTGTTACGAAGTTTTCCGAATGCATGTCAAAATACCGGTTTTCGATCAGCGTATCGCAATACGTATCGTTTTCATGTCTGAACCGGTAAATCCCGGTAAACCGGTTGTATTGCGCAGCCCTACTGATTGGTAATGGCTTCTATTTGTTCATTTACATTACCAAACAGCGCCAGTTGACCATTGACATCAATAAATGTTCCCTTTTTGGGTTCTCTTTTGTTCAAAGTCGAAATCAGCGATGCTCTAACAATATGACGACGGCCTTTAATTTTTCGAGTCAGGATAATGCAAATCGTTGATCGAAATTGTGATCAATGATCCAAGCCAAGGGGTACAACGCCACTTTAACAACCAGGATATCTAACGGCACGGAGTTATTGTGAAGACGGAACATTGTAAACCAGTTGACTAAGGGTGACAAGTAATCCATTTGGTAACCTTTTGACCAATTTTAATCCATAATACCAAGGGCTATCAATCATACGGTGATGCGGCGTTAAACCGAACCCATTCACTTATATATAAACGAAAACTGAAGAAAAGTGAAAGGCTTCAAATGTTGACATTACATTCTAAAAAGATCGTATTTGCCATTTGACCAATTTAAAACCAGAATCCCAAATGGTATCAATACTGTTAAACCGAACTCATTCGCTTATATTTTAACTAAATGAACGAATTGTCACGTTGCACGCAAGAAAAATATATATAACGGTTTCAAATGTAGACATTATATGATTAAAATATCTCTTTGGCTTCCATTTTCATATACAGGTTAATACCTCTGTCCGCTATATGTTTCTGAATCGGCCATGTTGAATAGTAATGCTCAGGTGTAGGATGTGGGAGCACCTATTTTTGCATAAATTATTGTTGACTTACGGTATTCCTGAGTTGAAGAGAAAGTGGACAATTTCCATCATCCAAATCTCACCGTGCCGTTAGATAAGGTGGTTAAAGTGTCGATTTGTGGAACCCATTTCTCATATTGCTGGAATGATGCTCAGGTAGCATTACAGCGTATTTACTCTCTTACTCCATAGGGCCGGTGGGGTAGCCTATAGGTTAAAGCGTTCGCTCGTCACGCCGAAGACCCGGGTTCGATTCCCCATATGGGTTCAAAGTGTGAAGCCCATTTCTGGTGTCCCCCGCCGTGATATTGCTGAAATATTGCTGAAATATTGCTAAAAACGGCGTAAAGCTAAACTCACTCACGTTTACCTTTTCTCACATTTTATGCGCTTTGAGCATGCACCTTGTGGGTGGATACAGCGCTTTATAAATACTCATCATTATTATTCTTTTTAAAAATGACACAAACACATCAAAATGAGTTTTCAATGGTGAGCATGTATTTGTTTGGGATATCATGGCTTGGGTTTGCTGTGTTTTGGCAGTCTGCATTCAGACGAGCTAAGTTTTAATAATGTTTATAATGTTCTTAAATTGATCAACAAAGTTACATGTGTTTTTCTCACCTCAAATGGAAGTTTTGTAAATTGTTCGAAATAACCAAATATTTTTAAAAGTATTTATGATTAAGATATGAATTTAAAAATGGGACGAAAATAGCTTTAGTATTCAATCAGTGACTGACATAGATGTATCTTTTCGAAACAATCGTATTGATACCTATTGAATATATCCCCATGATCATCATAGACGCTGACCATTATAATACAAGACCGTTCAGAGTCATAAGTAACCACTGTTCTACTCATCTTTATTAGGGATTGTACCCGTGAAGGTCCGGGTTAGAATGTTGATCTTCAGTAACCCATGCTTGTCGTAAGAGGCGACTAACGGGATCGGGTGGTCAGACTCGATGACTTGGTTGACACATGTCATCGGTTCCCAATTGCGCAGATCGATGCTCATGCTGTTGATCACTGGATTGTCTGGTCCAGACTCGATTATTTACAGACCGCCACCGAAAAGCTGGAGTGCGGCGTAAAAGTAAACTCACTCACTCACTATTATGGAGGGTCATACAAATATCATCAGATAAATGTACGAAGCAAGTCAAAGTGCTGTTCAGTTGTGTGTTAAAACGAAACATTTTTATACCCACTATGACTGTAACCTGTCAAGACATGTATTTCATGTACACGGGCGCTCTGGTGTGTTTTCGGTAACTTTATAAATGCAACATTTGGAATTACGCTTTCTCATTGTTTTGATTAGCATTCTTGAAGATGGTGAGTCAATAATCAAGCATACGACTTTATGAATAACAACCATGAAGAACGACATTTTTATGTAGATTCAACTTAGCTTGATAACGGTGTAAGAATCTAGTACTTTTGTTACGTTGAGACCCATCAGGGTTTAGAACCCTCTCACTAAGATTCAGATTTTCGAAGCTCTTTTAGCGCTAAGATAGTCGTAAGTGCCATACATTAACATTAACCTACGACTATCTTAGCGCTTAGAGAGCGTCGAAAATCTAGGCCCAGGTATCTAATCTCTATCACGTAAGTCAGCGATCTAACCCACTTAGCCATAGCGGCTTCCACATTTGACCGCTTTCTAAATGACAATGTGTACTTATAGCTTTCGGCCGTGAACGCCTGCCAATATCCACTTGTCAAAGAGATACACAATGTACGTAATCTCGACTACCAGTTGTCCGACTTCCTGTGGAAGCCGTGGTGGCTCAGTGGGTTAGATCGCTGACTTTCTGTGCTGGGCATTTAGTGCCTGACTCTGAGACTCCCAGATGGGACTCAGCCAAACCAAAATACTTGAATCGTTACATTACTGAGAGAGTGTAATCCCAAATAAAACCCATATTACAGTTGACCACTCTCTAAATGCCATTGTGTATTCACAACTCTATAAATCTTTCACATTTCATTATTTTTAAAAATCGTTACCCATTTTCCCAGTTCCATACAATCATTCAATCAATGTGACATAGAACATGTTCCTCAACTGTTAATCACATCGTTGACATCCTATTGATGATGGGGGGCGGTGGGATAGTCTAGTGGTTAAAGCGTTGGCTCGTCACGCCGAAGACCCGGGTTCGAATCCCCACATGGGTACAATGAGTGAAGCCCATTTATGGTGTCCCCCGCCGTGATATTGCTGGAATATTGCTAAAAGCGGCGTAAAACCAAACTCAGTCAGTCAGTATTGATGATGGTTGCCATATAATGATGTTTGACAAACTACATACCTACGTGACCCTTATATAATAGAAGCTAACACCGGGAATAATCGATTACAATCACGATGTGCTTCTATTGTATTCTCCACGTGGATGCGATAACGTACAGCAGAAAATGATATGATTAGCACTAATGACGCTTCACGGCCGTGTATTGAATATAACAGCGTGAGGGATGCTGGCCACGGGATGTATTGTCTAGTTTTATAAATACGTATATGTGAGCTATTGAATGTTGAGTACAGCTTCTTTAGTCCCATTATATGCATTATATATACTGAGCGGGAAAAGAAAGTGCATGTATACCGAGCTGAAAATGAGTAAATACACACGGATGCAACAACATGACATCTAATAAAATAAATAAAATAATAAATAAAATAAAATAAATTTTTTTATATAAATTTATATTAAAATAAAATTAATGTAAATTTGTGCCGAATAAACAAATGTATTGATTTCCAAATATGAGTTGTCTGCGATTTATGTATCATATGTATTTCTGATGTTATTAATGAAATTATTTCATACAAATATGATACTGAGGTATTCTTTGAGTGCTACTAAGTGCAGTTCTTTTCTTATATATCATATGACTAACATGATATATATACCCGTCAAGATCCGGGTTTGAACTCATCTTCAGTAACCCATGCTTGTCGTAAGAGGCGACTAACGGGATCAGGTGGTCAGGCTCGCTGACTGGGTTGACACATGTCATCGTATCCCAACTGCGTAGATTGATGCCCATGATGTTGATCACTGGATTGTCTGGTCCAGACTCGGTTATTTACTGACCGCCGCCAAATAGCTGGAATATTGCTGGATGCAGCGTTAAGCAACAAACAACATGATATATTTCACTTGAATATCAAACACGATATCGAATCAAGAAAGATGTTGCGGTTTATTTCTTTTTCTTTCATATTGTCACTTCCTTAAAAATAATATATTATGGTCATTTAACATTAAACATCAAGGTAATGCACAAATAAATATGCTTATTAATAAAAATAGTTCCAAACTTTATTTAACCTCCAAAATATACACGTCAACAATGGGGCTCGTTCCACAAAGCGATCTGACCCCTACGCCGGCCTTAACTCCAGTAGTTTAAAACAGACTTACGACAATCCTATCGTTGTGACAGCTTTGTGGAACGAGTTCTACGACACAACTACGATATCCCAAAATTCTACCACAAACTAACAACCATTTCTATTTGTTTCTTTCTTCGCCATCGGGGTTCGATTCCCCACATGGGTACGCTGTGTTAAACCCATGTCTGGTGTCCCCGCCGTGATATTGCTGGAATATTACTAAAAGCAGCGTAAAACTAAACACACTCACTCTTAGCCATAGGGGTATATATATTTTCACCCCACAGTTTTAAGTCGGGATGTATATATTCCAGGTGTTAGGGCTACCCGCGGCTGTGAGCACCCGTCAGTGTGGGTCGAGTACCCCGTGTATGTGGGCAGTCTGCAGATGGCGAGCGGCACTGCGGGTGGACGAGACATTCTGCGACTTCCTCGACTATGAGTAAGTATATATCAATGTGTGTTTGTATGTCAAACATCAGAAAAATAAGACATAAACATAAAATATACAATCAATTTATGACTCTCTTTTATTCAACAAGACCGCCTCCGTGGTGTAGTGGTTAGAGCGTCCGCCCGGAGAGCGGAAGGTCGCGGGTTCGATCCCCGACCGCGTCATACCAAAAGACGTTAAAATGTGGTACTTGTTGGTCCCTGCCTGGCGCTCGGCATTAATGGGTACAACAAGAACTGGTCGGCTCGGAGTCAGTATAATGTGTCTGAGTGGGGTATTCATGCTTCACTGCGGCATGGTATCTCAGTGAGCTAGCACTATAAAACCAGCCTACGTCTGGGCTAGTACACATACACATACACACGCATGCACGTCGTCATATGAGCGAAATATTCTCAAGCACGACGTTAAACCCAATTTCACCTCACCTTTTATTCAACAAATTTGTTCGTTTCCTATGTACCTCGGTTAGATGACGGATGGCTGTCTGTAAATAGTAGAGTCAGGACAAGACAAGCTAGTGATTGACATCATGGGCATCGATCCATGCATTCAGGATACAGTGATATGCATTAACCGTGAAGATCAGGGTTTGAATTGGTCTTCAGCAACCCATGCTTTTCGTAAGAGGCGACTAACGGGATCGGGTGGTTAGGCTTACTGATTTGATTGACATATGTCATCGTATCCCAGTTGCGTAGATTGATGCTCATGATGTTGATCTCTAGATTGTCTGGTCCAGACTCGATTATTTACAGAGCGCCTCCACATAGCTGGAATATTGCTGAGTGGGACGTTAAAGCATAAACCAACGAACTACCAATCGTATGACAAGCACATATCTTTGAAGTTCAATTCTAGCCAGGATCTTCACGACTGCAGTAGTAAGTCAGTGAATACACAGTGCCATTTAGAAAGTGGTCAGATATAACATACATGTATGTTATATTTGGGATTACGCTTTCTCAGTAAGGAACACTTGAAATAATCGCATGTCAAGGTGAAGGTCATCTGTTTTCAACATCTTGTATGGTCCCGTGCTAGTCCAGAACTGCCTTGAACCAATCAGATTATGAATGTGGGTAAGGCTCACCCACGCTTCCTGCAGTGCTTGTGTCAAAGGTTCAATGTCTGTTGCTGACGTGATGGCTTACATCGATCAAGAACATTGTCGTGTTGCTTGTTGCATAATGCGAAGAACGTGGGGACGAAGAATTTCATGTACATAACGTTCTGCCGATAAATTGCCATGGACGTGTACCACGCCTGTTCTATCCGTGTGGACATCATTACACTATCCCCACCAAACCTGTCCACTTCCTGAATGCAGTTTTGAGCATTCCACGAAGATGGAAGTTGGACATTAGGCAGTCTAACTTTTTCTACTTTGAGTTTCTTTTTCTGCTATGGTTAAGAACAAACTCATTTCCACAGAATCAGCATTTTATTTCACTGACGCAATACAAAACAATATTTCTTTCATAGGCGGATCCATGTGCTGAAAGTTTGTTAAATGACCATTGAAACTCGGGTGAAATTGAAGTGTGAACCCTCCTTTTCTCAATAGTGTCCACCCACCCACCTTTCTCAAAAAGCTGTATCCGCCCCTGCCTTTAATATAATGTTTTTAACGGATAATAACACAGGGACTCCTGAAGAAATTCAACCAAAAGGACAAAACATTTTTGCAAAGCCACAAATCATCATCCTGTACGTGGTACGTAAGTCCCCAAAACTTTCAAAGTCAATTTCGCTCAACCATACGTTTTAATCGTAGTATTTTTGTTATTTTAAATTTCGGCTAAATCTTCCTACCATCGCCAGTGGCTGAAGGGATGGTGTAAGTCCAGCTAGGGTCCATGCAGGTAGCAAAAGTAATGTAAGTCCCCACGGTTCCTAGTATGGTGATCTACCTTCAGTTGTTGGCGATCTATAACCCGTAATTTATCTTCTTTAGTTAAAATGTTTTAGTTTTACATGCTAGTTTTATATTCATATCTGTGATACTCTAGTGTTTTTACTGTCCATCGTCGACAGGTTTTACTCTTCGAAAATGTTTTCATTTCTTATTGTATGAATTGTTTTCGTCACGATATGGCTGAGATATTGCCGATGTGACGTTAAATATTAACTCACTCACTCATCCTGTACGTTTGTCTTACTGGGGTATACATTGCACGGAATATTCGAGTGGCGTATTTCAAATTGGAGCTGTTTGTATTGTGTTTTACGTTGGTATTCCTCCGAGTATTTTCAGTATATCTTCACGATGTTAAGGATGCACAATATGCTTAAGACCATGTCAATATTTCGATTTGATAGGTCTAGAGTATTCATTTATTTAATATCAAAGTTCCTTCATCTCCTGATGGGGGTGTTGTCTCGTGGGTAGCCCAGGTTACAAGACAGTTGAAATTAGGTAACGTTGGTCACGGAAAGTCCTTGGATGGGAGGCCATGTTTGACCCCACAAAGATACACACGTAATGGACATGGTCTCACCTTGAGCGTGTGATTTTGTTCAAAATTGCCTCTGTTCACCCAGCAGGGAATAGGTACCCCTTGGATAAGTCATATGACGGTTAACCTTTTGTACAGCGAACACAGGCAGAATGGGTTAACCGGGGTAATAATGTCATAGCGCAATGAGCTTACATATGCGCTTAAGAAATACCCATTATTATAATTATCATCATTATCATTATTGTTGATTCGCGACGTCACTGATCAATTCCGCTTTTATGTAACCTTCATGATAACATCATTTGTCTCGAGGTAATCCGGCGTTAAATATATACGCCACGTGATTTACATACCACCCCCTACAACGCCCCCAACTCAACCCCCACTTGCCACGTCGTCCTTGACGTCATCACCGCCGTGTAGCTGTGATTAGCCAATAATATGTGTAAAGTACAGACACATCCGTGGGTAACCCTATTACCACGGATCCAGCGCCGGACAATGAAATGGCCACCCTCCCCCGTACGCAGCGTTAACCCCTTCTGGAGACAATGGTAATTGACGGTAGGAAAGCAATCACCAGCAACAAAGGAGGATTATGAATATTCTGTTGGGAAATATTAACAATGTCCATTTCGACCCAGGGTATTAGAGACTTTTGATGATGCTGCGTATATGGAGTGTATGACTTCAATGACCTGACACATTGGTTCAGAATCCCTGATTTTTGTGTGCTTGGTGCTCTTTCATCAAAATGATTAGATACGCTGTGTGAATGAGAGTATGCTGGTATTATCTTTATTAGCCTGGGTTCAGTACTCGGTCAGTACATTCATTTTCATGAGTAATTTATAAGACACGATAAAAGTACTTTACTAAAAGTGACTGACTGACTGACTGAGTTTGGTTTTACGCCGCTTTTAGCAATACTCCAGCAAAATCACGGCGGGGGACACCAGAAATGGGCTTCACACATTGTACCCATGTGGGGATTCGAACCTGGGTCTTCGGCGTGACGAGCCAACGCTTTAACCACTAGGCTACCCCACCGCCCCTACTAAAAGTGAGCATTTACTTGTTTTGCTCTTGTTCATTGGATGTGGATCTATTCATTCTGAAAGAATCCAAACGGTTGCGTAGTGATACTATGTGTCAGTGTGTGAGTGAGTTTATTTCTGTTCTTCATTGAAGTTAATGTACAAACAAACGTGCAGCGTTTCGATGCGTTATTTGAGTCAACTCTGATGTAAATTCACTGTTTGTATCTTTCATTGAAGCCTACATTATCGCGTGAGAGTGATTGAGTTTAGTTTTACACCAGTTTTAGCAATATTCCAGCAATATCACGGCGGGGGACACCAGAAACGGGCTTCGCACATTGTACCCATATGGGGAATCGAACCTGGGTCTTCGGTGTGACGAACGAACGTTTAAACCACTAGGCTACCCCACCGCACCGGTACTATGTAACAGCGACCATTATGAAAGCGGTAGATTGCTGACAATTGACAGCAACATGTTTAAACACAGATTCATGTCGGAGCGGAAATGGCGAACGATCTGTCTACCCATGGAAAAATATTGAATGTGAACACAGAGAAATAAATTAAACTTAGCTCTGTATAATCAGTCTCCTCTTTGAGAAAAGATTTTCCAAAAGAATGTTCATAAGTAACACATGTTAAATTTGGGATTACACTTTCTCAGTAAAGTACAGGGTCTTATAACTTTGTTTGGTTCAGTCCCATCTATTGTGTCAAGGTTGCTGAGTGGGTTAGATGGCTGACCTTGCATTCCGGCTGTCCCGGTGGGACTCAACCCAACAAAAGTACCAGAATCAGTACTTCATTGAGAAAGTGTAATCTCAAATACACTTTTAAAATCCGAAACGCATATGTGACTTTGAGAATATTGTAGCTGCGGCAAAAACAATACAAATATACTAATTATTTCAAAAACGTCATTTTGTGTCATTGCAAACAGTTTCAGTGCCAAAACGCGGCAATTTTAACTTTCCCCGTTGTTTTAGAAGCGTTTGAAGAAATATTCGCCAAACGTCACCGAAGAAAACATGCAAAGCAAAATGCACGTGCAAGTAAGCGGAAAAGCATGCGACATCAATCACTATACAAAGGCAAACGTTGTGTTTAAGTTTGTGGTTCGTCTTTGCCTGGAAGGACCGCCTCCGTGGTGTAGTGGTTAGAGCGTCCGCCCGGAGAGCGGAAGGTCGCGGGTTCGATCCCCGACCGCGTCAAACCAAAAGACGTTAAAAAATGGTACTTGTTGGTCCCTGCCTGGCGCTCGGCATTAATGGGTACAACAAGGACTGGTCGGCTCGGAGTCAGTATAATGTGTCTGAGTGGGGTATTCTTGCTTCACTGCGACATGGTATCTCAGTGGGCTAGCACTATAAAACCTGCTTAAGTCTGGGCTAGTTCAAGCAGCCGCACATACACATACACACACGCATGCACGTCGTCATATGAGCGAAATATTCTCAAGCACGACGTTAAACCCAATTTCACCTCACCTCACCTCACCTCACCTCACCTCACCTTTGCCTGGAAAGGAGGAAATCATCATGCCGACACTGTTTCCCGACAATCGAAACATCACCATAGGCCGCCTTGAATCTGGGGAGTCGCAGTCTGCACTTGCCCGACTTTTCAACGTTCTTCAGAGCAACATATCTCGCCTTTGAGGTCGTTTCCTGCAGACCAGTTCCGCCCAAGATCGCCCGAGAAGCGGCCGTCCGTGAATTACCACCCAAGTCCAGGACCGCTACATCCGGGTTGCTCACTTGCGTCATCGTCTTGGCACAGCCGTGGAGACTGCACAATCCCTGGTTTGAGAAGAATTTCCGACCAGCCTGTCAGGAATCGATTGCGTGAAGTGGGGATTCGACCAAGATGGCCAGTTGTCGCCCCTGTGTTGCGGTGGTGTTGTCGAGTCCGGAACTAGAACCTTAGAAACCGGAGGCTAGTCTGGTTCAGTGATGAATCACGGTTTCTTCTTCACCGGCGATACCCGTGAAGGTCCCGGTTAGAATTGATTTTCAGCTACCCATGCTTGTCGTAAGGGGCGACTAACGGCATCGGGTGGTCAGGCTCGCTGACTTGGTTGACACATGTCATCGGTTCCCAATTGCGTAGATCGATGCTCATGCTGTTGATCATCACTGGATTGTCTGGTCCAGACTCGATTTTTTACAGACCGCCGCCATATACTATTGTTGAGTGGGGCGTAAAACTAAACTCACTCACTCATTCACTCTTCACCGGCGAGATCGAAGACAGCGTGTTTACCGCCGGAGAAATGAACGTTTTGACCCTACTTGAGATAGAGGTAGATGTGGTGTCATGGTGTGAGGTGAGATATCAAGCACACAAAGATCTGATTTTGTGGTTGTTCAGGGGAATTTTACAGCAGATCGGTGCATCAACGAAGTCCTTGCACATGCTTCCGACTATGGACCGACAGAGAGAGTTGTTCCAGCATGACGGTACCTTACCAAATCTAACGTTAGTGTCTTGCCATGGCCTTCCCGATCACCAGATCTAAATCCGACAGAACACCTACAGGATGAACTCGACGTGTACGTCAACGTGAAAACACGCTTTAGACACATCCACAACTGCTATCGCATTTCAGGAAGAGTGGGAAAGAATTCCACAAGTCATACAAAGTATTGACTTTGAGGCCATCGTGTGTACTCAAGTAAACTGAAACGCAAAGATAAAGGTTGCTGTTGTGTTGGCGAACTCGTTGTCTATTGACGTGCGAATTTTCCATTGAAATTACATGAAATAATTGCTCTTAAACTAACGCAATAAATTCTTCTAAAATTGGCTTATGCGTTTCTGTTTTTGAAGAGTGTATAACACGTATTACATATGACCACTTTCTAAATGACATTGTGTATCCATATGTGTCAGAACATGATGTGGGAATCTTTCTTGTTATTTTCGTGGAATTGAATTTGTAACAATTCTGATATCTGAATGCATTTCAAACATTTTTGTAATTTTCTTTCTTTTCAGCTGTCAGTGTCGCGAGGGGACGTCCTGTCAACAGACCGGCAACATTAAACCAGGTCCCAGCAGCGTCCTCACCTACTCATTCTACTGTCTTCCCAACGGTTCCGGGAATCAGAATTAAGGGGACGCAACTCTGCCTAGGGGACGCAACTCTGAACGCTATTTCGTGTCGCCATCTTGGAATTAGACGCCATATCTTTTCTCTCGAACAATATTTCTTTTCAATATTGCAGACCTATGGCGATGCTCTTCTGTGGAGATCGAACTGTTCTTCTCTTTTTTTCAGGTCGACATTTGTCTTATTTCATGGAGTCTGTTCAAAGGCATCTGTGATGTTCTGTAATATGTTTTTCATCTTTTTATCATGGGGTGTGAGATATCACCGATGAGTGTGCAAAATGCGTAAACTATAACCCGTTGAAATTAATCTTTGATTGGGAAAGAGCAATATCTGCGTGGAATGTTATGTAGTTATAGACGAAACCTTTACCTGAGCAGTGTAAAGAAATGACCTTTTAATGAAAACGGAGATTAAATGTGTAAACAGGATTAGCTGTCACGGTGCATAATGGCTATGATAATAAAAGTCCTTGTTGTCACTTCATCACTATTTCTTTGTTTTCCTTTAATGCTTGCGACCGCCTCCGTTGTGTAGTGGTTAGAGCGTCCGCCCGGAGAGCGGAAGGTCGCGGGTTCGATCCCCGACCGCGTCATACCAAAATACGTTAAAATATGGTACTTGTTGGTCCCTGCCTGGCGCTCGGCATTAATGGGTACAACAAGGTCGGCTCGGAGTATACTGTGTCTGAGTGGGGTATTCATGCTTCACTGCGGCATGGTATCTCAGTGAGCTAGCACTATAAAACCAGCTTCAGTCTGGGCTAGTACAAGCAGCCGCACATGCATGCACGTCGTCATATGAGCGAAATATTCTCAAGCACGACGTTAAACCCAATTTCACCTCACCTCCCCTCTTTTAATGCATGCTGTGGTCAGACAGGGTTCCGTGCCCTGGGCCGGCTCATCAAAGCGATCTTAGCACCAAGTCAATCGTAACTCCCCACTTTAACATAGACTGTCGTAGAGCTAAGATCGCTTTGTGTAACTGGCCCTTGCTAGTGTCCTTTGCTTGGACCACGTTGCATGAAATGAGCGTAGTGTAATGGTGATCCTAATCCCGTAGTTTAACACAGACTTACGACTGTCGTAGCGCTAAAATCGCTTCGTGAAACGGGGCCATGGTTGTGAAGCATTATTATCTCCTATACTTTAACACAGACGTACCACAGTCGCAGCACTGTGGTCGCTTCATGAAACGGGGCCTTATTATATCCTATACGTTAACATTGACTTACCACAGTCGTAGCGCTAAGATCGCTTCGTGAAACGGAGCCTTGCATTGTGAAGCATTATTACCGTGGTGCACGCTCATGCAGTTGAAATATTGCCCCTTACTCCCCGTAAAGCTAAAGTTGATGCATGTTATATCAATGTTCATGAAGTCAATCACCTGATTGTCTGATGCCATCGCATATCTGAAATATTGATGAGTGCGGCCTTAAACTATACTCATACACATCAGGATCCGGTTATTGTGGGGTATTTCGAAATGATAAATCAGGTTTCATAATGCTTATGCAGTCGTGACGTCGTCCAGTAGCGTCTCATAACCACGCTGATGTATTATCTAAAATGACGTCCATTCGCTCATAGTCCGAAGCGCAGCTTCCCGATACTAGCATGGCGTCACTGTATGAAATTACCCGTGAAGGTACCGGTTAGATTGCGTCTTCAGCAACCCATGCTTGTCGTAAGAGGCGACTAACAGGATCAGGTGGTGAGGCTCGCTGACTTGGCTGACACATGTCATCGTATACCACTTGCGTAGATCGATGCTCACACTGCTGATCACTGGATTGTCTGGTCCAGACTCGAATATTTGCAGACCGCCGCCATATAGCTGGGATATTGCTGAGAGCAGTTAAACCACAAACGAACAAAACTGCATGAAATTACGAAAATATACATTTAATCAGAGCCAACACACACCGAAAACAGAACACTTTCCGGAAACGAACTATAATCAGCCCGATCGACATACAGCATCAGTAGATGTCTTTAGAGTTTATATCGTTGGATTTGACAAAATACATATATTGATTTTGGTATATTTGCGGTAAGCCTGTCAAGTTGCTTGAAAGGTTCTGAGAATGTAAGCAAGGTTATATCTTTCAATAAGGAAGCGCCCCTCCTCCTAAGTCACCGCCGAGGCACTTACATACACCCTTTCAGAGACAATAGACAATTGATATTACGGTATTACGGTATTAGCATATAGATTGGCTCTGTATAATCCGTCTAGTGGGTTTAGCTCGCACCGCGTGCGTTGTCACAGAAACCTCACTCCAGTGTCACAACTTAATCACGCCCATTGTTGAACTGTTTGGGTCATTCGGAAACGCTATCCTTGATTAAACGTGCAATCTGCTTCTCTGATTATCGGGGAAGAAACCAGCTAATATCAGTCGGAGGACACGAGGTGCCATACAGGAATATTTCCCACTGTACTTGGCTGTCCTGGATAGACCTGGGCCCCGTTCCTCAAAGCGATCGTAGCACTACGACTGTCGTAAGTCTATGTTAAAGTATGGGAGTTACGATCACCTTAGCGCTACGATCGCTTTGTGGAACGGGGCCCTGTGCCTAGATTTTCGAAGCTAGTCGTAAGTGCCATACATTAACATTAACTTACGACTATCTTAGCGCTAAGAGAGCTTCGAAAATCTAGGCCCTGGGCCCCGTTCCTCAAAGCGATCGTAGTGCTACAACAGTCGTAAGTCTATGTTAAAGTATGGGAGTTACGATCAACTTTGCGCTACAATCGCTTTGAGGAACGGGGCCCTGGTCGTCAGCAGCCAAGGCTTGCGATAAGAATCACCTAACGGGATCGGGTGGTCAGACTCGCCAGCATGTCATTGTATCCCATTTGCGTAGATCTATGCTCATGATGTTGATCACTGGATTTTCTGGTCTAGACTCGATTATTGACAGACAGCCGCCAAATAGCTGGAATATTGTTGAGTGAGGCGATAAACAACACAAACACAAACAGATATTCTGGTGGCTATGGGTAGTCCAGTGTCTCTAATGTTGTGTAATATTTCATTCACACCCTCTGGGGTTTGGGTGAACAAGGTTGGACCTATATCGCTGTGCGTGTGTGCGTGCGTGCGTGCGCGCATAGGGGGGTATGGGGTATGTGTATGCGTGAGATGTATGTGTTTTCGTCTGTCTGTCTGTGCGTGCGCCATGCGTATTTGCTGTATCTACTTGCTCAACATTTACACCATGTTGGAGCAAGTAGTAGCTCAGAATTGTCGTGATACATAACAAGTGTGTCATGCAATCATGTTCTTTCAACTTCTAAATGCGTAATTGTAGCCAGTCAAGAAATTGGAAACAAATTGCAGTCCGACCCAAAATTCGATTCAAGTTAAAGATGACAAAATGATAGTTTGATGCATCAATTTCTCTTTATTGTCTTTGTTCTTTGAATTCGACGCAATCTGAAAAAAAAATCACGTTGATAATTTTTAAGGAGTGAGTGAGTTTAGTTTTAAGCCGCTTTTAGCAATATTTCAGTAATATGACGTTGGTGGACACCAGAAATAGGCTTCACACATTTTACCGATGTGGGGAATCGAACCCGAGTTTTCCGCGTGACGAGCGAACACTACCCCACCGCCTCAAAATTTAACATCAATTAGAGATTAAGTATGGAAAGCTTTGTTGGACTGACTGAGTTTTGGTTTTATGCCGCTTTTAGGAATATTCCAGCAACATCACGGCGGGGGACACCAGAAATGGGCTTCACACATTGTACCCATGTGGGGATTCGAACCCGGGTCTTCGGCGTGACGAGCCAACGCTTTAACCATTAGGCTACCCCATCGCCCCCCTTTGTTGGACGTAATGATGATTTAACTTATGTAAATATCCAAACTAGGTTTAGATTGACATACCAACTCTCGTTGATCCTCAAACAGTGCCATCCTTCGCCTCTTCACCTTGTAAAACATCGAATACAAGTTGTGTTAATGAAATACCTTTTCCATGTGTGATGGTCAATGCCACGTATTAAAGAGTGAGAGTGTGAGTTTAGTTTTACGCCGCTTCTAGCAATATTCCAGCAATATCACGGCGGGGAACACCAGAAAGGTGCTTCACGTATTGTACCCATGTGGGGAATCGAACCTGGGTCTTTGGCGTGCCGAACGAAACTTTAACCACTTCGTATTTAAGGAAGTGAACACATATTTACACGTGTCTTATTTACAGTTGAGTCTGTGATTGATTTAGTCGCCAGCACCTTACGTTTGACCTGCATGTCCACACACGGAACTGAGAAAGTGTATAGTTCGGTGAATGCGGCCTTTATCAAAACAAAAATGAGAAAACAATAAACTTACGTTTATTCAAAATTCTTTGAAGCAGCTGTTGAAGACCACTGTCCAGCATGGAAATTTGTCGGCTGTCAAGGTCTCCTTCGTCGAACTCATCGACATCGCGAGTCAGATGAGCAGTTTTGTGATCTAAACAGCATTTGATAGAAGTAAGTTCATTCAATATGTCAACCACAGACTGATATAATTGCTTTATTTAACAAATTGAACACATTGAACAATGAATTAATGCGTTAGTTTTACGCCGCAAATATTCCAGCTATATGGCAGCGGTCTGTAAACAATCAAGTCTGGACCCGACAATCCAGTGATCAACAACATGAGCGTCAAACAACGCAATTGGGATACGATGACATGTGTCAACCAAGTCAGCGAGCCTGACCACCCGATGCAGTTAGTCGCCTCTTACGACAAGCATGGGTTACTGAAGACCAATTCTAACCCGGATATTCATGGGTCACGCATTGAACAAACTAATAAACGTTAGTAGTTTACATGTGACCTTTGCATGTCGAAGACAAGTGGTATAAGTCTTCGACCAGCACACTTCCTCCAACATTAAACTGGCTGATACTCTCCTCGGCAGCCAAAAATCCCCCAAATTCACTCACTCTAGGATAGGCTAGTGGTTGAAGTGTTTGCTCATTTCAACTAAGACAAGGGTTCCATTCTGTACACGTTAAAACTGTTTCTGGCATCCCATGATATCACTTATGATATTGTTACATTTGGCTTTAAAATCATTAAATGGTATTTTCAACTGTAACAGAGAAGACATACCATCAGAACCGTCCATGCCCTCTGGGAGAGAGCGAGGTTCAATTTTTATGATGCATTCATTTCTTCTGCATTTAATTTTAATCTTCGGCCTCCTCATCTCATATTCGGCAATCAAGGCAGCCACCAAAAGAATTACGACCAGATACTTCATGATTCTGTAATGTATAGCGTCATATCAGTCCAGTATGATTCTTAGAAGTGATGCAGTCCGAATTCCGAGACGAAGTTTCCATAACAGACAGTAGGGTTATGTGTGTTTTTTTGTTATGACATATTGTTATAGGGGGGCGGTGGGGTAGTCTAGTGGTTAAAGCGTTGGCTCGTCACGCCGAAGACCCGGGTTCGAATTCCCACATGGGTA